GTCTCTCTTTGATTATTTAAATATAAAACAACTTTTTGAAAGTAAGTTGGTAAAACCTGACAGCTTAAATGATGCAAAAATAATAATGGGGGTCAAAACTTATCAGTTTGAAATTTAGGCGGCTTTGATTTCACAATGCAATTGTTTTTTGTTTACATTTGACTTTTAAAAACAGGGTTTCATTCAATAAAACGAATTTGTTTAATAATGGGTCATCGAACTACAACTTCTGAAGTACTCATGATAGAAATAGGTACCGCCAAAGAGACATTGCCAAAATGGTAAATAAATCTTCGTCATTGGTTCAGCATATCATTGAATGTTACCGGAATGAAAATGGGTCAAGACTAAGATTTTAAATGAACACTAGGAAAGATGGATTATAAGAGAGGTATCAAATGATTTTTTAAAAATACGCAAGTTGTGCGTCAAGGTGGAAAGACAGAAAAATGTGTAACCCTGAAACAATTCGACGGATCCTGCGAAAAATTAATTTACATGATCGAACTGCGGGAAATAAACCTTTCATTAGCCGAAGATATAGATGCGTGAGACTCGCATAACTGAACTTCTGGAATTCAGTAATATTGATTGACAAGACCAAAATATACCAAAATATCAATGAGGAGAATACCTAACGAAGAACTTAAATTGAACAATATGAAAGCTATGATAAAGCAAGGTGGAGTTGGAGTAATGCAATATGCATTTCATTGAGGGAAATATGAACGAATTCGGATTGCATTTGCATTTGGATATATTAAGACAGCATCTCCTTGCTAGTACCACAAATTAAACATTGATAACAATTATCTGTTCTATCATGAAAATAATCCAAAACACTTGTTATTTCACGTCCGCGAGTGCTTGCTTTATAACTGCTCAAATGTTAAAACATCGGTCCAGTCACCAGACTTAAATGTTATTGAGAATTTGTGATTGATATTGAAAAACAAAGGAAAAATCTGGTTAAAAAAAGAAAAGTATTCACATATAAATTTATTATTGGTCGCATTGGCGTCAACAATGCTTTTTGTTTATTGCTGTAATCTTTGCTATGTACTTTCCATAGACATGAATTTCCGTAAAATAAGCATCTATCATTTTTAAATAGAATCATTTTGGCATAATTGTAAGTTAAAAAACGCAATCATTCATTCTTGCTCAACGTTCGATACAACTTATGAACTTCCCCGATATTTCCTAAAATTCCCCACGGTTTTCAAAAAAAATTATTTCTTCCAAATTTACAGCCCTATTTCAATAATTTTATGACCTCAAAGGCAATATTGTGTATTAAAAGAAAAATATGCATGCTATCACCAAATGTTGTAAACAATGTGTTTCAATCTATTTGGTTTGGTTTGCGTAATTGCGTAATTCCCAAAACGTTGTAATATAAATTATACGATAATAACAATAACTTACGTTGTCGTAAAAAGATCTTAATAAGAAAAAGAGAGAAAATGAACTTTTTTTTAAATTTACAAATCATCATTTAGTGACATTATTGCTATGCCATATTATAATATACTGTTGGAAGCTAATTCTGTCAATTTTCTTCATGAATTATTATAAGACTTTTTAATATTTTCAGGAGATTTGTAATTAAACTAGTTCATAGGCAAATTTTCGATATTCATTTTATTTAGAATTTTTTATGTAACTTCCAGAATATTTTTTTATGTTATTTTTATCTTATGTCTTACTATCCATCTATCTATTTAGTCCCCTTTGCTCCATCTTTTGATATAAGACTCCCCAGCTTTCTTCACTCTTTCTCCATTCCTTTTATTCTTGCAAGGTCCCCAGTTTATAATTCATTCGTTCCATCTGTCGTCCTTTTGTCTGATGACTTCGCTACCTCCTATCTATTTATCTAACGGATATCATCCCACTATATGTTGCGTTTATTGATTTCGAAAATGTTTTCCATAGTCTTGAACTAACCGTGAAAATGTAGGAGGTAAGAAAAACAATTCACATAAGAAGAGATGTCAGATAGGGAGCCCAATTTCGCTTAAACTTTTTGAGGATGTTTTTTTTAAACTGGATTGGGAAGAAAAAGGTACAAAAATTTGTGGACAGATACACGGATGATATCGCCTTGATAACTGCCGGAAATGCACATTGGTTAAAAATATAAGAACCAAACAAAAATCATAACCAACACGGGTGAAAACATCACAATCAGAATAAGACAGAAGTCAGTGAATACATCTGTGTCAAATTGTTGAACTTAAAAAATAAAACATATCCGTAATATCTGAAAACCACAGTATATAATCAGTCTCTACTCCGTGTCCTCATCTACGAATGAAAAATTTAGTCATAAAGTCAAGTATGGACAAAGCAGCGGAAGCACAAAGATCAATGGAGACACAAATATTAACTGTTTTTCTGAATTTCTTATTAGAACCTCAAAAATGCACAATCGTAATTTAAAGCTTGAGATTCAAAGAGTATGAGTATGCCTGCGGGCGTTAGAAACTTATCATGAACAATCAATTTTTTAAAATACCTAGGAGTTTCTCTAAAATTCCTTACTCTTGTTCCATCAAATAGCCATTGGAATCGAGAATAGTAAAGAACGGCAAAGAAATCTTATCCCGACAGTTTTGTCAATTTCCGGAATCATTTAGACGGTAGAATGAAAAAAAGTCGCCGAATAAAAGCGTAATTAATTTAAATATACACGTCTTCTTAATCTAACCGGTCGTGTCAGCCTGCATCTGTACCTAATACGTATCAATAAAAAGCATTCCTTCTAGTCCACCGATGCGCGATCGCGGAGCGTAAAAAGGAAGAAGAATGAGTGGAATGCCCCGTAATGCGCAACCTTGGAGTAGTTTTATGAGATGAGAATTGAAAGGCTATTTCGTGATTTTGTTTTGCACGTGGTATTTTAGCTATTTGCATGAGAAGAAAAACTCCTGCCTATCGGCCGCAGTGTACCGCGCGGTCTGCGCTGTGTTTATTTTACTCCGCATGATTTACTCCGATAGATACAGTCTGCAGATTCATTGATAAAATTCTTATTAATTAAAAAAAAATCGCGATGCGATTTATGTTAAATTGAGGCAGCTGCCGCCGCTTTTGTCTCGGAAGACAATTTCAATTCAATTCCTGCTCTGCGCTGTTTTTTTTTATATGACTTCAACATATACAGTTTGAGCCAACTCAAAAAAGTGAAAAGATAAAATTTCGGTGAAGTTTTACATTAACGAAAACAAAACGTGCTCAAGTATTTATATTTTATTTCTATTGATTTGTTTAAAGCACCATTTATTCATTTTAAAGTATAATCAATGCTCTCTTTCTGACAAAATGTCTTCGATAAAAATTCACTAATTTAGCATTGTCACTAAATTTGGTTTTGACGCAAAATATTCAAATTGCTTTCGAAAATCCAGTATTACAAATCAGTTCTATAATATTACCAAATCAATCAAAAATTTCAAAAATTATAGCTAAGCTTCATCTCGATTTTTTCTTCGTGTCTGAGGTCTCATTGATTGCTTGCATTTTACAACAACATTTTGCGTCGTAATTAAAAATAGTGATTAGAAGGTAGGACAAGACTTAACAATTTCGACTAGTATGCCATTGCAATAAAATCGATGGTAAAAGTCGTATACTACAAAAATGATTATTTCTGTTTTACTAACACTGAGTTTATTTTTGTGAGTCACTCATTCTAAGTAAATTATTAAATACATTATTTAATACTAATCATAATAATAATAATAATAATAATAATAATAATAATAATAATAATAATAATAATAATAATAATAATAATAATAATAATAATAATAATAATCTGCTCCTTATAATAGGAAACTTAACGATAAGGGAATCATCAAAGATCATTTTCCCCGTTTTCCGCAGTTAGGTATACGAATTAGGTATACACATGAAGAATTTGCATAAAGTTTTGTGAAAAAAATGGAATACTCTGCTGCAAAACACTTAAAATGTTGACAACGGCATATGATGAATCTACTTGGAGCAAAAAATAATGTTTATAGGTTGTACAAGCTGTTCCAAGATGCCCGAGAAGACGCCGATGATGAACCAGCACGTCAATAACTGAAGAAGTGAAACAAACGGTGTTGAAAAATCGTCGCATCATTAGAGAAGTGACTGAAGCCGTCGGCATCTGTATTGGCTCATGCCATCCGATTTTTTCCGTAGTTTTGGGTAGCTGCTTAATTTTAAACTAAAGATCTGTCAACGACGTCAAAAAGGTCATAACTGGTGACGAATCATGGGTTATGACATCGAAACCAAAGGCCAGTCCCTCAGTCGTCCCAATGGAAGAACCCAGAGTGCCGTAGACCTAAAAAAAGTTCGTCAAGTTCGAACAAAAGATTTGCTTATTGTTTTCTTTGCTAATCGGGGTTCTTACCACAAGGTCGTACGGTTAATAAATAGTATTGCCTTGAAGTTATGCGCAGTTTGCGAGGAGCAATACGAAGAAACGTCCGGAATTGTGTGATTTTGCATCACATCGGATATGCCCCCTGTGACGTTTTCCTGTTTCCGAAAACTCAAGAAAGCTATAAAAGTAAGGAAGTTTGGAACGATTGAGGAGATAAAAAAATGGCAGGAAGAACTCAAGACTATACCAAAAAGTGATTACCAGAAATGCTTGGAGGATTAGAAAAATGTTAGCACAAGTATATCTGGAGAGGATTGCTTTGAAGGGGACAAAATACCAAATACTTAATAAAACTTAAAAGTCACTTTACTTTTTGAACACACCTCGTATTTTCTAGCAACTCATATGATTCACCACCACGTCGGCCATATTTTGTAACTTTTGTAATCTGCTGTCAACTACTGAATTACACATCTGAGTCTCATATTTAAGAGCTGTTAGCTGTATTTAATTCGCTGTTTAACACACCATTTTTGCAATTAATGTCGTGCAATAACTTGACAACTTTGCTGGTAGTTTCGAAATAAAAATAATTTAACAAAGCGATTTGTTTCAGTCCGGCGATCAGATTATACGGATTAACGGTTTCACGGTAGACGATGCGGTACACAAAGAAGTTTTACAGCTGATCTCCAATCATACCCATCTCACTTTAAAAGTTAGAGGTAAGCTCAACCATGACGAATCGGATATCTTCTAATAATCCACCTTAACAACGAAAATTGAAAAGATCGTTTTCCCTTCTACTTAATCAGATTGAAATTTGACCAAAGCATAACTTTCTTCAAATAGACTTTGGAATATATTTGTAAAGAAGTAATTACAGTTTTAATCACTCTATTGGGGTTTCATACAATGATTTGAATGGTTACTTACATTGTCCCAAAAATACTAAAAAATATTCTACTTTAATCAAGTCTCATCTACCTAAAACTTAAGATTCTAATATACTCTTTAATTTTTTAAATATTCAGTGGGTCCTAAGTGACAAAGAATAAAATCTATAGAAATATGACTTTAAATGTTATAAAGCTTTAATAATTACAAAAGAAAAGTAATATACTACAGGAGAATGTGCAGAATATCCTGTCACAAGGTGCGAGAGACAGTATTAAGCTATATAAATAGATTTTGAATTTTTATTTAAAAACGCACTTGGCTATAGAATATGCCAATACAATTCCAGAGCGAAGTAAAAATACATCGGAAGTACTACACACATAACTTAAAGACTTCTCCGATATTTTAAAAACTTAATAAGATTTGCACAAACTTTGAATTTTCAGAAAAATAAAAAACTTCTTTACCCCAAGGTAACCGTTCAAATAAAGTATGAAATATTATTGACAGTTTCCTATAAATTTTTCTTAAACAATTTAAAAAATCTCGAATAAAATTAAGTTCAAAATTGGCAGATTTCAAATTATTTAAAAACAACTTTCTTGCAACTGATATTTATTCGATCGTTCCTGTTTCGGGTTTAATTAACCTGTATACTGCACAAATTATTCACAAAAGTAGGAACTAAAACTTTATCAACTCATTCGGTTTTTCTTCGAATTTAATAAAGTTAAGAGAGAATTTTTTTCATGTTCATCCAGAGTTCCATAACTATTGAATATTACAACAGTTGCATTCCAACTAAGCTTTGCACTGTCGTTAACTATCTATTTTACCCAACTAAGAAATATGTGCAATTATTCGAGCAGTAACAAATCTTTTGTTAATCACTTCTCATCACTTTTCAACAGTCTCTAGATTACTAGGTGAAAAGCCATTTGTTTTGCATGCAGTGTTTATGGGAATAGATTTCCAAAAAAAAAGAAATCTCACGTATTATCGGTGTTGCACGCGAGTCAAGCATTCGTGAAGGTCAGGATCGCCTGCAGTCTTCGTTCGTCATTCCATAAAAGTGAAATGATCGTTTCAGATTCGATTCTATTAAGGTCAAAAGTGAATTTTAAATTCCTCATTCGATTACTTTCAATGTGACCACTATTACCATGTGATTCTAGTACTGCGCGCAAAACTTATCTGTCTTAATTAATTTTTGGATACAATGACGCATTGTTCCGCAAGCGATATTGAAACAGCCTTTATGACACCTAGTTAAACTATTACAAGTTAATATAATGATTCAAGAAAAAATGTCAGATGGAAATAGCAATTAATAAGGATTAAAATTGTTCGAAATAAATGTATGTTATTTTATTCGGCAATATCTATAAAACTTCTACAAGTTGACACTTTTACATGGTATGCGGTTTTCACGAGTGCTACTTTTTTGAGAAACGACAGATGGCGCAAACGAAATATATCTAGCCTGTTTCGTTTTTCAGATGCAGGGTCTTTTAACCTCGTATACTAGTCTTTCACCGTACACTATATACTCGGTCTTTCAGACAGGTCGAGAAGTTATAGAATCCAATTTTTTACTTTTGTTGCTGATCGTATGAGTTTTTGAAAAATACAGCCACCTGGCGGAGTTAGTTTTGTTTTCTACTACAGGCTACTTCTAATCTTTCTATTTTGATTTTTTTTTTTAATTTTACACAAAATACCGTTTAAAATTTAGTTCATTTAGTTTTACATATTTTTTATTTTTAAGGAAAAGTTAAATAATTTTACTTAATTTCAATTAAACTTGTTAAATGGTTAAATTGATCTTTCCCAAAGATTTTAGAAAATCGACTACCGATTCGTAACGTGCTTTGTGTACCTTTTTTTGCATTAAACGTCATACAAAATTGTAAATAGGTTGATTGTTATGTCTAGCGCACTCTATGAGCAACGTAAGACCAAAAATTTCTCTTCTCAACCCCTAAATTGTGGTTAGTGTTATAAATGAAACAGGTACTGTAGCTTATAATTCCTCTAGTTTTATCATAGATAAAACAATTTGAGTTAATGGTCGTACTCATGATTTACGTCCATTTTCTTTATTTCGTTTTGACTTTGAACAATGCAAGAATTTGCATGTTATCTCTTTGTACCTTAAAATTTTAAATTTATCGCATCCACCATGGGTCATTAAGGGTTAAGTAAAAGTTAAAATATTATGGAAGGTATGGAATTCATAAGCAAAATTTTTATTGAAAATCGAATAGTTGAAAGTTCTTTTGGAAAATTGTTTTTTACTAATTTCAATAAAACCAACCGAACTCTGCATTTTTGGAATTGAAGTTTTGTTAATTTTTTCTCCAGTCCAGTCAAAGACACGCCAATTATTGATCGATTTGCTGGATCGATTGATTATCGGTCAGTTTTAAAGGATTACAAAGTAAATATCTTATTTCTTCAGGCGTTCTTGGGAAAGAAAAATCTCAGACCGTAAACTTAATAAATACGAGAAGCGAATTAGAACATCTGGTCGCTATATTGAATAATCCCTGATCGGCGAAAGATTGCATTGCCAGAGCTGGAGAAAAGTTTACAATTGCCTTATACAAGGCATCCGGGAGTGAAACATATCTACATCACATACACACGGTGTATCCCATAGACTATCCCATACTCCATAACATGTCACGTTTTTCGTCAGATTCATTTGTGACGAGGACCAATAAGTCCAATCTACCTCAAGTATACGAACTTAAAGTTTTATTTTACTAGACTATGATGTAAACAGTTTAAAAAATATATCATATCATCATATCATATGATATATAAAAATATCCTAGACCCACTATAAATAAGTTCTGGGTTTCCGGTCGGTCAAATAAGATTTCGTCGAGGTGAAAATAATAAAGAAACCCAGCATTTCAAGTTCTTGTTAAACTACCAGTGCTGATACTTAATAGTTTGAGAAAGCTCATAGATAAAATGTTTAGTCTAAAACAATTTAATTAAATCAATTAATAATTAATAAACGACTTTCTCTTTTCATATTGTCCAACTTAACTTCCTATTGAATATACTTTTTATTTGTATATTTTTTAAAAACTTCATATTTATTTTCTAGGTGTTGGTATGATTCCAGTCAAAGAGTAAGTATATTTTAAGATTTCATGTGTATTTTAAAACAAATTCAATTTAATCGCTAGTCCGAAGATACAGTTATTTAATTTAAAAACTAATTCTGCTATCAATCCGATCTAACAAATGATTATTACTTTAAGAAATCACCATATAATTTATGTAGATTGCGAATTGATACGTGCCGTAAATTACCAGCAAACACAAAAGTTACGGTTTTTGATTTTAATCTTCTATTATGCTTTACATTTTATAATTGCGGAAACTCTGTATTAAATCGATTTTTTAATCAGATCAACATTTTCTGCTTTTCAACAACATTTTGTTATTTCAAATTATGACTAATGTTAGCAGGAAAACCGACACCCTAAGTTGGCAAATAATATCGGATGCAGCGTCACCAGCGGCACGGCATTCTCCGCAATTGAGTGACAAAATCAACGACGTGAGGATAAACGTTATGGTCGCACCCAAAAGCAAGTTGGGGTGCGGGTAAGTAATACTAACCTTAAATTTAGTCGATTCCTTATCAAAACTCTATTCGTAGAATATGTAAAGGACCAGAATGGAAACCGGGAATTTTCGTACAGTTTACCAAAGAAGGAGGTATAGCCCGGGAAGCGGGATTAAGACCCGGAGATCAGATATTATTTTGCAACAATGTCGATTTTTCAGACATACCTTTCAATGAGGTAAATACGCTCCCAAAATAACACTTATAGCCTAAAATCCAAAGCTTTTTGAGTAGATAACGTTAATATCACGCTCATGTCATTGTTGCCCTGTAGCGTGCTCTATATAACACATATAAGCAAGCAAGCAAGCGTAAATTATTCCCCTTCCAAGAATTAATAATTCATCTGAATTTTGGCATCTTCATTCAATCAGCACATTCTCAAAAATCCTAAAGAAAGTAATGTAACATCAATTAAAAGAGTTATCCAAAATAAAATATTACCCGAAAAGCGTTCAAATAGCATCGACATTAAATCCGAAGTAACTCAAGGTAGTATCCTGAGGCTTCCGACACTATATATACATTTGAATTTCATTGGTCTCTTAAACATCTTAAATACCATCTATGCGCTGACAACACCAATTTTAATGCGTATTATTTTTGTATTTAGTCCGATATAATTACCTTTTATAATTGTGATCACTTATTTAAAATTAATCTCGCAAAATGTAGTTTCTGGAAATTATATTCATTTTGAAAAATTCGTGGAAAAGTCTGTGACTGTATCTAAACTATAACCTTAGATTTGGACAGCATGTTACTTATAAGATTTGGTGAGCCTATGGTGTAAACTAACCAAAAGTAATTTACTTCCATAACTACAACTTAATTGTAACTCCCTATCTTGGCTAAAAGATAAAGATAAAAGAGAGATGTGCATTCATTATCCTTATGTCTTTAAACATCCTAATAACTAAAAACTACCAAATTGAGCTTTTTATATTTAGAATATAACATTAAATGCCAATTAGTAGTTTAACTTCTAAATTAACTTCGTTCGTTTTATGACAAAAACTTTTTTGAATAGTCATAACTTTTCTGTACATACTTGTACAAGATTTGCAAATAAAATATGCATTTTTGTGTCATTTTTACGGAAAAATCGTATATTAGGCGGAAGTCACTATGACCTGGAGATATTTGGACTTAAAATAAAAAGATTTGTCTAATTCATACAACAGCAAATATTTCGAAGTCAGTTGCTAGCTGTAACATTATCCCACATACCCTGAAAGCCGTTAACGCTCTGTAATAACATACCATGACTTTGAAATTGAACTCTCAGCATTCGGATCTCGGAAACAGTAAGATAACCAGGGTGGCTCAAATATTTATATTTTCCTTGGTATTTAGTTTTTGGTAACCAGTTTGTTTCAATATTTATAGATAGTCTTTAATCACATTATTAAATGTTTTAAAGCTATATATCCATCAAATTAATTAAGCGCCGGAAATACAATAAACTGAGGCGCCTCAGGTGGATATAACATTTTTATACAGAATAATCTTGTTGATTGAAAGTGAGTTTTAAAATGTCTCACGCATGCACATATTCGATGTGGTTCTCAACAACTCATTTTTAAAAAATAGAACACCCTATATTTAGCATCTTTATTGGGTTTGGAATTTAATTCTGTATCAACATTAATTACTTAAATTCAACAACAACCTTCATCTTTGGCAATACAAGTAGTATATATGGTTTCACTATTTACAAGTCTTCTGAATTCCTCGTGCGTCTGTTGTTGATGAATCGAACTTGCTGACGTTTCGCCAATCATCCTGTTGACTTCTTCAGAGCTCAAATTCTACTCTGTACCTGCTTATATATTCTTTGAAGGGGTCGGAGCTAAAGGAAGGGCATGAACATTGTTTCAGATGACTGATTCCCAAATTTGCGAAAGATCGCGATGGAGACTGTTTGGTTGCTTATAGAGTTCTATATATTCTCAGATTTTTCGTGGATAGAAGAACTGATTACATGTAGGAATTTTAGTTTTATTGAATAATGATGAGTTTATTTGTCGTAGTCTTAGGGCTCTTTCATGTTCTTTGAGCCTAGTTCATATTTTTCGTCCGATCTCTCCAATGTATTCTTTGCCGCATATGCATGGAAAGCTGTAAACTCCTGGTATCTCAAACGGAATTGTTTCTTTGATGGATCGATGATGTTGAGAGAGTTTTGGACGAGTGGTAAATCTGGTTTTGACGTTATATTTTTTTTTAATATATGGTCAGTAACGTTTTCAATGTAAGGCAAGACAACAGTGGCAAGTATGAGGTTGCTTCGAAAAGTTGCGTGAAGTGTATTTTGATAAGAAACGGTTAAAATCTCTAATGAGAAAATTATTAAAGAGTAGAACAGATGTAACGTTTTTTAGTTCTGGATTCAGTGACTCGGGTTGAGATAGTTTTACAGCTCTGTAAACAAAACGTTGATGGTTGATGGTGATGTGACAATGCATTAAGGTGTCGGTCTATGTGCGTAGATTTTCTTTACAAACATTGACCCAATGTTAGGTCTAATTTTCTATTGAAAAAAATATCTAAGAATGGGAGATTGTTACTAGTTTCTAATTCAATTGTAAAACGTAAGTTAGGGTGTTACAGAGGTTAAATGGCTCAGAAAATCATGTAGCATGAGGACAAATAACAAAAGTATCATCAACGTAGAGTTTCCATGACTTTGTTTTTAAATTGAAGCGCCGAAGGCTTTCTTCCTAAATATATTCAAGAGGACTGGTGATGGAGAACCTACAACTGGTCCCTCGTCGAAACTAACCAGAATATGCTGTGTATGTAATGTAATGGTTTTTAATTGTTTAATGAAATGAAAGGAAATTAATCAGTTTTCCCTCTAAAAGGCTTGATTTTCCCGCCTCAGAAAGTTGGCTGCGATGATACATTTACAGTGTTTGGTAGTTGAGAGGAGTGTGATGGTTTCACTAGTGTGAACGTTCGTTTTTCAAATGGTTGGATTTGATCCTCGGTAGAAGATAAACGAAGATTTTCAGCTTTGTCATGAATCATATTTGAAAGAGTATCGAACTCGCCTGGGGACAAAATGGAAACAATTTCAAGGTGTAGTGACAGAAGAGTCTTATTGATTTGGTCCATTTTTTACGGGGAATTTTATAAGCAGATGAAGTTTTGTTATATATGTTAAGAAAGTTAGTGATAACAGTACGGCCCCTACAACGTGACAAAATGTCAGTGTAGAGAGTAATCTTACCAATTTCATGCTACGGTGGTCATGAACACAAGTGAATGTCAGGAAAAAATTCAAGTTATTCTTATAGACGGATCCGATCGATAAGTTAAAAAATATACTACATATATGGAAGGCTTAAATATGTTATTAAGGATCCATGAAAAAGTCTGTGACCCTTCATGACTCTATAATTACCCGCCTCTACGGACTCCCTAACATTCATAAACCAGGACTACTCCTTTGACCTATTTTCAGCACCCCAACATATTCTCTAGCAAAATATCTTGCTCCTATATAGTGAAAACTGATAGTTTCGTACTTAATTTCTTTCATTTCATTGAACGATTAAAAACCATTACATTAGATCCGCAGGATATTCTGGTTAATTTCGACGTAGAACTCCCTCTGTACTAAAGTCCCTATTTCAGATATGTAAAAATCCTAGAATCTGGAATCAAACCTTCTTATCTTAATTGAAAATTGCGTTGCTGGAACATATTTTTCTTATTATGGTCAACAAAGGTCGGGAACAGCTATGGGTTCGATCACGATCACGATCACCAGTCATCGCGAATATATTTGCCTTTGCGAAGAAACCCCCCAGATCTTCAATCTAAACCTAAAATTATGAAAACGCTCGTTATGCGTTTGTTATTTGGCCTCACGGTCGAGAATCTCTCCGAGATTTTTTTAGCCATTTGAACTCTATATGCCCCAACATACGTTTTACCATTGAATTACCAAACTAATATTAATCTAAATAAATAAGAACTAAAAGTTCAGATTTTCACGAAATATATTTTGACATGATAATTGTTTCGACAACACCGTGTCTTTATCCAAAAAAAAAAGATAAAGACACGGTGTTGTCGAAACAATTGTCATGTCAAAATATATAATTTCGTGAAAATCTGAACTTTTAGTTCTTATTTATTTTGATAAATGGATTTTCATCAAGTAAAAGCCTGCTCAGTTCAATTAATAATAATCTCCCACTTTTACGACTAAGGGTAGAAATTTCCGAATATTCGTTTTTGTTGTTAACACGTTCGAATTAATATATTGCAGGCGGTAAGCATAATGAAATCAGTACGTCAACTCAACCTCATAATAAGAAAGGGAGCCGGATCGGAATTGTTCCCCGGAGAATCCAGCGGTTACAATAGTTCCGCTAGCTCCGTTACTGGAGACCAGAGCCCTTCCTGGTCAGATTCCAAACGACTCTCTATCGTCAAGGAGGAAAATCTGGACTTGGGCGAAAGACTCAATCATTTAGATAGATATAAAAATCGTAAGCAACAATGTCGTGACTTTTCGTGTCTTAATATTCTTTCTATTATTCCACAGTATCCAACACAAAACACTGGGACTCTTGGGATGAAGAGCCCGAAGATAAACCTCTGTTTAAACCGACGATCATAAGTCTATCGGAAAGCGGAACGACGATTCAGAATAACGGCGCTCAAAATGATAATCCTGACTGCCACAACAAAGTCAGCCGTTGCAACACAACAAATAACTCAAATAACAAACTGGCAGACATTTGTTTAATTTCACAGCAGCACGAGATGAAAACTGTGGTAGTTGAAGTACACCGAACTGATACAGACGAACCGAAGACCAATAACCACAATACATTAACCAAGAGTCCTTCAACTAGCAGTTTTTACAGTGTCACCAGCAAGAGCAGTTGTACAGGCAGCGTGGCGAGTAGTTTGTCATCCGCCATCACTCAGGAAATTCAGAGAAGAAGTCAGGTAAGAGAATTTGACTTAACTAAATGTTTGCGAATTCGTTTATCAATGTCGTGCCGTTTTTTCTTTTTATGAATATTAAATACTTGGTTATGTATATGCGCGTACATTTATGTGAAGGCCGTTGTTTGGCGTATTAGATCGCGGTTCCCCGTCAACTACTGATAGTAGTCTACTGTTGTGTCTGTGAATTAAGTGGGTTTTAAATAATTAGAACAACGTTCCAAAATCATCCAAAATATTTGTTCTGTTGACTCAATAATTCTTTAGTAGTTTCCGAACGTTCAAGTGACAAAAAACCAATTAAAACTTGTAAGATATGCAATATAATTTGATATTTTGATTTTTTTGGTTAAAATTTCAGATATGTGTTTCAGTTATTACATTTATTGCCCCTTAAATTATGTGGATCTTTTGATAAATTTTACTTAATTTTATGTATATATATATATATATATATATATATATATATATATATATATATATATATATATATATATATATATATATATATATATATATAGTTTATATTTTGTTTTTTCTTAGACCTTCTCTATATTTATGTTTAGCTTTTGGTTCTTGGGTTATAGGTCCTTGTATTAAAAGCGATTAAAATTTTTTTTGTCCATATATTGACGTTTCGGTCTTCTATGACCTTCTTCAGAAAGGGGTACAGTCAAAAAGAGACAAACACAAATATTAAAATTGAAGAGGTAGCATCATATGGAAGTTTATACTTTAAAAGCGTTTGGTTTTGTCATAGTGCCTTTTATCTTTTATCAAGGGCACTATGACAAAACCAAACGCTTTTAAAGTATAAACTTCCATATGATGCTACCTCTTCAATTTTAAGATTTGTGTTTGTCTCTTTTTGACTGTACCCCTTTCTGAAGAAGGTCATAGAAGACCGAAACGTCAATATATGGACAAAAAAATTTTAATCGCTTTTAATACAAAGACCTATAACCCAAGAACCAAAAGCTAAACATATATATATATATATATATATATATATATATATATATATATATATATATATATATATATATATATATATATATATATATATATATATATATATATATATATATGTATGTATATATGATGACACTATATTCCGGGATATCATCCGTTCGCTCGTTGAACTCCGACTGGAATCCTGCATCCGACTGGAATCCTGCAAATCTTGCATCCGACTGGAATCCTGCAGACGTTTCGCCAAAATCTCACTTGGCATCTTCAATGCTCGCGCTCCGAAAACACTTCGAAGTGTTCGAGCATTGAAGATGCCAAGTGAGATTTTGGCGAAACGTCTGCAGGATTCCAGTCGGATGCAAGATTTGCAGGATTCCAGTCGGTTTTCAACGAGCGAACGGATGATATCCCGGAATATAGTGTCATCACATTTTTCCATCCGTGAATCAATACGTGAGAATATATATATATATATATATATATATATATATATATATATATATATATATATATATATATATATATATATATATATATATATATATATATATATATATATATATATATATATATATATATATATATATATATATATGCCAGCATGACTGGCAGATTTGTGAATACCTACAATTTTTTTGAATAATCTGGATTCTGCACCAGAGAAGATGTTGTTTTACAAGCGAAGCTATATTTTTTAAATAGCCACATTTCCTGGACATAATTTTTATACTAAACTTGTTCTTGTAGAAAAAAATTACAGAGGAACCAAAGCAAACGATAGACGAGCAAATCCAAATTAAAAAAATTTTGAAAGGAGTCAGCACCGACCAGCAGTTTCAGCACAACAAGCTGATGGACGAGTTCAAACGAGCACATCAAAGGATGTTCAAGGTGCCAGATAGTAAGAAAAGTTCGGATAATCCGATCGAAATGAGGAATGGCGATTCGGATAAAGAAAATGTGGTAAGTTTTTAAAGTAAACATTAAAAAGAAATTGTGGACTGTTTGATTCATACCTGTAGAACGAGGAACATTTGGATAGGCAAGTTTTCCTGGTGAAAAAAAGTTTTTGGATAGATTTTAACTAAACCGAAAAAAAGCATATAATTTTTGTTTGTATCTTATTCATCTGAAACTTTCAAAACTTGCACTCTTAAACCTTTTTGAGCTCAAATTTAGAGAACTAAGCAATCGGAGTTTTTTATCCAATTTTCGATTTTTTTTGTGATATTTTCAAGTTAAAATGATTAAAATGGCAATCAAACCTGATTAACACTCTCTCTATTTGCAGAAACAAAATTAAAAAACCATATCGAGCGTTTACACACTTTAAACCGGAATCCATACACGTCACAAGTTAATGCGGAAACAGCATATTGAAAAAAAAATAAATCAGGAATGTCAACTCGATTTACAAAGCTCGATTGCGCATGCAACCTAATTGAGAAAACTGCATTAATAAATGAATTTGCGTCAATAGAATTTATATAGAAAACGTTATCGCAAACCAAAATTGGAAGACCTAATTAATGAGATAATTATTTATTAGAGACATTTGCTATGCTATTCTGAGAAATCTACCAAATAGTGCAGAGTCTTCGACAAGGAATTTATTTAAGGAAATTTCGGAACTAAAATTTTCCAACTATTTCCAGTAACAGTTTCCGAATCAAAAAGGGAAAAATACATATTTTTCTCAAATATAAATTTAAACAAAAATTGAAACTACCGATTCCTCTAACCAACTGCTCTAATTATTGAGTGGTTAAAGTCTTTTAGGTGCATCAAATTTAATTTGTAATTTATATAATTATATAATTATTTTTGAGACCTAGACTCTTCGAGAATAATCGATTTGTTTTATTTTAAAATATCAAAGCTCGTACCACTTTTTTGAAAAAATGGCGACATCGTAAAAATCTTAATATTTCTATCTTCTAACCTTATCTAATTCTAACCTATCACCCATCGTGAATAAACTGGAAGGAGGTTAGAAAATATTTATTTTCTTTTCTATTTCATTTGTATTTCAAGATTTCAAGATAATCTAATTACAATGAATTGTTATTAATTAATTTGATGTAACAATCTTGAGAAAAGCCTTATTCTTCCTTCCTTTTAAAAAAATGTTTTACCTTCTAAAATGTACAACCACACTTGCGTCAATATCTAAGCATTTTTAATGAAAGACATGACGCTTGTATCGTCACCCAAGGCGCCAGGCTGTTTATCTTACATTCTGTCAGTAAATTCAATTGTTTTAGCGATGCTTATCGACTTTCTAAATAGAATATGATCGATTAAAAATTGGACAAGCCTAAAGCGAACAGCAAAATCATAAAATGTCTGTGCTCAAGAAGAATGAATTTCACGGAATTAAATTTTATCAAAAGTGGAACAACTAGGAATTGTTGATAATAAGATATTCATCATGCGACCAGTTCAAAAAATTGCGTATCAAACAACATTTACTCGTTGAAATTCATATTAAATTGAGTTTGTCTGGATCTGACTCTCTCTCCTGAAAATATTTTTTCAATTATTGTTCAATTTATGTTTTGGATTTTTACTGCGTTTCAAATCATAAATTTCAAGCTTTTAAAGTGACCGCCGGCATTTTCTTATTAAATCTACCTTATTAAATAAACTTGTTTATTTTTAAAATTAATTAATATAACATTATATAAAATTTAAAATGCAGCCATTTTATTTTATATTCTACCCAATTTTATCCTATATCGTATACATATTCATAATTGCGGAGCCGAAAATGTCAGCGCGTAGAGCGCCCTTTGAGTTTCGAATTGTTAGACCGTAAATCCCTGTATTACTACGGAAATGGCCTCTTCTCTAGATATACTGCTCAACAAAACTTTTTAAAAATAGAAACATCTTTGAATAGAAGGAAACTTCTTTTTCGTTTATTTATTTTTCCTTTCTAGTTACATACTACCCCCACCCCCCGCTGATTTTTTAATAATGTAATATAAAAAATTATAATACGTACACCAAATTCCATGGAAAAGGACGGGGAAGATACGGCTTTTTACATATGCAGATGGAGTTCAATAATTGATTGTTGTTTCCGGTGTGACAAAAATTAAATTTTTTAATACGAGCTTGGATTGAAATTTTATCTGACATACTTTGATTTTGGTAGTATATTAAGGAAATGCACACAAAACAGGTCTAACTTGATTTATTTATATATTTGCAACAATATTCAGCGACCAGAAAATAAAACTAAATAATTAATCCGCGCATCTCTAAATCGAACGCTCGAACTCCGGCGCCATAGCTAATAATCACGCCATCGCTATCCAGGTGATTATATTTTTGCAAAACAACATGAATACAATCACTGAGTCACAAGTGGCATGACAATCGCTAGTAAGCCTGTCGGCTATATCCCGGAAATGTCCGAAGTGGCTCGCAGCCGAAACGTAGTAAAATAATACTCTCAGCACGCTAGATCGGTGTATAATTGTATTTATATATATATATATATATATATATATATATATATATATATATATATATATATATATATATATATATATATATATATATATATATATATATATATATATATATATATATATATATATATATATATATATATATATATATATATATACATATATATAAATATAATAATGCGGTTTTAAGAAAACATCTGGCTCTCAAGTGGTTGCTTATTGCGTTGCACATACAAAAATTTTATAGGGTAGCTTAACAAAAATATGCATTTAACATTATTAATCCATTTAGCTACCCAGAACCAAGAACGTTTTTACCTATTTTCGAAACTATAAATTGATATCAAATTTATGAATGTTTAACTCCCAAGATAAGAACAGTTCTTTATATCATTATATATATATATTTTTTTTTATATTATTGTTTTTGATATGGTCTTTTGACACAAATATTTATAAAAGAAGAACGATCTATTATTATAACAATTTTATTTGTCTTCTTTAAATATTTTTTCAAAATATTAACAATGAATGACTAGCATAGTAAACAGAAATATGCTCAAATTTGCAAATTTATTCAAGCACATTTCCGCTTAGAAACATTTTTGCTAAAAAGATCACAAAAAATTAAAACAACCTACAACTTCGACCATTTTTTATCGTACAGTGTATTCACTTTCTTTCCGACGCAACGACGCTATAGATGCCCCAACCCGAGCTCGATCGGAAAGTTTTGTTTCACTTCGCACCTGATCGCAGCGCAGCCACACAAAATAAAACAATACAAGCGCGATAATCCTAAAATCATCCAAACGAGCGTCGATCTCCCACCGGCATCGTTAGCGTTAAAAATCGAATTGTTTTGAACTTGTTTCGGTTCGGTAATACTTTCCTCGCAGCGACACAGTGCTAGTTAAATAACCAGTTTTTTTTCTATTACTCGGTTGCGGGAAATCCATTGCGCGTGTGCCTGTGCAATAATTACATAGAAACTGCCGAAAACGACGGAAAATTGCGGAAAATGAAGGGGAAAGGCAGCAGGCCTTCGTTTGTTTTGCAAACGTACGAGGTGAGTGGTCAATATTTTGCTTGTTGTTGATGATAAAGCTGTGTATGTCATTATTATACCCAAACTAATTTGTTTTTTCTGATAGCCTTGATGCTTTTTAAATGCGTTTTTTCTAGAGATATCCGCGAATCATGTGTTTACTTTACGAATAAAAATAAATTGTTAATCTGCAAGTGAATAAGTAATGTATTATTATTTTTGGAAGATTATTAATGTAGGTGCATTCGTGACAAAAAAACTGTATGGTACGACAAAAACACCAGTTTACCGCGTTACTTAAATATAAGAACCCAAGGTTATCCCTCAGTCTTTAAAGTTGGAGGCTGAAGTTGGAGTTCTTCAGTCTCAATATATGTTTTGTATAGTCAGTTAAGTTTCGAATCCGTCCTTCTATTTTTCTAATCCTAATTTTACCCAGCACACGGGCACCTGCTACACCACTACCAATATAAAAGTCCAGTAATAAAGAATGTCTCTGACAAGCTGTACCGAGTCCGATCAGCAATTGCAGATAGACCAATATTCAATAATCGACGTGAGACATTGGAATGCCGAACATCCATAAGAGATTAGGACAGTAATATAATGCAAAAATTTCATAGTATCTGCCAGTGGCCGCGAAAATTATACAACTATGGCAACAAGGGACAGTAAGAGCATTTTGGCATTACCGTTTAAGACATTTATTATATTTATTATATATTGGTATAATGAACTAGATCTTCTCTTAATATAGCCGTATAATGTTATCATTTTGCTAAGACATGATATTATTGGTAACCCAATAAAAGTGTAGGATGTCAACGAAAATATTAATAATTAATAATATTGATAATGATAATGAACACACAGTATAAAGGGTACCAAAACCATATTATGCGTGAGTTCGGCAACTGCCAAGACAGCACATAGCCATACCTGGAAATACCATCTTGCGTTTCACACTGCGAAAAGACTAAAATATGAAGACTTTCCTTTTGAAAGAAGACAAGTTCGCGATGTAAAAATATATCCTATGGTGAACTCAGAAACGAAAACCATCCCCAGGACCGTAGGAAAACATACGCGTGGAAATGTCATCATGCCGATTCAGAAATCCATAATGCCGATTAAAATTATAGCGCATTCATTGTTAACCAGCCTTTACAAACAAAATAAAAAAAATCTAGACTTTTAAAATATATTTCTTATTAATTTTGTGCATACGACACTCAAATTGTACCCGAAAATTTACATTAAAGTCATTTAAAACAACGAGCATAAAAAATAACGTTAATATTGCAAATTATTGTTATATTGCTAGCAGTAAGAGTGTCGTAATTCATATGACGTTTATTAACTTTAAGTTAAATACCTAACATCGCCTGATAATAATTACCTTAAACTGTTCATATTTGAACAAAGATAAATTTGAAAATTTTTCGTCGTTTGAATCTAGTATATAACATTTTTATCAACTGGAGTGTAATAATCATTTATAATTTCTCATTTTTACATTAAATAATGGGGTCCGCTCGTGCCAAATTAAAATCATGAATAAAATGGTATTTATCAAACTATGTACTATATAGTATTTATCATATTCTATAATACTTGAATATTTTAATTTTAAATACGTTTGATTTGAAAGAAAATGTGGATTGATATTATTACTCTGGATATTATAGTTATTACTTTTTATTCATTACGTTATTAGATTATGTTGCCTCCATACAAAGCCGGTATTATTCACGGTTATGGATTTTTATTTTTTCCGTGTCGGGGCATACTTGATAATTATATTGCCGCCGTGAAATATTATGCCACACTTTTTATGTAACAGTAGTAAAATTTTAATTGATATATTTGTTTTGAATTTTAGAAATCGTCTAATTCCTAACTTTAATTACCGCATTGTAAAGAATTCGATGAAAACGGTGAAAACCAATTATATAACTTCGATTTCTAACATCTTCGTCCCGTGTTGTGTATAAGTAAAACTCAACAGAAGATAAGTAAATGGTATTAAAGTAGTCTGTGGAAGTTGAAAAACCTTCCGTTTAATGTTTCGGTTGACGATGTAGCAGTTTTGTAAAGCATTAAAATGACTTTGGACTATTTAGTACGCAAAAGAAAAAACAAATACATTCATGGGAATCACACCAGCTTTTCAAGCCGCAAATTAATTAAGTTTGCTTTCCACTAATAACTAAATAACCTAAACTGATTGTAGAAAGCAGAAAAAAGAAAATAATAATACACATACAAAGCTACCACTACTTAATAGATAATAATAGATAAAATATCACAACGAAACTGCGGTTAAAAATAATGGGATAAAATATAGACATAGTGAAGAGATCGCGTTAGAATAAGACGACAAACACTTGATCGCTTATTCTAAAGACTAAAGACATATTAAAATATTTAAATATTATTCTTAACTAGCAATGGAATTTCAACTGGTAAATTTTTTTCTCACAATTTTAGGCTTTGCTTTGAAACGTTGCAGGCTGTTGTATATCGGGGGGTAAAAAAAAGGAAAAAAAGAAGCGATGCTGACAATTTCTCGAGTGTAAATGAAAGTGATCAAGTAAAATTTACCAGTTATACGAGCAACAAAGCGTGCCTACATTAGATATCTTAATTAGGAGGCTTGAAAAAGAAGAAACCGGTGTTAAATGTGGCAGAACTACCTTATGGAAGTGTATTCAGCACATGGGTTTTAGATTTTAAAAAATTGACAAAAGGCAAGTTTTAATGGAATCTTTTAGAATTCGGAAATGGCGACTGGAATATCTAGAAAAAATTAAGATTTACAGAGAACAACAGAGGCTAATTATTTACTTGGATGAAACCTGGTTCGACACTTATGATACCCCGGAAAAGGGTTGGGTTGACTCAACTGATAAGTGTAAAACAAACGCGCCATCAAAAAGAGGTAAACGAATAACTATTTTGCATGTAGGCTCTAAACATGGTTGGATTCCAAATGAACTTTCTGTGTCTGCGAAAAATATTAAAGATTCTTTTCTGGATTACCATGAAGACACCACCGCTGATTTATTTGAAAGTTGATTTAAAAACAAACTAGTTCCAAACATTCCTCCTAATAGCGTCATTGTAATGGACAATGCAAGTTATCACAGTATACAGTTGACTAAAAGCCCTTCCTCGTGTGACACAAAAGCAACAATCCAAAACTATATGTATAATAACGACATTTATTTTCACGACGATTATACCAAAAAACAATTAATTGAGGTCATACACCTTACCACTGTATATTTAATCCCATTGAACATGTTTGGCACCAACTGAAATCTGCCATTCATCGTAACAATGCTTTTCCCCGTGTTAACTCCAATGTCCTCAAACTTATAGAATCCGAAGTTTTTAACATCCCTCCACAAAGTTGGGCAAATTCTGTTAAAGATATAGAAAAAGCAGAACAATCGTATATCCATCCATATTGCAAATAATATAGAACAAATAAAAATTAGAACAGGCGATGATAGCGATAGTGACACTGATCTGTTATGTGAATAATTTTAAGTAATTTAAGTAGGTCATAAAAATAATTTGTAGTTTAAACATAAATACATACATAAATAAATAAATATTGTTTAGTATCTTTCCTAACAAAACCCCAAATAATTAAATTCTAAGCACAGCTACAGCTTGCCCGGGTCTTTCCTTAATTCGTATGAGTTAGTCAATTTCTTATATCTATGAACAGACTTTAACATATTATAGGCCTTAATTGCTGTCTATACAGGGCCTCTTTTAAGTACAAACAAATTTTCTTTCCGAAAGCCTTTTTCCTACTCGCAAAGATTTGGAAGTGATCAGATGTTCCCTTTCTGACGTTTGTCAGTGTCATAGTCAGATCGCACGTACCTCAGTTGTTCTGCTCGTTCTTCTTTTAACTAAAGTGACGTTTATTAAACGTGTTACATCATAATCATTTATATTGTCATTGACAATCAGCGACTTTGGATATTCTACAGTTATCAACAAATATTTCAAGAAAAACGATATTTTATCTGAATAAACTGGTTAGTTGACTGACTTAAACCAACCTAGTGTATATTTAATCTACTCATAACTATGGTAATCTTGCTTCACCTTAATCATAATGAGTTTCCATCTAACGAATAACTTTAAATGGAAAGTTATACAAAATTTATATATGTGCCATATTTTAAGATAGAAAGGGATGTGGCCTAAACGAGCTCTTAGATAGAATTGTTATAAGGCTTTTACCAGACGATAGATCATAATCTGCTTAAAAGCAATTGTGTAAATCATTCTATATGGCCGCGTTTCAAGTGTTTTTAAGATTGATTGGAATTCTGTCATTCTTTTATTCCTTGATATAAGAGACGTTATCAAGTTAAAAAATGACACTTTAAAAAAAATCACACAATATTATATTTATATGGAACTAACACAACTATCAAACTTTCATGCGTATTTTTATTTCTGTAATAGGTTGTCATTGAAACTTGGAATAACTGATGTTCCTATTTTCTAACTAAAGTCATGAAATAGGTTTATGTATTTTTCAAAACAAAAATTAAAATTAATTCCGTGAACTTATGGCAGACCTCTCAAATTTCGTTGAGCTGGACAAAGTGCAACTATGGGCAATATTTAAGAACAGAATAATAAAAATTCGTCAGGTAATATAGCTCGAAATTTTCGTAGCACACAAAGGAAATTATTTTGACACTAGACGGAAAATACTATTTTGTGCACAAAGAGTTTGGTTTATGAATTAGAGATTACTTGGAACACTTTCATTTCAGGATCGTCTAAACAACAACAAAAACTCCAATGAATTATCGAACAAGTTGTCGGAGAGATTGTCGAACTTAAATATCGAAGAACCTCAGAATGAAAGACTGACGCACAATAAGCAAAGTTTTACGACATCGGCTCCTCCACCGCCTCCACCAGTAAGTATGGAATTTCTTGACAACTTGTTCATTGTTGATATTTATCGGTAATCCAAATCTATAATCGATCTGCATATTTTCTCTATCCATAATATCTAAAAATACACAGGCGTGTTATCATTTTTACTCGTTTTGCGTTTTATCTCGTAAAATGTTGTCGATTGTTGCCTTTATTTAAATAGACATGACACTTTGTTATTAATCTATCGATTGGCGTTTCCACTAACTTTGATTCACTATATTTAAACAGTGATTATTCCGAAACTTTTTCGAATTTTTCGCCCAAATGAGAGAGAAACAATGAAATATATAAAGCTATATAAACCCAACTAATGTCGGGGATTCCGTTCAGTATTACCAAATCTAAGGCGTAGGTAGGAAAATTAATCCTGAAAATCGTGTAAATGGTACATAGAAAACTTATGAGGTTATTTTATGCATTTATTTTAGCAGAAAATTCTGACGGTTCGAAATAAAACGCTATTACGGTCTGTTGAACAAATTTAGTTAGTAACAATTTTGATTATTAACATATGTTTTATATTGAAAAAATAATAATTGAAATAAAATTAAAAAAACTGGGACAAATCGATTTTTTCAAAGGTAAACCGTCTGTTTTTATAATCCTATCTTATTTAGAATTAAGAATTAGAACTAACTTTGTATTAGGTTGTATATTCTGAATATTTATAGTTATTGAGACATTGGCGATTAATTTATTTTACTTGTTCTCTTCGTGTCCAATTAACCTGAGAACCATCGAGTCAAAAAGTGTCAAAAATACTTGACTTGATTGTGCTGGTGTTTGATTTTTTTTGGGGTATTATAAAAAATCTGGTGTATAACAGCCCAATTACAATCAAAGAAGACTGACTATATGCAGCGAGCTATGGACGCATTCGATAGGAAACATATGTTGAAGTTCAAAGACACCAATTTGAACATTTGAAACGTTGTGAAATTCTGTATAAATAACAATCAATTTGAAATAATCTTGTCTACTGATAATACTATTTATATGGCAACTGGCAACAGGTATCTTTTTATATTTTTTTGTTTTTCTGCATCGCCCCAGTCCCGCCAATCTTCATTGTTAACTCAAATTAATTGAACGTTAAGAATATAAGAATCTCAGAATATACAATCGAATACAAAATAAGTTCTAATTCGAAATTCTAAATAAGGATAGGATTATAAAATCATGCGGTTTTCCCTAAAAAAAAAGATTTTTGCCAGTATTCTCAATTTTATTTTCATTACATTTTTTTTGAATGAAAAATAGTAACTAAATTCATTCACCACACCATTTTCTACAGAGCAAGAGTAAGATTCCGTCTACAAACTTTATTTTTGACGTAAAATGTTAAATATCTCATAAACCGTCAAATCGAAGAAAGCAATAATGTGTTCCATTTAAAATAAGAAATTTAACATCCATTTTCGGTATATCCCGTTTTGTCGCCATTTTGAAAATATTTTAGCCCGATTGCCCCCATCAGCAACGAATTTTCAAATTTTGGATACTTAGAGTTTTCCCATAATAGATTGACGAAGTTCCAGTAGGATCAATGTTTATATAAATAATTTTATTGTCGTTATTCATTGCAAGTGTACATATACATATATATTTATTACCACACTGACGTATGTAAAATAAATGAACACATGTAATAAACTATATGATTCTGCCTGTCAAAATATCACACCCTGTAGGTACCGGAAATGAGTGTCAATTCTTTTATTTTAAATCTGTTATTTTTTGCTATTTTTTTGTTTATTTTTTGAATTCTCGCGAAAATTCTATTCTTCTATTTGATGTTATAAATCCTTTACAATTTTACTTTACCTACTTACCCTGTATATTTGACAGCCGTATTCCGCATCTTTGTTGATTTGTCCAGTCTCCATCATTCAGATTACTCCTTTTCATTACTTCCTGAAGTTCTTGATTTCAGTTTTTTTCTGGTATATCTCTTTTCCTTCTTTGTTTTGGACTCCATTCAACTGTTCTCCTATCCTCCCAGATCCCATACTCGTCCATAAATACTTGTTCATTAATATAATTTTCTAGCATATTTCATTTAATATTTATTTTTTCAACTATTTTTCATAAGCATGTATTAGGATATGTGGGGGGATAGTGTGCCGCTAAAAATAATTTAACGTGTATTTACAAAAATTTACAAATCATTTTTCAAGGAGGGAAAACATATTCAAATGTGTTAACAGTCTGTCAACATTTACAAAAAAAAAACACTACATACTAACGAGCCTGCATATGTTCTCACATCTACTGCACCCCTAAAATATAAAGTTTAATACAATTACAATGTAAGTAGTACCATGCAATTCTGCATGTAAGACCTGGTTTTCAAATTTCAGCTACCTCAGGATCACGACCATTCCACGTCTTCGATACCATCGACACCATCGACTTTGTCGTCTCCTTCGTCGTCAACGTCATCTACCCGTTCTAATACCCTCAAAAATAACAAAACTAAACCAAAGGCTCCACCAGTACCAGTCAAATATTCAGTCCTCTCGTATCAACAGCCTCCGCCTTGTCCTACGCCAGACTATGACACTTTGAGTTTAGCAAGCACGACTTCCAGTGGGACTGCGGTTAGCAAATCGACGTTTAGCAACAATTCTACTGAAACTTTACGCTCGGCTCGAGCAGATAATCGTTTGGAACAAATGAATTATGTGCAGAAACGAATTATCTCCGGTCAATTGTCCACTCCGGTCACGAAATCTAACGGAACTTTGATTAAAAAGAGGCCCGTGAGCGTCACGATAGGGGAGTACCCTTCAATGAGACGACAACCCGGAAAACTGGACTTTTTGCAAAATGGCGATCGGGTAGACTATAGGAGGGATGAGTCTATCAGTAGTAGATTGACTTCGGAACTGACTCAAACTTTAAACCGATCAAATTTAAAGAAGAGGACAGAATCAATGGTGAGTAGTTTGGGCCGATGGTGTGAGATAAGAACAGCACTCACGAAAATGAACTTCTCAATTACTTATAATTCCATATGGCAACGCTCGACTGGAGATTCATCATCCAGGAAAAAGAAAAAAAATAGAGAGATAGGTCAGGATATGCTTATATTTTAAGATACGGAGGAGGTTGAATATTTTTGAAAAACGGCTTATTTACAATATATTTTACCGATTTTATTGAAACGTGGCAACGTCATTTATAATGATAACCGACTAATTTTGCTGTAACTACTGCTGTAAAATCCGGGTCCCTTCCCGGTGGTATCAACAAATATCATGTCAAAGAGATGTATACCACTAACTTTTTTGCCATTTTTGTTATTTGCTTCGTATTTTCATGAACACTTATTTTTTGAACCCTTTCATATCAATAAACGTAGTTCAAAACAATTAACACTAAAGTATGAAGCCTAAACCAGAAAGATTTTCACACAGTCCGTCTTTTTTTTATATTGAACACTCTGTATATTGGTAACAAAGCATTTCGGGACCTAAGTTTATATGAACGTGTTTTCGTTTTTTTTTTTTGATCACCAACCGAGGTTTGAAGCATGTTTTTTTGAAACATCCTGTATGTAATACAATTCGCAGTGTAAGGAAGGTTTTAATTTCAACAGGAAGGGACTATGATGAATAGAATTAGTTCAACAAAAGTGGCAAAAAAATAAAATATTTTTGTTCCACAAAGAACTTGCGAAATTCTGGAAATGAGATTTAATTTATTTAAAAATGTGCGCTTTTGTCTGATTCGAAGAATCCCAAAAAGCGTCAAAAGTTATTAGGTATTTTTAAAATTTAATACCGCATTTTATAAATAATAATAATGATTCAACAATAACATAGAGATAAAAAATGGACAAATATTTTACAAAGTGTATTATATCGTTATCTAAATATTACTTAAGGTGTTATTAATCATTAAACAACCCGTTCACCATATGAACTGATTTTAGGAGGATTTGTTAAGTTCATCCCACATTAGGCCTCAAAGTAACGGAACGGTACGAATATCTCTAAGCAATCTGTCGAAATCGTTTGCTAAATCCACAAGTGATCTGACATTGGATCACTGCGACTTGTACCCAAACGATTTAGGCAATCGCGTCACCATTAATATTAACCAACCAAACGGCATTTTGAAAAATGGCGGGAACGCTAGTACTCTATCGTCGCCGCTTATTCCTGCTCACAAAACGTTGTCGTCCCAGAAGAGTATTACGTTTGGAGAAATGTAAGCTCAATCACGGAGTCTATCCCACTTTCTCGATAACAACCGCGTTGGCACCAATAATGGCATGTGAGGTTTTCTTGCTTCCTTTCTGTAATATCTAACCTGGCATGTGTTCTGTTTTTTATTTACCCCCTATCTTTTAATGTTTAATTAATTAATCAATTATATTTAATAACTAAAACTTCACTTTTTCAAAACTGTGTGTAAAAGAGTCAAATAAGAGTCGAGATATATCTTTTTCCCATAGACCTACTATTATTTGGGAAGCGACTTTGTTAACAGTAGCTATTTCAGAAAAATCATCCAAAGTTTGTTTTTCGCTGTGTGCGATCTTTTTTCAGAATTTTTATGGTATTCAATTGAACATTTCGAGTTTTTAAAAATGCTGTGGAATAATCGCCTATTAATTCAGCAAATATTCCGAGCAATATTGTAGAACAACCACCGGCAATCAGTTATTTTCACGTTTGATTCGTTTTTTAGGCAACACAATATTGAACTATCGGTAATTTTTGAACCCTGAGAAATTATTTATATGCCAATGATATTTTCTTGGCAATTAATTAATTTTGTCCATATTAAATTCACGTGGATTACATCACCTCTTCTCGCCTGTGTTCTTAAAAGACAATATGTTTCTCGAAACGTTTTCCTGATGTCTCTTGACGTCTTCTATTTATTATTTTATTATATATGATTTTCACTTCTACTGTGACTTTACTATTACTATTACGAGGTCACTAAGACAGTGAGTAGATATTCTTTTTTAACCCGAACTAATCTTTTATTTACTACAGTCTAACTTACAATGATGCGATTCTTTTCGGCTGCTTCAATTTTTTTCTTGTTTTTTCAGGCCGACCCTGATAAAGGATAGATCACCACCGCCTCTGACATAGCGTTATTGCAGATTATTATCCATCTGACTTTGAGGAGTGCAATTTAGAATATATTTATTTTTTAGATACTATTCCAGAATGTTATTAGATCATAATAAGTATGTTTTATGTGCCGATTTATATTGTGATAAGCGTTTCCCGTTATTGTCTTTTTAGTGTTATTCTTTCCTGTAGAAATTACGTTTTAACTAATTATTTGGGGTGGGTTTTTATAAACCATTTCCCGAATGAAACGAATTCGAAAAGCTACCGTAGTGAGTATAATTTATTTAATTGTTATTATTATTATTATTATTACCATTAGGTTGCCTGCAGTGTTGTCTCTGAAGAAAAATTCAGATCATAAAATAAGTTCCTTAACCTAACAGTTTTAAAATTAAAAAAATGCTCGTTTAGTATCTCCAAGGAAACAATTTAATACCAGTTTTTTAATGTCCCTGTAAAATGTCAGTAATATTTTCGTGTCATGTTTGTGTAATAGTGTTGTTGATTGAATGTAGTAATACATTTTTTGAGGAAAGATTAACGCATAATGGTCTTTGATTTAGCCCCAAAATTCCCTCAAACAAAATGTCAATCAACAGAGTTCAGAAACTCCTTCTCTCCGAATATTGCGATTTTGAAGATATGGTGCTGATCGAAAGTCCCTTCGCTCAAACTACTAAAGAGGGAAACGGTCTGAGACAAGTTCATTTAGGTAAGTTGATAAACAGGGACATTGGACAATATTTATTAAGTACTGAATGCGGGAAGTTAAGTAAATTAAGTGGTAAGAAGATTTTTTAGAAATATGTTACGTTAAAACCACTTTGTTCGTGTTTTCGACAGACAAAATACCCATCAAACAAGGTCGCTCTTGAAAGGTCAGAAGTTAAATGTTCGGGTACGGTGGTGCCACGAAGTGTTTGGAAAGGTTCTTCTTCCGCTAACTGTTTTAGACACATTTTGTCAACATTGCTGTTTATCTCTCCCTCCGTTGTGCCATCAAATAGTATTCAAGGAACCTGTCAAGTAATTTTCTATGGTTCAATCTCTTTTATTTGAAACTAACTACCTGGGAATGTTTATTAAGTATGTAATAGTTTTTCAATGAGAGAACCAATGAGAACACCTGGGTTTCTGTACACATTAGGATTTTGCGTCTAACGGATCTGCCGATCAGTAATATTTATACAGTACTTAGTTCTGTCAAGTTTGTCAAACTCGAGCATGAAATTAACGCATAAAACTTAACAGTAGTGAAAATTTGTTTTTTCCAAAATAACAATTAAAATAACTATACACTATAAAGGCAGTAATTGATATAACGTATATTAGTGTATATTAGTGTATAGAGCACTGTAAGCATCGGATTGTTCTCGCGTTGCTAAGTTTCTCGACTCACTCGTGTGCTGTTTTCATTGTTCAATATTATTTCCGAGGAGCCTACATTTATAATCTTTAATTCTAGCCTCCTTTAGATATAATCTTTGGAGCGCAAACTTTGACTGACACACTTCCAGGTTTGACACCGTCAAAATTGATTCTTGCCACAGACATCCTGCCACCGATCGATAGCGAAAATTTCGATTTCAGCCCTTTGGTGGATCCGGAAATCGAAACATTCGAACTAATTGCAATATACCCCGTCGAATGCGTCACCCTGAGCGTTTATAGACGAAAGAGAAGACAAGCTTTGAAGGCCAGATTTTGTAACAACCGTGTCCTTTATTTTGAACTGGGAGGTTTTGAAAGGAGAGGTGTAAGTCAGGTCGATGAAAACGAAACGAACGTGGCTCAAAGTTTTCCTGACAGATGTTTTGGAACTTGTGGTGTGAAAAGGTGAAATTCCTTTGTCCGACCGATTCTGCATCATCGCGATCAGAAACTTCCGTCGCTACATCGACTACTGGTAGCAGCTTGTACCTTTTGGAAAAGAAAGTGGTGTCTGTTAGCGGAATGAGACAGCTATGGTACAGATTCGGACCGACTTTTGGCGTCGATACGCACTTTATCAACCAAGTTCTCAATGCAAATAATAATTGTCTGGTACGTTTCTTCGTAAATAACCGAAGTAAGATTTAATATTTTTTTATAAATATAAGTTGGACTGTATAAACTCACACTATACTTAAAATTTATTTATACCAATACCGACTTATCTTCATCAATAGTAGAGTCTAACGAAGAAATGGACCGACAGATACTTGTTCCTAGGCAAAGGTTTCCAATCATCTGATCAACAAATAGAATGTGCTGACGAATGTTCAGAGCGAAAGAAAAATTTAAGGTAATAGGCATTGTTAGCCACCCAAAAACAATCGACTGAACTAGATATACAGGGTGTTCGGAAATTGAGTTCGGAAATTTGGGTGAAAGATTCAACGTGATAAAATAATGTTAATAAGTCATGTAACAAAAATTCGAAATTGTAATATTTTCCGAGTTATAGCTTGTCAAAAAAAATTTTTTTTAATTTAAGTGTTTCAGAAATCTGTCACTATAGGAACTTTTATCTAGAACATTTTTTTTATTTTCCCTGTATTTTATTTATTTTGACTGATTGTCTTAAGCTGAATCGCAAATCCTCAAAAATTGTTACTCTTGTTTTAAGTCGATGAGTGTTATCGTTTAGCCACAAATCTATTTTTTATTCTCGGCTGGAATTTTGCTTGTAAATATGATTTTACCTAACAGGACTTAATGAAATTTGAAAAAGTCAGTGTCACCATCGGTTCAAAATTAGTTTCCATTAAAAGAGCTTATTATCACGAATATTCAAACACTGAATATCGCGATATGCATTTTTGCCAAGGAAGACCAAATATAAATGCAGGTATCGAATAGAAACGTTCCGTCTGCTAAGATATTCATCAACATACCCAGAAGACTTGCCGAAAGAGGTTCATTCAAACCTGATAATATGAATAAAGGGAGACCAAGGTATAAAAGAACCACCGCAAGTAAAGAAAGAATACTTCAAAATGTGGAGGCTGGCCAGTACGAGAAAACTTGCTGCTCAGAAAAGAATTCCTTGCTCTACAGTTTGGGAAGTTTTGCATAAAAATGGTCATCGACTCTTTCATGTTCAAAGGGTTTAAGCACTCTAAGAGGGGGATGAGCAATTGAGAGTAATTTTATGCAATCAAATTTAATGAAAAATTCAAAATTACCCGCAATTCTTAAATGTCATTTTGTTCACTGACGAGGCAGGCAGGCAGGCAGTCGTGATGACATTGCAAATTTTCGAAATATGCATCAGTGGAACAGTGAAAACCCACATGCAAAAATTGACGGAAAATATCAGCGCTGGTTTTTTTTAAATGTATGGACAGAAATTATAGGACCTCATTTCTTTAACGGATCGCTTAATGGGAAAATGTATTTGCAATTTTTCGAAGAGGAACTACCACCTTTGCTGGAAGGGGTATTTTTGCAGTGGAGGCAAAACATGTCGTTAATGCAAGATGGCGGTCCACCCCATTTTGCATTGGCTGTACGAAAGTATTTAAATCAGGCATTTGAACAACGATGGGAGGGCCGCCTAGCTCACCAGACCTTAATCCGATGGACTTATTTTTTTGGGGGCACTTAAAGTCTTTAGTGTATGAAATACCCATAACAGGTATCAATGGTCTTCGACAAAAAATAATAAACGGTTGCGAAATCAATAGAAATAGGCTAGGCGTATTTTTTCGTGTCCGACAGCATTTTTTAAAATGTTTAGAAATGTGGGCATTTTGAAAATGAATTGTAATTAGCGTTGTATAATATATTTATGTTACTTAAATTAAACATGTTATTGCATTGAGTTATGGCATTTTTTCACTTTTTTTAGTGCACATCACCTGCAAGTTAATAATGCTGACTTGCATTTCCACTAGCTTTTCCGTAACAAAAATGCATATTGCGAAATCCAGTATCACTTTTCTGTAAATTAAAAGTATGATGGGGTATCCGGGCCGAGAATAATAAAGTCGATTTATGGCTAAACGATAACACTTACCGTCTTAAAACAAGAGTAACAATTTTTGAGGATTTGGGATTCTGCTTAAGGCAATCTGTTCTATTTTGCAATATCAATCCAAATAAATAAAATACAGCGAAAATAAAAAATATAGGTAAAAGTGCCATCTAGTGACAAATTTCTGAAACTTTTATTTTGTAACGATGACTTTTTTTAAATCAGGGCTATGTGTAAAATACCGGCTTATTCCGTTGATATTTAAGTCCACTGCGTTAAAAATAAAATAAAAAAAAAATTGCCAAGCTATAACTCGGAAAATATTACAATTTTGAATTTTTGTTGCATGACTTATTACCATTATTTTACCACGTTCCTCCAACTTTCCCAACTCAAATTGCGAACACCCCGTATTTCGTATTTCCAATTCAGGACGATTAACTTTGATGCTATTTATACAAATATTTAAATACTTATCAATTTTCATACTTTAAGTTAATAGTGGTTAGTACTTTCAGCAGGATTCGGCTTACATAAAAAAACCAGTAGCAATGACTATATTCAAAAAAGACCCGAGTAAGATCAGTTTAATTTTTTTTTGTCAATGCATTAAAATAGTTTTGGTTAGTTGGTTGGTCATTTTGTGATTTCCTCGATCTTGATTTGCGTTGTACACAAACATTCGTTTCATTCATGTGCAACGTTGCAGGTATATTTGCAAAAGAAGGTCTCATGCTCCTCTTATCGAAGAGAAACGATTAAACTTTGGCGATAAAGTCCACGTAAACCGATTTGGATCCGGTGTGCAAGAGGGGTGCCGTACCGGTCTGTACTTGTCTTTAGATAGTTACATTTCGCCAGTCACTTACAGCAGTGCCGTGCGGAGTTTAGCATCCGATCAAAGTTTGGAATGGCCGTTGATGAATTACGAAGAATTGGCCGAGACGGCCGTGATGCTGTGGGAATTTTACGGATTTGAAGATGAAACCAGATGCAAGCAAGTTGTATTTTGATATAAAAATAATTGTTTCGCTCGCCTTGATTAATTGCGTGAACAGAGGGCAATCTAATAAATATGTTTGCTAGCCATAGTTTTTGCAGGTTTAAACATAGAAGAAGATATGGTTTTGCTCCGAAACCGTGGTTTCTCTATGGTTTCGGGCCAGAGACTTTATCCAAAGGGGACAAGTTCTCCCTTCAAATTAAAAGAGCGTCTTCTGAGGTATACCTAAGGCCGCCGGATTCTCCAACGGGTTTGAAATTATCCGTTTCTAAACGTCAATTAACAGCCACTGTGTCGTGTCCACACATAGACGATTTAGGGAAGAGCGCGAGCAATAACATCGTGTACGTTATTAACATTCAAAAAATTGTAAAAACAAACCTTTTGGAAAGGTTTTGTGTTTAATAAAGATTTTTTCTCTTTACAAAATAAATAAACAAAACGAAAATGGTCACTCTCTTTAAGAACTTTCGTAATCACTTCTGTGCACTAAATACAGAAAAATTGAAATTATTATTCCAATCCACAGGGCCAATAAATATTGACCCATCTGGTTCTCCTAGCTTTGTGCTTGAATTTTTTGTATTTTTAGTAACTGCCACAAAAAACCATTAATTCTGTTTTGGACCCCAAACTACTGGTACAGACCAGTTTCAGCAAAAGATGCGTACCAAGAACTCCAAGCGCACTTAACGAAGATTAGAGAATGTCGCGAGACACAATGTAAACATCGAAGTAAATCGAAATATACAAATAGTCCAATCATATGTGTGTGATTTAGTATCTTGTATAGGACGCCAAAAATTCAACGGCAAGTTTTTGAAACGTAATCGCGTAAAGGGAAAAGAGACCGATGAAGACGACGAAGATTTTGGCACACGACGCAACAAGCGGAAACCTAATTTTATCGCGAACATTTTTGGAGCTAAAATCGACGAAGTGCCAAAAGCGGGTATCGGCGATCCTCAGAAAATCAATGAAAAACGACAATGTCTTTTATTTTTACATTTTTAGGCGAAAGCAGACAACCAAACGAATCTTCCTTTCAGTATTTGAAGCGCGTTCTTCGTTTGGAGGTAAAATTGAAAGCTTGGGATTTCGATTCAACGACGCTGGCTCACCAGATAACGTTGATTGACAAGGAGTTGTTCTTGAAGGTGTCAGCGTCCGAATTAGAAGTGCTGGTTTGGCAGCAAAATTGTAGAAATGCACCGAACGTAGCTGCAATCGTGGCCTTTTCGTACAGAATCGGCTGCCTTATATCTACAGAAATTCTCAAAGATGATTCGGAGAGAGTAATGATATTTTACTTTAAACAGTCGAACTCTTCAGAGTGTTTAAAAACGAATGGGCCATACAATACCACCAATAAAATATATCTATTTGTCAAATAAACTTACTTTCTAAAGTCAAAACTTAACGGAGACACGGGGTGATAAAAGTAATGTTATTTTTTCCTTTTTTATTACTTAAGTTTTACAATAATGTCGAAAATAGAAAGAATACTTTTAAGAGAAAAAAATAACCGATTTTGTTTTCCTGTTGCTATTGCTAATGAAAAACCAAAATAAGGAAAATTTTGTTAGACATGTAATAAAATCAAATAAAATTTTATGCTATTAACTAACTTAATAATTGTTACAAAAAACAAAACTTAGAGTATATGTTCTACATGACCACCACGCACTTCAATACATTTTGTAATTCGTTTATCTTATTTTAAAAAATGAGTTTTTGATTCGAAACTCATTAACAGCATCTTGAACCTTAACCCAAAGTTCTTCACGACTGTTTATTGGATTTTTGTAAACCACTGATTTAATACAGCCCCAAGAACAAAAATCCATTGGATTAAAATCCAGACTACGTGCCGACCATTCAAGAAGCGAACAACTTCGGCCAATTCATTTGTTGTTTGTTTTAAAAAAAGTAAAGACGTCGCTACATCAATATGTGGAGGTAATTGGAATGGTTATTTACTATGCTTGTCCACACGTTTTTCTTTGATTCGTGCTGAAATAGGATATTATGCAACAAGTGCGGTAAGCGGCATTTGACTCACGAGTTTATTTGACACGAGCGGAGCGCAACGGAGCGAGTTTTTAATAAACGCGTTGATTTTAGGACATAGGTTTATTTGATCACTCAAAATATTTTCATACAGAGAATATGCTGCTATTCAATGGCCCATTCGATTTGAAACACCCTGTACACAAGGACAAATATGTATTATTATGCCATGTCATATCTTTGTATTGAGCAAAAAATCATGTTCTAATAGATTCTTTCAGTTTTCAATTTAACTTAACAGTTAAAATAATTCACCTAACGCTAACTTAAAAAAAAACCGCAGGTTTTCAATTTTTTAAAACACATTCACTCCCTGCGTCTCGTAAATTCGGAGCTTTTTTATTAGACGGTCAGCATGCATTTACATGTGCTAACTCTAGTTTCTGGATTATACTTTTATACTGTATATGTATATCTCTAGTCATTCTGTCTCACCAAAATTTTTTAATAGGTGCGAGCACGTTTAGTGGCGAGATTTATAAACGTGGCCAATAAATGCCACCGAATCTCCAACTTCCAATCATGCCGATCCGTTCTGAGCGGCCTCCAAAGTCCGGCGATTTTCAGGTTGCGAAAGACATGGGCTTACGTACGGAAAAAACACGCTTCGAAATATCAGTAAGACTTAAATGGTGTCATGCTGTGTAATTTGCGATAAATTCCATTTCAGGGTTTTTGAGTTTTTGTGCAGGCTATATCGTGATCCTAGAATGCCGTCATATCAGAAAACATTTTTTATTTTTTCCCAGAGCGCGCCATTTCTGCCCTATATCGGGCACGTTATCGGCAAATTATTGGATAAAATTCCCGAATACAGAATAAACGTATTCAAAAGGCAGCCTTCGCGACCCGATAGTTATAGTAAGCATCTATAATTTGTTGTATCCAAAAAAATTTTTGCTAGTATGTTATGCACGAACGGAGAACAGCGAAGCGAGTGTTTAATATTATACTTTTTCTACTCCCGTCTGGAAAATACCTAATTACTCACCAATCTAGCGTGCGACAAGCGTCACTTTACGTCATTTTCGTTTTTCACAAATCCGAGCCACTTCGGACATTTCCGGGATTTTACCGCACGGATTTGGAAGTAATCGGATGCTTTCGGAGATATTTCCCACACTTTGAATTTTGACGTTTGTCAATTCTGACGGTCATGTCAGTGAATGTATTCGTGTTGTTTTGCGAAAATGTACCCAGAAACTAAACAGTATAGTATGCAACACGTTCGGTAAACTTTTTAACTCACTCGTTTATTAAAAACTCGCTCCGCTGCGCCCCGCTCGTGTCAAATAAACTCGTGAGTCAAATGCCGCTTACCGCCCTTGTTGCATAATATACTATTATTTTGCAAAAATGCATCCAAAAACTAACAGTTTGGTAATAGTATGTTATGCAACAAGTGCGGTAAACGGCATTTGACTCACGAGTTTATTTGACACGAGCGAAGCGGAGCGGAGCTAGTATTTAATAACCGAGTGACTTAAAAAGTTTAACGAACGTGTTGCATACTATACTTTTTCTACGACCGTTATTTTTTGGGTACATTTTCGAAAAATAACACGACCGTCAGAATTGACGCATCGGTGGGAAACGAAACTGACGTGGTAAAGTGACGCTTCCCGGACGCTAGATCGGTGTGTAATTAGGCATTTTACAGACGGGAGTAGAAAAATTTGTCTTTAAGCACTCGCTGCGCACGTGTCAAATACACTTGTGACTCGAATGGCATTTACCACACTTGTTGCATAATATACTATTTCTTACGGCATACAAATCGCTTACAACTATTTTGAAGGTATGTGTATGCGCGCATGAATGTGACTTCTGTAGAAATAGTCCACTCTCATTAGTCTTTTTCTTAGTTTTTACTTTGTTAATAAAAACCAGATATAACGTCAGAACATTTTTAGAATTATTTTCCCGAGAGTTTAATTTAAATAGAAAAGAAATAAATAAATAAAAAATCAAGGCAGATTAACGTAAATCCTGAGCGTGATTTTCCTGCCAGACTGTCCGATATAAACTGCATCACAATCTTCACATTTCACAGAAGATCTGGAAAAATTATCTATTGGATCCTTAAATTTTATCATAAATTGTTTTAACGCATAGTCTGTTTTAAACGATATAAATAAATTCGTACTCTTGAATAACGACAGGTGCAATGAAATATTACCGGAGTAGGCCAAGCATTGGAATCTACGTTCTGTAGGTTTTGATTTTATTAAATAATACGACAATTTGTATTTTTTGGCGAATATGGAAAATAACTTATTGACAGAACGAACTGGATAATCGTTATTGGATGCAATTTGTCTAAGGTTTCCTCCTATTTCCTTCTCCAAAGTAAAATAAATTTTCTCATGTAAGGAATAGCTATACGTTAGGAATTCGATAACCGTTTGTTGGTTGTCATTCCAGCTATGGTCCACATATCTTTTGTAAGCTATTAAATACGTAGAGAATTGACTATCCATAATTTTTCCCCCACGAACATCTTTGTTTAGTGAAAAAGTATAAGTACACAAATAGCAAAAAACTTAATCTTCTGGAAAAATGAGAAATCACCAAATCCAAAAACACGCTATCCTTGATTGTATTAATGTGAGCGTCAATTGTGATCCGCCATTAATTTTTAATCATATAAATTGTAGGAATTTTTATATTTTTTAATTTTTTTAAATTCGTGTCGGTATGCGTTTGAGTTAACGTCTTTGTATGTGCGCACTGTTAAAGTTATGTAAATTATTTTATTCTTTTAAAAATTACTTTTATAGATCTCTATGGGTAAAACACTTTATGGCGCATTTTTTATGAGTGTAGCAGGCTGAAGTAGGCTACCCTATCATTCTTCTTAACTAAATTTAAAGACATGGAAAAAAATATGGTTTCCTGCAATTTTTCGGGTCGCTTTCGGTTTTCGGTTCGAAATCTCTTGCAGTTGATGAATTAGTATTTAAGTCTGCTGTAATTATCCTGGTACTTGTCTCCAGTTGCCCTCTAATAATATTTAGCACAACAAATTTTAATCCAGGTGTTCGAACTTCGCGGTGCCTGCCGGTATAAAAACTCCTTTTTTCGAAACTTCCAGATTTTATTCTTATTTGATGAAGCCTGATAACTAAGCTGTGATGAGGTCTACGGTTAGGATACGCTTGTATATACAGATGACAAGTTTCCAAGCAATTTCCGTTAGTGTAATTCACCATTCGTAAATTAAAACTACAAAACAAACAATTAAGTCATTAGATAATTGTTTTTTTATTAACTTAGTCGTATATGTACCCAACCTAACTGAGCAACGTCAAATAAAGCAATAATAAGAAACGCCGAAAGAAGTGACAGCAGCACACTTGATTTTTTTTATCTTCTTATGGAGTGCTTTAGATTTAATTTTTTTATTTGGAAACGGTTTCTAAAAAAAACTGCATTGCATTGCATAAGTTTTTTCTTAAATTTCGTTAGAAAGAATGATAAGAGCAGTCTTATTCAATCCCCTCTAGCCATTTTAAAAAAATTAAAAAACATGAGAATGTGTTTCTATAATGATGTAATACTACCCTATTATTGCAAGCTTTTGAGCCATAACCATAACAAGGGATCACTCCTTTAAGTTTTTCGCATTTATTTTGAAACACTCTGTACAGATCCAAGAGAAGTGCTTCGCATATGTAATAATGTAAATCTGTTCGTCTACTCTTTTTTCAGGTGCAAGTACCTCGACGTCATCCAAAACTGAAATTCATGAAACTCTGGATACCGGAAAAAGTATATTTGCCAAAATATTTAACGCATTCACCACACACGTCGATCGAACGGAAAATGGTGTAGGTGACGTTGCCAAACATCGAAATAAAGCCAAAAAATCGCCGTCCGTGAAATATATTAAGTTTAAAGGCTTATATGAGTACTATAAACCCTGGGAATTTTACGAAGACAATAGACCCGAAACTTTGTTGGAAGCCGTGAAGTTGCTTGAGAAATGTCAGCTGGCGGCCATCAACTACAGTTTTAGTTGCGATGAAGCAGCTAGAAATTTTTTGTTAAAAACGAGACACTACGACGACCAAGACAATTTCTTTTATTCATTCAAAGTCGAAGCGACGGAATCCAACATTGTAAACGATAAAGTAAAGGTTCTAACTAAGTAAAATAAGACGTTCGATAATTTGGGCCCTGAATGCATATTACAAATATTACACCTAATCATATCAAAAATCTACTTTATTTCATCTCTTTTGTTTTCGAAGGATATCTAAAACTACTCTCTACTCTAGAATACCCAGTTTCACCTTATTCCGGGTAACACAAAAAAATTTGGAAGGGTTAACAGAGGCCGAATGTAAATTTTTTTGACAATATGTAGTCCGGTTTGAGCGGAAACGAAAGTAACTTTCGCATTTTAAATGGTACAACCTATATTTTTTGACATTTTTGAATTCGGGAGATCATTCTACGTAGGATAGGATGGGTTCTCTGGCTTTCTTTTATTTTTTTAAATTGTAAACGAAACTTTTCACTAGTTTTTTCAAATAGCACCGAAACTTTTTAAAATCGGTACTTTTTTTGCAACATTTTGACACCAAAAGTTTCAAAATAGTTGGGATTTGCTTCTATTCATCATCATGTCGGTATGAATGAAAAATTCTGACAGTACAGTTTCTTCTGATTTTCGATTTTGTCGTGTTGTCGATTTGGATTATCATGGAAAACGATAATCAATTTAGAAATGGAGACAAAGTTGATATGTTTTCTGAAATGCGGGGAATTTCCTTATTTCATTTTTTCCTTCATGTGAACTTATTTTTTAACAGATTTTGAAAATTTTAGTTAGTCAAAATGTTGCAAAAAGTGTACCGGTTTTAAAAAGCTTTTGTTCCCACTAGGGTGTTATTTGAAAAAACTAGGTTATCCTAAAAAATTAATATTTGCCATTAGATAAGTAAAGTTTCATTCACAATTTTTCTCATGATCAGGTGACGTGACCCGGTAAATAGTATTTATTATGGTCACAGCTTCCTAGACGCAATTTTCAAAAATTAAATAAGAATTAAAAAAAAGAGAAAAACCGTCCTATCCTACGTAGAATCATCGCCTGAATCCAAAAATATGGGTTGTGCCATTTAAAATTCGAAAGTTACTGTCGTTTCCGCCCAAACCGGAAGTGCAACCATTGACTACATGCTGTCAAAAAATTGGACATTCAGCCTATATTAACCCTTCCAAATTCCAAATCGCTATCTCAAGCCGTTTAAAAGTTATGGAGTGTTCCCACTTTCTTGTGTCACGTGGTATGTATCCAGCATAGAGAAAATGTCACTTTCAGCTTCGTAACCCATAGCAGCGAGTCATTTCGCCCATTTCACCCACTAACCCGCGCAATTTTTCTGTAAACAGCGATTTGTACACACTTAACTAATATTGCCGTAAAAATGCCGTATCCCAACTTATTGACGATCTGTTACGGGCCATGTTGGTTGTTGAATGCCCCAAGGTCATTGGTTATAAACGAGATTTTAAGTCTCGCGCATGCGCGTGTTGAATGGATCTCCTGAACATTTTTTTTTCATAGTTGCTTAATACGTTCCTGTATTATCAGCATAGGCAGGGCCTCTATATCTTTAGTAGCTTAGTTTATTAAGCAATCGCTCCTCTCACCAATAAACTGGCGTTTATCAAACTTGTTCCATAATCTGCTATTTAATGTTTTGTTAACTTTTTTTTATATCCACTATTTTTAATGTAACAAAGTGCTCAAAGTGCTCTTAGATAATATAGGAGCAGAATATCGTAAAATTAATGGTCAAGCAGCCACGGCAATTTCTATTACATTCTCAAAAATCTTATGGTACACACTAATCTCATTTGGCAATACTGCCAAACTGATGACTTAATGTTTATAAAACAAAAACGATAATGAATTTCAACGCCAACTAATTTAAGGATTAAACGACTTACCTTAATGAAGTTCAAACCTAACTTATATGAACATTTAGTTTCCAATATATAACTCACAGAAGTATATGCATAATTCGTGATATTAATTTTTGTCTAAATATTACGGTTTAAAAATCCAAAAAAAAGTTAATGGTAAATCTGAAAGCGTCAGCCGTAGCTGAAAAAAACGGCAATGAAAACGTACTTTTCATTTTGTATTATTAATAACGCCATACAAAAAATAATGTAAATTTTCGTTTTTTTTTCGTAATACTAGGAATATGAACGGCATTTTGTTAGGCACTAAAATCAGAAATTTTGTCCCAATTTAACGATCCTGGCATCTCCTATATAACTTATGAGATCGCAAGAATGGGTGCCGAGTTATTGAATTTTCCTGCAGAATTTATAAAGTTAGTTCTGCCCTCTTGTGGTCGGTAGTGTAAGCAAAATAGGTTATCTTTTGCCTGTTCTGGCTTACCTACAGTGAAGTTAAAATTCTAGATATACCATAATGCTGTGTCTAGACTATTAATTAGGAATGGTCATTACTCAAACAGGTTTGAAGAAGGTATGTCTGAGTCACACTGATCTCGAATGCAACATTACACAAAACGAAAGCTTTGACTTCCGCGGAAATAAGTTCTATAAAAATCAGTTCGGCCCGCATCCTTTGCTTCTACTAAGTTACTAAATAAGCGGTCGCTATTATAAGAAAAAGTTCAGTCCGATAAATACCCTGGAACATTTCTATTAACTGAAATTGTACATCCTTAGAAAATGCAGCATCTAGGCAACCACAGATATCAAATATCAAACTTTCTATTTATCATTGATTAGTTTTTACTACTTATTCTGAAACTACAACATTAACATTTTTTGGTGAATCAGAAAATGAGGAATTGAGCTTTTCCCGCATGTTGCAAGCCGGGCTTAAATTGTATATATTTCTTCTCGGAAAAAGTAACATCGGCAACGTCGAAGCCAGCTGATGTTTGGTTGGCGAAGTGAACTTGTGACGGAATCTGTCAGACGTATGTCAATCAACGAGTGATGCGTGAAATTTGTTTGAAAGCCCTGCCTTTATCCAGTATGTATCAAATTCATTTTCGTTTCGGTCTTAATTAAGAAATTGTTCAAATAAAAATTCGTCTGCCGTTTAACACAGTGGAAATGACAACGAATCGAACGTTATTAAAATAAAGTTGGAACATTTGTTGTTGACATAGCTCAATAATGTTTAAGTTGGATTATTATAACCATGTTCCCACAAAAATGTACGGCTTTCGCAGTATCTTGGGATTTGTTTCGCTACCGAATTATTCCGACAAATTACAAGGTGTACCACTGGCAAACTTCGGAATATTTTTCATTTAAAAGGTAAGCATGGTATTACAAATAAGTATATTTCTGTAATTCTATTAACAATTTCATTACATCAATTTTATTCTACTTGACTCTTGCCAAAAATTGGTGACTTAATGTTAATTACATGTTGCATTAATGAGTTATTATTTGAAAAATTCTAATTTTACATGGGTATAGATGAATGCATGTACTCATCATATTTACATGTTTATATTTTGTAGAATATATTTCTACAGAGTTTTGGCAATTAGAGTCCTTATAAGAATAAGCGGTTAAGAATATTGGTGCATGTATTTAAATATGACTCCAAATCTACTGTAAATTTATGGTCTCTCAGAAACACTAAAATTAAATTTCACAATTCGGAGACGAAAATATAAAAAAGTTAATGCCTACCCATTAATGTGTAAGCAATAACAAAAATTGAAATAATGTTTATTTTTGTTTTTCGATTATCTAAACTAGATCAATATTAGGTCCCCCTAATTTTACTAATCATGTCATTCCAACACATGTCGCAACACTTCTAGTACAAATCTCATTGTTTATTTTATCATTCAATGTGTATTAATACTTACCTACTATATTTTCATTAGGTACACAGCGATATAGATGGTGACAAACTCACAAATTTCAAAAAACGTAATAGGGATAGTATTATATTTTTAAAATATCCACCTTGTATAGATGGTTAAAAAAACGTATGAAACATCGAACATTAATTTTGTTTTAAATCGATTTGAAGTTACATGAACTTAATTCATCGTAATGATGCACTTCGATGTTATTAATTATAAAATAATAAGCCATTAATTCATTAGCGACTTTGTTGCATCAGCTACCTAGGAATTTATTTCCTTCCATGAGTCGTAACATACTTACACGTGCATGATTTATAGACCGCTTGTATTTTTCAAGATGTAATTTTTACCGTATTTTTTTAGAGGAAGCGGGAAATTTTATAAGTAAGGCACAGGTTCAAAGAAATAAGTTAAAATATCCCTGATATTTCAATAAATATTTGTATATAACAGTTCCTTTGAATACAAAACACGTAACATTTATCTTTTTTCGTAAATATTTCGAGAAGGGCTTTATGGGACACCGTAATTTTTATATTTCACTTATATACCTTTGTGAATGAAATAATATGGCAAAGACTGCCCCACAAATTGTACATAGATTATTGCTAGTTCAAGAAAATGTTTGTACTCTGCACCCGTAAAAATTATGAATGAAAAACGATATCCGCAATGTTTTTGCTTTTCAATGAGGAAGAAGTAGAAGTGGATCGAAAAACCGGTATTTCATAAATTTAATCATACAAACCACTTCCCCTAATATCCTAATAATCACATTATTACTAACATGACAACGTCAAAGTGTCAAAAACACCTATTCGGAATCTGTTTTTTTGCAAATTTAGCACATTTTAAAATTTTTGGAGTGAACAAGTTTTGTTAGTAGATTAGCTAATGCTAACCTCTGAGAGGTCCAAAGGAAAATGAGAGTAGTCGCGGACTTGATGAAATTTATCTGACATAAAAATAATTGTTTTAACAATTTGTACATAATTTCGTACAGTAAACTAACTTTTCCTGTCTCATTATTTCTTTATTCAATACTACGTAGGGCTGAAAAGAAGACGACGCTTCTCACTGATAATAGTGAGCCTGAAATCGGTTTTATAATTAACCTGTGACACAATGATGTCAATAACTACACACCAAAGAGCATGAACATCTATGGCCAGCAAATAAAATCAAACAAATATTATTTTATACAAGATATTCGGAGCCATTTTTGTAAAATACCCCTAAAAAGTATTTTTGTCATTTGTTAAGATTAACTCATAAAATTATATATCATGTGAATAATAAATTGTATATTAAAATTTATCGATAAAATGGAATTCTTCGGTAGTTTTCGTAAAGTGACTTATATTATTAAATAACACCCTTTTTCAACTAATTCTTCAAAGAAACCACAGGCTACTGTAATGCTTTTTACAAAACTTCTGGATTCCTCCTGCGTCGGTTTTTGCTTAGGCGAAATTGCTGACGTTTCGCCAATCATCCTGTTGGCTTCTTCAGAGCTTGACTTCCAGTTTCAGTCAAGCTCTGAAGAAGTCAACAGGATGATTGGCGAAACGTCAGCAATTTCGACTAAGCAAAAACCAACGCAGGAGGAATCCAGAAGTTTTGGTTAGTTTTGGTTAGTTTTCGTCCAATAAGTGAATAGGTGCTTTAAATATTTTTTTGCAGGTTGTTTACGCTAATATATATCAAAATGGTTTCCTGAAATTATATATTTGAATAGACAACGCTACTACATGTTCAAAAATGACCATAGACACAAAAGGTAATTCGACAAGTTTTATCAAGCCCGATCCGATTCAAGATGATCATCCTTCGGATATTGTCGATGAGGAACAAATTCAGTTTTGCCTGGACCCCAAACTGCAGACATATCTGGCGCAGATGTCTCAAGAATCAGGCTGTTGGGGAAAGTTTTTTCCAATACCGTTTGAACGGGCATCCCGAAGATCATGGTGGGACCCCACTTTCGATTCTGAAATACTCGAGGAACAATACAAGAAAAGCTCTTATCCCCATAATAGATTTAAGTTTAGGTAAGTCAGTTATTTGAACAATCTGTTTTTTATTCTTTAAAAGTTTCATCCAATTTATGGTTTTGCACGGAAATAGACGAAATAAATTTTAATTTTCTTAAATGCCTAACAAAACTACGAAATATCCACATTTAAGGTTCGATGTGAGTTACCAGGTTGCGATAATTTTTGTGGTAGTTTCATTTGGCAAAAAAATGTAATACCGATTGGTCCTTGTTAATATTGTAAATTTTGTGTTTCAAGGAAAATATCGCTACCGAGTATTTTGAGATTAACAGAGAATAATAATAAGCAGTTGAAGTTATATTTAACATTCGAATCTGTTATTTATTATGTTATTAATAAAATGTCGCATAAAACCTGGGGTTCTCCCCTACACTACTGTCTATCTCAATTGCATTGGTTTTAATGCGCAGTGCATTCATCTTAATCAAAACTTAAAAACAAGTGAAAATCTATTTCTATCGCTCTTTTTGATACCGAATTATGTGCTTGTGTTATTTTATTTGGTTTACAAGAATTAATTATGATTACAATTTGATGTAAACTTATACATAATGCAGAATATCCATTCTCCATTTCTGTTTTCGAAAGCGTAACTTATTAAAAAAAAGTATTTAATTTTTTAGTGGTTTATTTTATCTATTTCGAGAAAATATAGGCATGTTTACAAGAATTCAAGGCAACGTACACCTGCACGGAACAATTTATTACTTTCAATTTTTCTTGCTAATTGTGTTTTCCAGAAAACATTTGCTAACGCTCAGATCGAGCCCTGAGCTACTTTGTATGCAACTATTTGGCAAGTAGTAGACGAACACAATTTATGGTGAAGGAATGTTGGCAATTAACAAATGCAAAAAAATTATGAACATAGCAGGAATTTTAAATGTGTCGATAAAACTTATTTTTTTGGTATATGCTGTGACTGCGATGAGGTCGTTTATTAGAATTTTTCTATCAAAAAAAAACTACATATTGTGATTTCAATCGTATTTATCCTATCAGGCTTTCCGAATTGCTACCGTCTATATTTAATATACTCATAACGCTTATATTTAATTAACCGTGGAATAGGTGGTTTATCAGGGATTCACTCTGACAATAGAGTTTCGTATTAAATGATAAAGTTTCCACACAGGCGGCAAATATTGCAAAGATAAACGCCAAACAATTGTTTTATTTACCGACAGAAATTTAATTTAGTCATTCCCGGAATAAATCGTTTTTCCTCCCCTGAGAAAGAAATCATACGTTAAGTTTCGTTTAGTTACATGACTTTCTTACAATGTTCAGCAAAGAAACTCGTTTATCATTCGTTCCAATATTTAATTTATCTTTAGATAATGGCGAAAATATAATTGACACTCAAAATCAGACCAAAGAAATAATTAATTCAAGTTTCAAAAGGGACTAGAAAAATTGAATTAGGGTGATTGACCGGTGTAGCCGCCAATTTTTTTTCTCTCAACAGATTTGTCGCAAACTAGAGTATTATAGATTGACGTCCACGGTAATAGATTTAAAAAGACCTTTGACGAATTTTTGGTATATTTTATTTATATAAACGGGAATCAAGAATGTAATGGGTGGCCCGTATGTTATGATACATTATCTCAGAATCAGTAAAAATATTAAAAAACTTAATCGTTTGGATTCACTTATCCTTTTAAAATATCATATTTTCATATATACATGGTGTTTGTATTTTCGTGGACAAGTAACAATTTGTTTCTTTTAAATAGAACGCCCCGTATATTACATATTTTTTTAATTCTTCAGAAAATTCCAGACATATTTCGTAGTTCTTATAACTATGTCTTTCGGACACATTTTCAATTTGATATCAAAAGTGACGTTAGAAATTCGAAATATATCTATCGATTTCTCCGACTTTCCTTATAAAAATTGGTTTCCTCCAGTGGTTTAGGTTGATATTGCAAAAATAAATAAATATAGGGTTATCAAAAAGTAACATTAAAAATTTAAATAAGCAAATCGTTAAAAGTCATTTTAACGTTTTATTGTAAATATCTAAAACTTTTTGAAATAAGAAACCATTATTTCAAAGTCGCGCTTTTTTTAAATATCAATATGATAAAATTATGTGTGTTTCTTTAAAAAAAAATAGTTTTATTTTTTTTTAATGTAACAAATATGATTAAATTATAAAAATAGGGTGTTTCTTAAAAAAAAGACAATGATTTTTTAATTCAAGTTTTTAATGTTAGGTCAACACATGCCATTAAAGTATCCTCTCTCTAAAGAAATCAGCAGGCTTTGACATATAATTCAAATTACGTCAGAAACGATAAGACAGGTATGAAATATGTCCAGAAAGTTCCGAGAAATTAAAAAATGCCTTAATATACAGAGTGTATATTTAAAATAAGAAAATTGTTACTTTTCCACGAAACTACAAACATCCTGAATATCCATCAATATAATATTTTAAGTTTTGGTTTTGTCTTTAGTCTTTTTTTGATATTTTTTGCAGGTTGTGAAATAAGGTACCATAATAAACATGGTACCCCATAACTAACTTTTGTCAAAAGAAGCAAACGGTAAAACGAGAAACATCCACTTGCTTTGCTGCTTCTGCTCTAATGCCCTATGTACATATTCGGAGAAAGTGATTAAAACCATAGTTTTAAATCAATTGATTGGTTAAAGTTGGAACAGCCACCACTCATATTTGTTAACAGAAAGTAATATCTCTGTTTTGATTTTTAAGTGTTTTATTCAGAAATGTTATTATTAAATCTTTGGCATTGCTGTGCGTTTTTGGCAAAGTACCACTAGATTAATATGAGATTTATGAACCTATTTTTTGATAATTGTAATTTTAGAAGCACGTAAAATAAAAGCAAAATATGTTTCCCGCATTATTTGGTTTGTAATCCGGTCTACTACTGTTGGATTGTCGCGATCTTTGTTCATTTCCGATTTCTTCGATTTATCTTCATAATGCGATTGCAGATTTTGAAACTGGATATTTATAAATGAATTCTAAATTTAAAATCAATAAATTCAATGTTATTTTTATAATATGTGACGCAATACGTTCAAAATATTTATGAAAATAACGTAGTCTGGGAATAAAAATTAAAAACCCGATGGATGCGGAAAGATATATCATATAATATATATTTGATTTGATATAATGTATATTTGATTAAACAGTTTTTGAGTAGTAAAAATTTAATAGCAGCATATCTCTATTTGCAAAATTCAAACCCCGAGGCAAGCAAAGTTTTTCCTAAACGGTTTTAATACTGTTTTCTAATTACTAGTCTTGAGTTTGAGCTTGTTCTTCTACCCTTATTTATATTCAAAATGCTTAAAATTACTTTCTATTACTGAATAGAAACTATTTTCTCTTCCTGTTTTATGATTAATCAAATTTAATCTAGAGTATATAGAGAAAATAACAATTATTCATATTGCGGTGTGAATATGTATAATTTATTTTGTTTTGTTTATTTGTTTTACAGATACTGTCTGTGGTACATGATTTTCGTTTCAACGTCGTGGTTAATTTATATATTAGTGGTCGGATCCCTTGGAGACATTAGGCAGTGGCCGTTTGTATGTGGGCTTTTCGCTGTCCGTCTAGCGTTTACATGTTTGGCCTTATGCATAACTTATACAAGGATATATCAACGACATATGACCACAATTTCTTTCGGCCTAGCCATATTGCTTGTGATGATGAGTTTTACTCTCATGGTAATGGCTCAACCTATACCAATTGGCCATTTTTCAATATGCGTCCAATTATTGATATTAATATATACCCTGATACCAATAAAGTTGTATATGTGTTTGACTTTGGCAGTTTTCTATTCGTTTACTTTTGAACTGCTCAGCGCCTTTTTGACTATGACGGTCAATAAAGAAAGTGAGGATGCCTACTCGATTGTGACAAGGATAATTTGCCACATAGCTATACACGTGATTGGACTGCACATTTTTTTAATAAGTAACGTGCGGATGAGGCACACGTTTATGAAAGTTGGACAAAGTTTGCTCGTCAGAAAACAGCTTGAACTGGAGAAGAGGTAAAACTTTAAAATGCTGTTACTGTTAATTGAATTTGAAAGCAATTATGATCGCTAAATTTATATATTTTTAAAACTCTTGACGGAAAGGTGTTTTGAATTTGTTTAGTAACTTGCATATTTTTTATGAAATATTATTTTCCAAAAATGTTTTACTTTAAGGCTAAAGGAAAACATGATTCACTCTTTGATGCCGCCTAGTGTGGCCAATTGGCTACTGCATGAGGATGAAAACTTCACCAGGAGGCAATCATCAGACTCAGCAAATGATATTCGTTCCATATTCAGACCATTTAATATGGACAATATGGAAAATGTGAGCATTCTCTTTGCTGATATCGTAGGATTCACGAAAATGTCCAGTAACAAAAGCGCCGAGGAACTAGTGGAAATACTCAACAATTTATTTCAAAGGTTCGATGATTTGTGCAAAGTTCATCATTGTGAAAAAATATCAACTTTGGGTGATTGTTACTACTGTGTATCTGGCTGTCCGCAAGCTAGGCAAGATCATGCACAGTGTTGTGTGGAAATGGGGCTAAGTATGATTGAAGCAATTAAAAAGTTTGATCAAGAGAAACACGAGGGTATTAATATGAGAGTAGGAATTCACACGGGTACCGTGTTGTGTGGAATTGTGGGTACTAAGCGTTTCAAGTTTGACGTTTGGAGTAATGACGTTACTTTGGCTAATAAAATGGAGAGCACGGGCAAGCCTGGAATGGTTCACGTGTCAGAAAAGACAGTCAGTTTCTTGAATAATATGTATTTGTTGGATGAAGGTGATATTGTTTCAGGTAAATAGAATTATTTTGGAATAACTAGCTCAAAAAATCTCATTCGTATTGCATTAAGGCCAAGTTAAGGATAGTGTGCTCTTTTTGGTCGCCTCTAATCTTTATAACTTATTAAGTGTCATATGTGCTCCATCATTTTGCATTTAAGAGCAATCTCAATTTTAGAATAATTGTAATAATTTTGGGTTGGCCATGCAGATTGGATTGAATATGTTCGTTTGTTCGTTCCTTTAAGTGGAGTGATTGGTAAACAATGTGAAATAACAGCCTGTACAAATAGGGTTAGGCATGCCCTATATAACATAAAGCAGGCAAACATTTTAACCATTATATGAAGATTGTTTGACCACCATTATATGATTAACTTTAACTTAATTAACAGATTTTTACAGATATAGGTTGCCTTTGCGTATTAAGCAATACCAATTTTTAAATTATATAATTTCCAAAAAAAACGCGCTTTTCGCTAGTTGCACTTAGGTTTTTTTTTGTAGGTCTAACGACTTACTTTATTTTGGGTCGTAAAGGCGAGAATATTCCTTCCTATCAAGGGAGCTTCCGGGCGGAAGGTCGACAAAAGTACACCAACTCACTCCAGCTTGTAGTGTCACCACCGGCGTCAGCATCGTTCTCACCTCAAAGCAGACCTAGAGTATTATCTTGTGACACATCACATATTAAATCCACTCAAAACAAAAAGTACCTGTCTCCAGATTCCTACATCATAAAAGCCAATAGTTTGCCAAGTATTTTAGGTAATATTGTGTAGAATTTGCTATTGAAATAATTTACAATTTTACGTTGTATTTTTAGATTCTGAAAATGAACAAGATATTAATGAAGGAACAAATTTAGAAATCGTAAAGACTCCAACTTCAACAGCCAGTTCTGGAAAATACTCAATGAAGTTGAAAAATTGGAAAATACCCAAATTTAGGCGAAAAACTGAAACTAACAACGTAAAGCCTGAGATAGATGTGGATTTTGTGTCAGGAACGACAGAACCAAGTGACGATGGATACCAACAGGTCAGTGGAAGTAGTTATCATTTTGTTGTTACAGATGTAACGTGATTATCGATTGTAGATACCTACTATTATCGAGTGCAATACAATAAACGGTAAAAAAAAGAATTCGTGCGCTACTCTAGTAAAATATGAAGATATACCCGCTTTTAAAGAATCCATTGATATCAAATCATACATCAGTCATTCAAGAAGCGACATTGGACAGTTTGATTACTCTCCCACTCCGGAATTTCTTAGAGGGGGCAGTTATAGGTCTCAATTCGGCAGATCCTATAACGGCGACTTCGTTATATTGAACAGAGCGGGAAGCAGCAGATCTAGACGGGGCAGATCGCCAAATTTGGAAAGTATAGAACCTATAGAACGCGCGAGAAGCGCTACAGTCGCTGCCGGAAATTTTCCCAGGTTTAAACGTTCACTTGATGTGCCGAGCAGGTTGTCTAGTGTGATTAAACTGGATGAAAATTCGCCCCACAGCCGAAAAGATTCCGGAATCAAGAGTAATAGTAGAAGAAGTAGTATACAACAGGTAGAGTTTCACAATTAATTTACGCAAATTGGTATTTGCAGCTTCCGCTTTTTGAACTCGACCTTATCTAGAGACTCATTGATTGCATCTGTTAGTTGATTTTGTGATTTTTATGCATATAACAATTTCACAAATTTGTTTTGTAATAAAACACCAATCTAGTAGATGCTCTCAAATGATTCCACTTGCACTGATAGTCTGATAGTCTTGAATAGCATACAAGAGGTCCAAGTGTACTTATGCACACGTGTGTATTTAAGACACTTAAATCCATTAACTTTGCCCTGTTAAATCAGTCTATTATAGTATTGTTTTTGTGATGTTTCAGATCGACACATCGCTGTTAAACTCGGAGATTCTGCATCATCGAGTATCGGGCTATTACACATCAAGCCAGAGTTCTATGAACTCTCATTTGCCGAAACTAGTGAACAGCAATCCCCATGGACCTTTTTTCGAAAAGTTCGGAGTAGGCATTCAAAACTTGAGGAAGCAGTCTGATAGGCAACTCATCAAGTGCGTTCAGGACAATTCCAGATCTCAATGCTCGTATTTTATTAAGCCGCCACTATCACCCTGGACGCTCTTCTTTCAAAACAAAGACATGGAACAAGAATACAGGGAAAACGTGCATCACATTCAACCGACTACTCAAATAGATACTCTCGCTAATTCTAGGTTCAACACATACCTTGACGTCTTTGTTTCCATTATGGTGTTTTTCATAACGTCTTTTGGACTGGCGTTCGTTTACGGATTGACTGAATTTTGGTTGATAGCTTTCTTCTGTCTGCTTTTGTTGCAGTTGCTTAACTTTCCCCTGTGTTTCGTGTCAGTAGTGAGGTGGACGGATCGGATATGTCGGTGTACGAGTAGATTTTATAGATGGAACATGTTCGGTGCGGTTTTAGTTAGTTTGCCGCTGATTTCAGTTGTCATTAACTTTGTGCCAGAAAGAAATGAAACATATTTTCATTTACACATGTACACTTACCTACTGTTTGTAGGGCTGATACACTTTTGCAACTTTACTCAACTCAATTGCTGGATGAAAAGTGTCATAGCGACCATGATTTCTGTAATTTTCACTGTACTTTTTATGAGCAGTCCGTGCGAATTTTTTGAGGTAGTTAACAACAGTACCGAATTGGACAATAATCCTCCATTCTTGCTTGCTTTGAATAACAATTTCAGCGTCAGCAGTGCGTTGCCACTTAAAGGTGACAAGGCCTGCTACCTGAAAAACTCAGAGGTAACGATGAACCTGTTAATGCTCCTGGTTTTGGTGTGGATGTTGAATAGGGAATTTGAAATCGGATATAGATTAGGTTTCCACTCAAATTACATAGCGAATCGTGACAAGAGCCACGTCCAAAGTCTAAAGAACCAAGCCGACTACCTCATTTACAACATAGTACCGGAACACGTCGCGGAACAGCTAAAAAAAGACGCCAAATACTCGGAAAACTTCCAAGAGGTGGCGATTATATTCGCCAGCATTGTTAATTTTAACGAGATGTACGACGAGAGTTTCGAAGGCGGTCGGGAATACCTGCGAGTTCTCAACGAACTCATCGGCGATTTTGACGAACTATTGGACAAGAAAGAGTTCCATTGCGTAGAGAAAATAAAGACGATCGGTTCGACATTTATGGCGGCTAGCGGACTCGACTCGCTGATGCGCACCCAGCAGAAAGATCCACACGAGCACCTGTACGCGCTTATGGATTTCGCGATCGAGATGCAGCGCGTGGTTGAAGAATTCAACAGAGATTTACTAGAATTCGATTTAATTATTAGAATTGGTTACAATTTTGGAGACGTGACTGCCGCGGTCATAGGTAACACAAAACTGTATTATGACGTGTGGGGCGACGCGGTGAACATTGCGTCTAGAATGGACAGTACTGGCGTCAACGGGCACATTCAGGTTGGCGAACATTGCTTGTCAATTTTGGAGAAGAAGTATGAATTCGAACCACGAGGGTCAGTGTACGTCAAAGGTAAGGATCACATGAATGTTTATTTATTGAAGAAAAAGAAAGAATCTGAGTGCACATATATTCCTGAAATGGCCACGTGATTGTAATTACATTGTTAAAGTCAGTGATGGATATTATTTAAATTGTTCTGAAAATGATGAAGCACGAGTGACGTTCCAATATGATCAGTATCTACCATTTTTTGAACAACTTGGTTTGAGAAACATCTTGCAAATTGCAAAAGTTTACAGTCCAGTGAATTGGCAGTTTGCTGTTAATTGATATTTTCTGATTTAGTTTGGCTATTCCCTCTTATATCCACTGGAAGCTAGTTTAATTGCAAGTAAATTGATAAAGTATGAGATCTCAATCTAAAGTCACCCAAAAAACGAGAGTAAAATGTATGATATGTGGTTTTGATTTTCTCACCTGACCTGTCCTAGTCTAAGAATATGTGATTTTTTATATGCATATGACTGCCCTGGCCACTATCAGGTACATCATACATTTTGTTCTATTGTGGTATAACAAAACGCGGCTCAATGTTCCCAAACATTTAAGAAATTTGAACGGTGGCTAGGACAATCGATTAATTGAAACACATTTTTGCGATCCCGGGCTCTAAAAATTTATTGGTCAAGTGATTAAAGTCATCCATTTTCTTAATTAGCCTAAAAATTTATTAATGTGACATACGAACCCCATTTAACCATCATTTTTGTTTGAAAATTTGACAGGCCAAAAGTCTCGTTAACGACCATCATATCATTGTAATGTCAGTGGAAGTTTTGTAATCGGAGGTTGTAGCTTCATATAGCAGAGATATTCGGTATTGAAATAGGTATATGTATTAATTATTACAAGCTATATGTATAATCTAGAAATTTCTGATGAATGTTATTTAGTGAATAGGAAATTATACAGTTTAACTTCTAGAGGTTTCAATTTGGTAAACACCGTTTATCTGTATACATTTTTACTTTCCGTCTTTTTACCAAAGATAATACTATGCGGCGAAACATTTGTTTATCATTGCAGAACACTAGAATCGGAAGTAATAACTGTGATATATTGTAATTGAAAACAAGCATACTTATGAGCAACAAATGGCTTTAATATAATTTAAACAAGTTTACCAGGTGTTGTTAGCCTATAATTAAATGTAACAAAATTACTAGATAATCTGTTAAATGGAGTGTGCAATGTTAGATGAAATTAAAAACAAATCGTGTCTATATAATCAATGTACCCAAGAGTACAATAAAACTTTTAAATATTTTTAATAACACTGTATGAATATTAATTTCAATCACGAATGCTAATGGCCGAAAGTTTTTTACAAATTTGTTGCCGTCGACAACATGCTAACGAATACGGTGATGGTCTATTCCGTTATATTTTAGCAGATATAAACTTTTTAGCTATCGAAAGCTGACTAAACACCAATTATATTTAGCTTTAAGGTTAATAAGTGATCACTGCGACAATTAAAATTTCATTTGTAAAAGGGAGTCCACAGACAAAACTGACAACATAAAATTCTAATTGTTCTGGAAAGATTTTTTGATGTTGCAATTAAGCGTGATCATCCTTTAACGAGGCAAATAGCCCATACCTATATTACGACATTTTTTAATTTAAAATAATGCCTTCCCTTAGCCTTCTAGCTACATTGTAGCAAATTTTTATACAATGCACAGTACAACATTATTTTATATGGTGCGAAGGAACCAATAGTCAACCGTTTCTGCCTATTACATATTTACTAAACGAGCCAAACCAGAAATCTTTTTATAGTATATAAATATAGATTTATACATCTTCAAAATATACCAAAGAAAAGCATAATTTTATCGCGTAGTAGACCGCCGTCTAGACCCAGAATTTGTAAGAAATATTTTATAAGGTTTGTATGTATTTAAGACGTATGAAACAATTAAAGGCTACTAACGATCCTAAGAATGTTCACAAATTGTCAATTTGACATTAAAAATTCATATCTCACATACGAAACGAGTTGAGCGCAAGGACAAATTAATCAATCGAGTAACATTATTATATTCATTTGTCTTATCAGATACAAGATTTTTTCATTCATGGCAACTCAATTTTACATTTATTTTAGTTTTTGCAGTTATGTCACAAAAATATCTATATACCTACTTTAATTGTGTATTTATTTGCATTTAGTTGAAAGCGAAGAAGACTGTATTCGGTATTTTTGATTAGTTTCTAGTTATGTATATAAATATTTAATTTATAATTTGGAATGGATGGTGTTTCACTTACGCAGTCAACGTAAATATGTCTTTAGAAAAATGAAATAATTATATGCCTTTAATAGATTTATTTCGTTAAAACTATAAGGTGTATAAAGAAATAAACAATCTTGTATGCGGTAGCTTTAATCAACTGCTTGTTCCTAACATCTTTGAATAATGTAGCAATTAGGGAATTTAGCAAACTATTATAGTGATATTCCTCTTCGCATCGAAACTTTCAGCGTACCGGGTCCAAATATTTAGATTAAGTATGTGAAATACACTATTGCAGTAAGTCGCTGCTTTTTGATATACAGTTTAAACTGATTTTAATTTATATCTGTGTAGATGGTCTGAAGCTCTATATATTTCTATACGCGACAACTTTCATTGTAATTATGGCAAATCGTTTTAAATCCTTGGTTACCATTGTAAATATTTTTTATGCAATTGTTATCAATATTATGTACATTATTCTGTTTTAAATGTATATTTATACTATATTTTCCGATTATTTATTTTGTGCATAGAAAGAGCATGTTTTGAAAGTGCCTTCTCTTTCCATTTGTTTTTCGTTGCATAATAAACAATATTACCCGTCCTCTTTACCATTGCAATGATATTACATAAATAAATTGTAATTGTAATTAGTCAGGTGTTTTTTACTACCATAATTAACTTGGTTGGTTGGTTTGGCTTCTATCTAGCTACACCCGTTTTATTTATTTTTTTTACTTGCGGGAAGCTGTAGTCAATTGGAGACATTCTTACAAAATAATGTTAAATACTGTATATTCCAAGGTAAGTTTTGTCACCTAAAAGTGCCGTTTCAATTCTAAATGCTTTTAGAGAACGTTGGCATCTTTCCATTAGCTTTGAAAAAACAATATCTAAATTTCAGGCAATTATTTTTAGTAGAAGTAAACCATGCAAACGCCACTTTAGTAATGAGTTTGATTTGGAGCGAGTACTTAATAAAAGTGACTAAAGTAATAAACTACTACAACATATTGAATTCTATACTTTTTCTGCAACTATTAATTTTTGGGTACATTTTTGCAAAATCTCACAAATACATTTGCTCAGTGACTGGTAACTTGACCGACAGAATTGACAAACGTCAAAATACCAATGTCTAATTCTACCAATACAATTCGATCGCTCCCAAATTCGTGCTTCAAGTACCGGAAACCCTCAAAGTGGCTCGCTTTAATAGTAAATGGTAATGACTTGCTTAATAACTGCATTCTGTATATTTCTTTTTTCATTTTTCTGAAACCCAATATGAATAATAATAGACTAGTGTACTTATTTTTAAAAAATGTTCTAATAACAAGCAAGTACATTAAAACGTACTTCATTCAAAATTATAAAAACTTTTTTTTTTAATTAATTTAAACCAAAAAATTAAACAACCTTAATTCATGTTTTATTTATTTGAATATTTCAAAGATTGTTATATAGATGCACAAATATTGTCAAGATAATAATAGTCACAGTCAAATTTCATCATTCAAAATTCTACAAACTTAACCAAGGATATCACAGAAATTTGACTTAAAAATTACCCTAAAACTTAAATATTTATACAACCATAACATACTATTATAAAGGTTTCGTCTGAAATTAGCTTAATGAAGAAACCAAACATTTTAAAAACTCATTTCTCTACTCTGTCCTGTATCTTAAATGAATCTAGACTAGTTCACATTTATATATATATTTTATCGCAGGGTGTAATTGATGGCGGTTGCTTTTTATTATCACTTTACTAACACAAATTGCTCAATTACTAACTTAAAATAACACTGACTATTGAGCCAGGTTAACTTGTTATTATGCAGAAGTTGCACAGCAGACAAAATGAATAAAGTGATTTTCGTAAAGTTAAAATGGCAACAAAATTTTAATTTTATTTATATATTCGGAGGTCTCGTAAATGAATTATTTGATTATTGATATCCTTTTACTGCATTTTTTTGACGAATTTTGCAATACATAAAATTTATCTAAAACATAAAAAGATCAGTTAAATTTTACAGTATTCAAGAAATTCTCTATAACTCACTGGGTATAATAGTGGCATATTCACAAAATAATAATTACAAGAAAATCAGTGATTTGGGAAAATAAAAACTTAATTAAATATTGAGATAACATATCAATTCTCCTACTTATTACAAAATTTTAGAGTGATGTATTTCTTTATAATTACATATATTATTATTCCCTTTTCAGAACAAAACATATTTATATTAACTAAAAGTAGCTATTGTTTGATATGTGCCACTATGGCACCCAGTGAGCGGACTGAACCCAAGGAAACTGACCTATTGCTTACAAATACATAACTTTGAGAACCATGTCCATTTAAAGTTACACCCCACTCTATATGTTTTAAACATTTAATAACTTCATATATAAATTTCTTGTAAAAATATGGACAATACTATCATTGGGTTTGGTTTATTACACATTAGGTAACCGCAAGTCTCATCTCGTCCCATCTCGATTATTATGCTACCACCAAAGGCTCATCGTCAGAAAAGCCAATAATCTGCGGACTGTCCTCTTCCTCTAAACTGTGGTCATCGAAAGTGGCCGCTCCCGACCTAGAATTGTAGTGAGAGTTTGCGAACCTAACGAAACTGTTGTGCAGCCGTCGATTTCGTACAACCAAGAACCCAATTATGGCCAGAAAAGCGACTACTATAAGAAGGCTCGGCACAATAATGGCGAGCAAACTAACTGAACTTTCTTGCTTCGAAGCCTGTGCACCGATATTCCTGCTCACTTTAGCAGACAGTTTTGACTTTATGCCCTTGTCTGTCTTAATTCGAATGGCAAAACTGTACATCAAAGCAGAATCATTAGTGTATATAAATGGAGGGCGTTCCACTAAGAATTTCATTGCAGTAGTTTCATTCATATCACTTCCTTCATGTACAAGAATCTCATACTTATAAGGTCCACTCTCCTTAGGTAATGTTTGTTCCTGCCAGTATAGGAATAAACTGCCGTTTGATTCGGCTTGCACCATTAATTCAGTTGGTGGTGGTATAAATGGACCACTGAAAATAACTGGCTGTGACGGAATAGCATTAGGTATGGCTGTTTGAACGGTAATGCTGTATACGGCTCCCTGTTCAATATTAGCGCTATACTGATATTGATTTTTCTCAGTTCCAAAGTTCCACCTCCGTTTGGTTGTCGTTTCCCGTATAGTGACCTGGAAACCCGCCAAGGCGTCACTCAATTGAAAATTAGTATCCCGAGTAAATTATTGGCGGCAGACCGAGATAAATAATAGAGAAAACATTTTTTATATAATCAACTCACCAAATATGAATGATTTTTCATGGTTGAACATGTTGGTTCCCACGTAACCGTCATATTTAGAGCATCAAGCGGATTGGACCCAACTCGAACATTCTTTGGAGGCGCTCTCGGGTTTTCAGATGTTCTGACGGACAGAATCTTGTCCGACAAAGGACCATAACCATGGGGACCGATGATGCCGACCAGAAACATGTAAGTCTCGCACGCGCCAAGATTTGGAATTGTTATTGAAAGGTTTGTAGTTCTCAACATTGCTTCTATAAACAAATATAGCATCTCAAAAACCATTCCGAGTTAAACATGTAAATATTACTTTTATAGAGTTGTTCTTCATCGATGCCATAATACACGCCGTAGACCCAGCTGATCTTAGAATTCTTTTCCGGTCGCTCCCATGACAGTTTAACTGTAGTACCTATTTCCTTAAGAATGATCGCTTGGGTACTTTTAATCACTGGTAGAGGGGTGCCGACCGTATAGGCGGAAATAAATTTATGGGGACCTTCAATATTCTTGCGGAAAGCATATACCTATAATAACGAAAAATAAATATGTATTTGTCCGTTAAAGAAAGCTTTTTTTTGCACCACTCGGTAAGCAGTTTTTCACCAAACACACCTCTAACTTGTAAAACGCTCCGGGTGCCAAAGTCAGTGTACAGTTTTTGTTTTTTGTGGTGTACAGGGGTATTGCAGGATACTGTCGTTCAGGGTGTATCATAATCCTGAAGCCATCTGCGTCACCCCTGTATGTCCACACTAAAGATACACTTTGATTGGTTGATGACACAACTCTCAGATCTTCAATCATATTGACGTTTGTCTCGGCGTCGAAAGTTATCGTTGCTACTTCAGAGGACTCACTTTCATACCGTCCATTGCTGGCTTTCACCTAAAAAAAAAAAGATACCTCACATGATAACGTCATATTCCGTTAATTCGACAATATTATGAAAGATCAACTCCAAAATCTTTTGTATTAATGAAATTATTTCACTTACGGCAAAGGAATATTCCTGGTTGTGTTGGAAATCTGCAGATAACAAATGGGAAGTTTCATTCCCATTCAACTTTAGAACAATAACAGCTGAATCGATAGGAGCCCAAATTATTCGGTAACTCTGAATAATGCCGTTTGGTTGAACGGGTGGCTGCCATGCAATTAATATATGAGATCCGTTTTTCTGAACCGCGGTTGTGTTCCACGGAGGTGTTGGTTTACCTAAAGAAATATTCCAAAGCGTTCTCATTTTAAAATGTCGAAATAAACATTTGAATTATTTTCGGTTACCTTCCAAAGTCGATGCAACGAAATATTTTGCCGGAGGAAAAACAACGTCAGTCTTCAGCACCCTTACATATACCGTCATATTATAAGACGTAAATGGTTTTAAACCTTCAAACAGATATTCCTTTTGATCGCTCCAGCTTTTATTGTGCCATTTATCTAGGCCGAGCTGAGTTATCGACGGCATAAACTCAAGTGTTACGTTATTTGGGGGTGGAGCAATCGTCCAATATAGAAACAGGGATGTATCATTCGTGCTACCTGCTTCAAAGCCCATCTCCAATACCTGACAATTATTATATTAGTTCATATTATTGACAAAATCAACCCGTCTTAAAACAAATAATAATTTTGCTATTAAAATCTAACTCAGTAACCAATAGTACAAACTATGTTTTGAATTTTTTATTGAACTGCAGCACTAATTCCTCATATATGCATAATCTGATGCCATGGTACTTTCTACAAGCTGCAACAATTATATTTGTTGTCATTATTCAATATAAAACCGCATATGCAATACTGAAATATCCCAATTTTATGGAATGGTCCTTGTATTAATTAATATAAAAATGTTCAATTGCAGTGACAATAACTGATACGTTGAGTGATAAGTTACAGGTGGGATTTGGTGCTTCGTCTGCTGATATTTAACATTTACATAAACGGCCACTAATGAGAGAAATGTGTTTTGCTTTACTGATGATACTGCAGCGATTGTGCCGGGTAAATCTTGGGAGGATACTATTGTGAACAAGACGTAAACTGTAAATGTAACAACTTTCTTGAAAGAAAAACTTTTACAGAATATCGGCCACACTGATTGATGAAATGTTTTCTTGGAACAGTCATACTAATTATGTAACTTACAAAATCAGAAAACTAATATATAAATTCTATGAATTAGGTAATATGTTATCTTTGAAGGGACTAAAAAAGGTATAATTATCACTGATAATTGCAATAATGAACTTTAGATTGCAGGTGACTCAAAAATGGATTATAAAAACAATGTATTTAAAAAAAAAAACGATACTTTTTGAGGCGAGCTTATTTTTAAACAAATCAGTGAGAAGATTTATGTTTAAAACCAACTATTATAACACCAAAATAAATCATGGTATTAACACAAGACCTACTGCCCAGCACAATGTGGCTCTACAGAACCCCAAACATGTAGCAACTAAGAGTTAAATCATATAACAGAATAAAAAAAGGGTTACCTGACTGGATTAGGGTCTTGATTTGGTTTATTTGGAATAAACCAAATCAAACCATAATCTAATAATAAAAGCTCTACGGTAAAACTTTTAAATTAAGTAAACAAAACCTTTACTGGTTTAAACAACACATGGCAAACACACAGTATCCTAAGATACCTCAGTTCGCCCAAAAAGTTATTCTTGATAATTGTTAACTTTTGATAATATATAGATTATTAATAATGTAATGTAACTGCTGATTGTTAATTTTTATATTTATAATCAAATGAACAACAATAAATATAGGATACAATTAATAATACCCATGTTTGAGTAGAGGTTAAAAACAAGAAAATATCTTTGCTGAATACATGTGTATAAAGCAAAGATTATAAATTAAATTACTATACCAATATTTCCCCAGATTCTTTCACATTTTTGTACTTTTAAGCTTTTACCAGGTGCATTTTCCATTAATACCCATAGGGTCAACAATTATTATGGGAACCTGCAACTCTCTATTAGTAAAATGTTCAACTCCCTACCTAAATCGCTTTTTAAATTGGATTTCACCATAAAACTCCAATGGATTTTGCAAGTTTTGGATAAGTTTGTACACATCCTCAATATAAATATATGTTTTAATGATTGTCGAGTTAAATTAAAATTTATATCATACCTGATAAACTCGGGATTTTCTAGTACAGTTTGATTCGTCATATCCATCCTTACAGTTGACTTTTCCATCACACATCACCGATAACGGATAACAACTACCACCATCGCACGGGAAGAACCCGACACTGCAACTAGGAGTGGCCGGCTCGTTTGGCAAATACTGTTCACAATTCACTTCGTCAGTCCTGTCAGGGCAATCGTAAACACCGTTGCAAACCTGAGTCATCTGAAAAAATCAAATATGGGTAATTTTCGTATGAAATTAGAAAACGCAATGTGTTCATACCGAAATGCAACTGCCATCGTTTCTACATTTGAACTCGAGAGGTGTACATCGGCTAAATCCATCACAATGCTGCTCATCCTCTCCATTGGGGCAATCGTAGCTGCCGTCACACACCCACGATGCCAAAATGCATTGACCGGAATAACATTGAAACTCGTTAACGTCGCACCAACCGCTTTTAGGGGTAGACTGAGGGGTTGGCGGTTGCGTAGTGGATGCTGGCAAGTTTTGGCAGTCCGATTCGTCGCTGTTATCGCCACAATCGTCCACCTCGTCGCACCTCCACCAAAAAGGTATGCAGCGGTCATTTTGACATTTGAACATCCAATCTTGACAAGTGTTATTCTGCAAAAAAAATAATGTTAATAATTATCGACATTTATACAGATATTGACGATAACCTATTGCCTACCTTTGGAAGGAATGTATTACTCGGAGTTTTTGGAATTTCCGTTTTCGTACAATTTTCTTCGTCCTTTCCATTGGTGCAGTCTTTGTCACCATCGCAAACCCACGTATTGAAAATACATCTGTTGGTAGGCGGTCCACAAGAGAATTGCAGTTCCGAACAAACATTGTTGGTGCAGTTAGCTTCATCAGAGCTATCTCTGAAACGAAACCAGATTCATTCGCGGCGAATTTGAATCAAACAGAGAATATGCATTAAACTTTCAACACACAACAAGAACAATAGAGAAAGAAAAATTAGGTGGAACAATTAGATCAGGTTATAGAGATAAAGAGGAAATAATAATATCACTGATGCTATTAAATTATTTAACGAGTACAAAGAAATCAAGACTACATGGCGAATTTTGTATGGTAAAAAACAGTCAATCAGCCAATGTTGGTTGACTAATTTAGAAGTAATTTGTACTGTAAACTGGACAGTGAAAACTATGAGCTGCTTTAGGAGCTGTGGCACGGATATGAACGTTAATTTTGTCAAGAATTCCAAGAACAGCAGCTTTTCCATAAACAATATTATCTTGTGACTCGCAGATATCGGCACCATATTTAGAAGGAAAATATTTTAACATCTATGCAATTGCCCAAAATGAGAAATTAAAAAGTACAACATAAACAGACACATGAGGCGCATTCAAGATGAGAACGCACAAGAGGACAATATAAAATTTTAACTCATTTCTGCTGATCAAGTCTGGAGTAATTCTAATAAAAACAAGCATCTGGAAAGATACAAAGGAGTAAATATTACACCTTTAAAATTAGAAACATCTAGAACTTCTACATCTATTTTATAGTCATATTTAATACAAAAACATCAGCTGATTTAATAATAAGCCTTAATTTTCGTGTGGCCCGCAAAAAAAAACACATCTTCGTGAATATTATTTATAAATTAAATTAAACCGGAGATGCCCAAGGTGCGACCCCTGTGGAACCCTAGTTACTTTCGAAAAATTGATGAAATCGATTCTTTTCGAAAGTATACGCACTCTCCACTAAACTCGAAATCTCGGCAACGGTAGGTCCTAGGGGTCTCCCATTGGTACAAAACGAAACAGCGTAAAAAAAAGTATAAAAAGTATTGAAGTGTTAAAAAAAAATTGCGTTTCCAATGGTTTAAGAAAGAAATAATTTCTCGAAAACAGTTAACGCGACGAAATAGTTCTTAAACGAAAAGACGTAGAAGATTCGACTCCATAAAATTTTATTCCTGAACATTTTTCAAAAATGTACAGGGTTCGCCGCAAATAAAAAAAAAACGAAAAATGGGTCCCCCTAATATTTTACATGACGATATAGCCCGCATAACAGCTATCGACTTCAGATTTTGCAGAAGTCCACACCCGTATTTCATCTGTTGAAAAAGGACTCACTCAAATCGCGCAAAGTAATTTTATTGAAATTTTTGAAAAATTTTTATGGTTATTTTCTCCAAAACTATTAACCCGATCGACAAAATTTGTGAACCAGGAAATGCTTTTTTCGGATATATTTTTTTATTATTTACAAGGTTTTTCATTTATAGACTAAAATCTAATTAAATTATTAGCCATAAATCAAAATTCGTGGAAAACATGGTCAATTGCTTTAATTGCTTTTACAGTTTTCGTCTATCGCATACGCTGTTCGAGATATTTGAAAAAATACAAAGAAAATCGCCATTTCTCGCCCTCAATCTAGACGCGATGACGTCATTTACTATTACCACGTGCATGGTTTCAGAAAACAAGTATTTTCCTGAAAACCACTTAGTCTATTGGAAAAAATCACATACGAGAAAACGTGGGAGATTCAGGGCTATAACCTCTATTTCGGCCATTGTTTGAATTATATAAAGGGTGTATCGTTTATGGGGAAAAAAATTAAAACATCCTAAAAATTTCCGTTTTTGAGTGTAAATTATAAGGGATAAATGAAAAACTGCTAAAGATGCGATAATTTGATTTGAACAGTATCGTAAACTGTGTCGAGAGAGAGCCGCAGGGTTCGTCAATTATACAGGGCACGCGACGTATTTGAAAAAATATCATTCGACAACACTATTATTTGTACAAATTTTAATATTTAAAGTTTGCCATAACTATGAAGTCCGGAGAGACTTGAAAGAAACTTTATACAGGTTGTTGGCGCAATAAAATTACATCGATTTTGCGAATGTGGTCCGCAGGAACACGATAGAAAAACAATATCTCCCTCTAGAACAAGAAACTGCGAAGCGATTTGACAATGCGTTTAGGGATCAGATAAATAGCTAACGAACTGTGAAATCAAGACCCGAGAAGAAAATAGCCGCAAACTAACCTGCAATCGGGCTCGTCATCACATTTCCATGTGGAAGGTATGCAAGTCACTGCTCCGGACTTGCACTGGAACTCGTCCTCCGCTTTGCAGCTAACAGGTTTGTCAGCGTCGCAGTTGCTTTCGTCGGAACCGTCGCGGCAATCGTTTTCATGGTCACATCGCCAATTCAAAGCCACGCAACGGCCATTATCGCAAGCGAATTGCGAGTCTGTACAGTTCTGGCGAGGGCAATTCAATTCGTCTGAACCGTCGGCACAGTCTTTATCATAATCACATCTGAAAAAAATAATTAAGGACATGCGAAAACGGTGTGTTTAGAAGATGAGTTCGCGAAAGGGGGCTCCACTTACTTCCAGTAATGGGGAAGACACTTTCCGTCACCACAAACATGGAAAGTCGGGGGACACGTTTGAGTACCGCATCTTGCTTCATCGGATCCGTCGCCGCAATCATCTTCGCCATCACATTTCCAACCCTTGGGAACGCACAACCCGTTAGCGCATGTAAAGTGCTCCGGACTGCAACTCTTATTTACAGCCAGGCACGTGCCATTCGCGAACGGTTCCACGCCGCCGGGGCATAAACATTTTCCCGCATCCGACATTTCCATTCCGTCGGGGCACAAGCAAGTGTAATTGTTTTTGGGCAAACCCACACAAATATAAGGGCACGAGGCGTTCGCACATGCGTTGGTGCCTACAAATAACGACCAACAATAAAATTATACTGGGCTTTTGCAAATTACCTCCTTACCTGTACGAAGGCCCGTCGCGAAAATTTTCAAATCCATAATTCCCGAAACATCTTTCAATAGCGTCCCGTAACCTTTGTATATGTCTTTGTCGCTGACAAATATGGCGTTTTTTTTCCAATCGTCCCAATACATGTCGTTCTTAAATACGGCGATCGCAAAAGGGTGTGAAACGACATCCACATCGTGTACTATTTTAATAAAACCATCGCCATGCAAATCGGAACTACCTATGTAATCTTGGCGGGCGTCGACCCAGTAAATCCTGTTGAAGTTAATCGTGTGTCTTTCAAAATGTACCTCACTAACCCGGAAAATGTGGCGCACTGTTGGCCAGAAGAAAAAAAAAATCCGGAAGAGAAGCCCTGTATTTTATACATGTATATCAAGACGATTTCTAATATTTTACTGTCCGTAACTTGTAGAATCTGCCAAATGCCAAATGAATCAAAAATAAAACCAATATCCAAAAATTTGAAAAACCAAATTACTCAAAAGTGGAATAAAGTGTTACCGTTATACTTCGACCAGAAATATAGTGCTTTTACAATCGACCCCGTGATTAACTTTGCCTACTGTTTATTACTCAACAACCGCAGGCCCTTATAGAACATCGTCCTAGAAATTTATCTACCTACACTAACAACCGGGATATTTTCATTCTTTTTCGCAGAGCAATTCCTGAAACATGCACATAAAAAAATTGCCACTATCGCTACTGTCGTCACCTAGTTCAATGATCAACTCCACCACTAATCGTTCTCGATATCTATTTTCTTCTTTTGTTACACGTTTTTCATAGTTAGACCAGCATTGTACTAATATTTTAGCTACCTCTTGCCGAATTAGTTTTATGGTACTATCACTAAATTTTGATGCAGTATTAGTTCTTCTTATATGCGCTTTCAAACCATCTCAATCAGGCTAAATATACAATCTCATTTCATGTCCGTTTTGTTGTGCTATCAAAAATATTTAATTTTTAATAATTTCAGAAGTAGTTTTTTGTGTAGCTCTCTTCAAAATATAAATCATTTTCGTGCAGAAATTCTTTAATTTTATTTGAAGAAATATTTGGAATTTTTCTAATTTGGGCTGAATGATAGGACACATTACCCAACACGATAACAGTATTTGGCGATGGTTTTGGCAACAGTTTATTTTGAAACCAGTCCTCAAATATTTCCGCGGTCATGTTTTCATAGTAATCCACACTTCTATCATCTATGAAGTTTTTGGCAGACAAGAACAAGGTATCTTTCAACCAACCATTTTTATATTATTATGCGTTTTCCATGTGATCTGTGATCACACCACCCTTTTTTAACTGTGTCGCGAGTGTCGAATCACGTTTCGTCTAAATACACTATTGGTCTATTTTGCCCTCAAAATTTTCCAATTGCATTTAAATAATCCACCCTCCATTACGAAATTCTTTGAGATTCCATTAGCGGTTGACGTTTATTAATTGTTTTGAACTGAAAGTCGATTTTCTTCAAAAAAGTAAGCAACGACTCTTTGGTACAACTAATGTTTAAGTCTGTCAGTACTTTTTTATGCAGTTCTAGGGTTAAAACACTATTTACTTTATAGGCGTCATAGATTATACGCCTAATTAGATCTGCGTGTTGCTCATTAAAAACTCGCAAAGTGCCCAGCATCTTCTCTCACTTTCCCCTTGACTATCATATTTGCAACAATTTTTCTTATAGTTGACGTCGGAACTTTGGTCATGTCACTTTCTTATCGCTGCTCCTACTTCCCCTTCTGAATTTCTTATAAAATTGTAAACATTCAAAACAATTTGTTTAGTATCCGAAGACAAATGGATCAGTTATTTTTTTGCTGAGGTAGTTCGCCTTCTAAATTGTCATTAGGTTCGACTACCATCTCCACTTCATCTTCAAATCATCTGCTTATTTCCACCGTCTCCACATTTTAAAGTATTAAAACAACAGCAACCTTCAGTACAGGTACTTACCCATACCCTTTGAACTATCCAGTGAAAACAGGCTCGTAGGGTTAAAACTCGAGAATCACGTACATAAATACGTACTTACTGGAAGCATCACATTCAAATACCTTCGTAATATATACGAACATATTGCAATTTAAATTAAACTCATAAGAACGATACCTATCACCTGATGTTAAAATAAACGCTTCTACTTTTTGAAAATATCATTTACGTTTCAAATAAAAATTTCAAGTTTTCTACAAATATTCGTTACGGTCAATCTCAGGCAAGATCTACTTAATGCAGAATAAACACTTGTTGGGATGGGTTTGCCCACGGTCCTGCTAAGATATGCGGTTAAGGCACTGTAAAATATTTAAAACGTCAAAGCAATAAATGCACTATATTTTTGGTCGTACTATACATAACTTTACTGTCCTGCCTCAGTAAAGTTGGGAAACGCAATGAAAATTTTAATCATTTATGTTATTCTGAACTGAACACTTACAAGAAAGTTGAAACCAATAAACTTCTGTTTGCGTCTAAAATAGGTTTAGGGATTTTATTTGTGTTTTCTTCCTTTTCATATAGCATTCATCAGACCTTCCTTAAATTTTGAAGTAAAACTGAGTTTTAAACATACTTTACTTTATTCTTACAATATAGTAGGTACTAAATACATTTTAACACACAGTTTTAGACTCCATGGTATGCAAGAAGTTTTATGAAGAACAGTTTTTTTTTTGCAAAAGCAATAAAGCAATTAGATGGTGCCATTATTTTCGCACACTCTATATAACAAAAAAACCTTAGACCAACTTTAAATAAATTTTTAAAATTACTGAACTAGTTTTTTTTTACGTTTTATTCCAAAAAAAAAACTAAAATCTAACTTCCACCGTTTCCGAATGTGAAATTAAACCTATTTTCTTTATCTTATTTACAAAATTTTTGCTTAAAAAGTAAAGGAGGCAGTTGCTTTACACACACATCTAGTTCTCCATTCAGATATATGTAAAATTTAATATTTGGATTTCAATTTAATTGGCGAGGTGACTGATAATGTGTAAATACAAATAGTTGTATGGAGTGCAAAATAAAATATATTATATTGGCAATTGTGCAGCTACCGACCAAATTTGAACTAGAACAGAGGTTTTTCAGCTTACCTATTAGCTATGTAATCCACAGTAATGCCATTAGGCCACTCAACTTTATCCTTCCCAAACAAGGTAAAGTTATTACTACCATCCAAGTTGGCCCGGTTGACCGAAGGATTTTCTGCCGACCAATCGGTCCAAAACATATATCCATGCTGGGGATGAAGAGCGATACCTCGCGGCTTTTTTAGCACTGTCTCGTTTAAAATCGTCCGTCTCATTCTTCCGCTGTAGCTGATGTTCGTCCTGATCAGTTCAATTTTGGCCCTCACCCCATCAACAAAATAGAGGTTTTCTGAGATCCAATCGAAAGCCATGCCTTCAATTGAAGCCAAATCGTTTGAAACTAACACCTCCGGCTTACCACCGCTAGTAAAGCACTGACGAGAAACTGTGTCTGACGAAATGTCCGCCCAATAGACGCAGTTGTTTTTTAGGTCGTAATCGACAGCGATCACGTTCTTTAGGTTGTACAGGGGAAGCACCTCCAGACTTTTAGTTACCAAATTATATGTACTGATACTTTCTCGTTGAGCAAACAACAGAAAATCGTAAATGACCTTCATTGGACAGGGTACCAAATCCGGGAGGTAGTGTTGTTCAAACCCTTGAACGCAGACGTCGCCCGAAATTTTTCTATAACCCTTAGTTCTATTGTAAAACTGACCCGGTTCACATTTAATAGGAATATCGTAAGGATTGTACGACTGCAAAGACTTATCAAGAATACATCTCGGTGGCATTGTTTCAGTTTTGTTAAATCCAAAGTCACATTCGAAATCAAGTATGTCACAGTCACACGGCTGTTTAGAGATTAATCTGACAAAGTCGAGACCATTCAAACAATACGCCTTCGGAGTTCGTCTCTGGTAAGTGGTTTGTTCTCCTAAAATGCACGGTATGTAACTCCTGTTTTCTTCGGTTTGACTGGGCGACCACATTTTGTAATCGTTGGGTCCACATTGGGATTTGAAAATCCTTGCAAAGTCGACCTTTACGATGATCCAGTTGTGTTCTTTTGGCAGAGAACCAAACATTGTGAAGATTGTGGTGTTTTCACCCGGTTCAGTCATCAACCCGTAGAGTCTTATTTCTTCATTGTGAAACGCGGTCTGATTCCAATTTTCACCTTCGTCGATCGAATACAAAATATGACGCGTTTCTCCTTTCGCTTTGTAATACTTAACGGCGGACAAAATTCCACCGTGATCACCCATGTTGAAGAAATATAAATCTCTTAGAGTTTGGTGCCAAGTTAATCCGGCATCTAAACTGATATAAACCCCATAATGACCTTTAAGATTTGATCCCAAAACACCTGTGGCCATAATAATACCCGGTGCAGACTTGCTCGAGAGAATGCTCACAGATCGACTCTCTGGATAAAGCTGGCTAAATTTTTGACTCAGATGTAAAGAACACCCTTTGGAGGGTAAACACCCTGTAGATTGCTTTTCAATATCAACGGCCGGTGGTTTAATTAAGCGCCAAGATGCCCCGTGATTAAAAGTAATTACGGAGCCCAGATTGTAAGGGCCTAAATTATTACTGCCATTTGATTTGGGTTGGACAACCCTAGAAGCGATGTAAATTCCGGTAAGACCTTCGACTTTGTAGACGTCTGCAAATGCTTCATCAGCAATATGACTGCAAATAAGAGAACAGTAAAAGGTACATCATCAATAATTAAAATATTATTATATTATCTTAGTTAATAACATGGGTAAGTAGGTTTAATTAAAACTATTGTTAAAGTGTCAGTGAAGGAGTAAAATTTCATTTTATTATTTTTCGGAGTAATACTTGCCGCACCATCTACGTTTCAAAGGGCGAATCATTATTGAATAAACATCGACGAGCCGCAAAACACCGCTATTGAAAGCGTTGCAATCAGTTTATAAGCATACCCAGACCGACACACATCAAAAAGTATTCGTTTAAATTGTTATTGGTTATAAATAAAAGTTTGTGAAATATTTTTTTAGTGCAGTATAACAAATAAAAGTGTTTGTGAATCAGTTAGAGCTAATAATTATTCCATTCCATATAAAACTATTTCTAGATTTGTTACTAACAATATTATAAAGTTTAGAACTCTAAGGAGTGCCTTGATGGAGAACCCTAAGTTGATCTAAAGAAAAAGACAAAAAATTCAAAGCAAATTTATATCAATAATTCATGTCAATGCCGATGTCAATGACTTGATAGAAAATCCATGCACATTGTCATCACCTTCGCATTGTTAATGTAAACCTAACAAAGATGATATCAACACTGAAATAAATCCCTTAGTAAATACTTACTAAAGCCAAGTGTCTTGCCAAGTGCTGTTTGGAAAGAACGCAAAAACGTTTTCCAAGGAGAGAGTAAATTTAACTCTACCGCTGTTGCCTCCCAAATTCTCCGAGACGTACAAATTCGAGTGTTCCTCCGAGTGACTGGCCGCAACCAAAGCTCTATTTCCGGTAACATCCACAATGAGATAATTACCGATGGGTAATGTAGTGTCGAACATGCATGGTATCTGCCTTCCCAGTTTGTATGATACATACAACTGCAAGTTTCCCTATATATGCATAATATCACATGTCAAAACAGACCTGATTAAATATTCATAACAAAAAAATAAACATATGGAAAGTAATATAAGAAACAATTATTTGAAGTTATAAAATATACAAAGTGTTGTGTTAAGAATGCGCTAAAATGCTCTATAGTTCAGGAAGAAGAAGAGGAAGTTTTGATAATATAAAAGATTGATGTTCTACGTACTCGGTGTAGTGCATAATTTCATAACGACAAAAGTTTGAACGTCATATATGTATAAAGTTAATAATAAAGAAAATGGAAGTAGAAAATATTTTGTTTAAGAGAACTTTCGATTATGGGAAAAGTAAGTAATTATACCAATGCATAGATGGGATATGTTTTCTTATAGGCACACAACTTATTTGAAGAGATAGAAAATATTCGAACCCGCCAACTTTATAAAAAAATAAAATTTTCGTTTGAAGCACTTTGTTAATTTTTACATATTTCAAAATAAACTGAAAATTAACTTACATTTCTTGACGCACACTCTGTACAATGTGTCATAGCCTTACAGTGTTCAATTAACCCATATTATCCCAAGCATTAAAAAAAATAACATACTTTTTTGCTCTGAAATTATTTATTTTGTTGCACTTAAGAATAATAATAAATAATAAATAAATAATAATAAAAAAACTCGAAACATACAAAAGAATACTGGTGCGTAAACGAACGACTGGGAAAAGACATTAAATAATGTTTTGGGGCACATAAGATGTAACATATAATTTATACATAAATGTACAAAAGAAAGTTTTAATTCGACAGAAAACAACTAAAAGCAGATTCTTTTTCAAATACAACCTGATTTGATACAAAAAAAATGCATAATATTTTATGGTGCATGAGCGCACCACTGATAACACCTGGTTTCATTTTTGGTAATATTTTACAAAGCATGAACTATGTAAATGCCACATTACACTTATTACAAACGTAAATTGTGTGGCAGTGGCAGATTCTACATCTTCTTCGGGCTTTATTAGCATGAACATTCATGAGGCGACCTTGATTATCAAAACGCACTTCATCTATGGCAGGTGCAAGATTTCTTTGAGTTACTGTTTTATCAGTTTTTAAAAGTCGCAAAGCAATGCAAGATTTAAAATCAAATCAATCACTTCGTCATCAAAAAACAAAAATATTTCAAGCGGAGTTTTTCCAGAAAGCCTATTCTTTATTTCCTCACATGATCTAAATTCATCGGATATAGGTGTGTGAGTATACTCAATCTTCCATTTGACATTTTGACAGGACTGTTGAAGGATAGCTGTATCATTCGGTATATTTAACTTGAAAGTTCCAACTATATCAGTTGGTTCCCCAAACTCTTGTAGATTTATGTTATCGTTCATATCTTCTTCGTTAGTCAAGCTATCCACGTCGGGTGGAATATATACCGCGTCAATATGTTCTGTAAATATTTTTTCACGTTATTTTTAGTATAAATTTGCAAGGAATGGAATGCTACAACACATAAGAATACGTAAATCCAAATAATACTTACGACTTTCATTGTTGTTGTCCTCATCCATCACGATCTCCTCCATAGCCGCCTCTAATTCCTTTTGAGTCAAATACCTCGAAAATGGCATATTTCACGAACTGTAGCGTTCACTACACAAGGCACAAACTAATACTAAAGAAAACGTAATTGTTGGATGTTTATTCTACATGCGCTGACTTGTATAGACTTGCAATAACAAAGCTTCGTTTCACAGATAAAACCAGTGGTGCATTCACGCACCAGTAAATATTTTCAAAAAATAAAGCATAATCAATATGGTTCCATGTAATCTGCATGCTATAGACTTAACAAAAATGGCAATACAAATCCAAAATATATTTTTTTACTATTTTGCATTTACTTGAAAATGTGATACAAATTTATGTACCGCTTTTGTTAACTTTGAAGTCATATATAAGATCTTTCCTTTACCCATAAATTAGCGATTTCTACGGTTTTATGTCCTTTAGTAGTGATAATAATAAAATTTCTAAATGGATGTGCAAAATTTTTTCCTGGTTGTGACAAAAAAAATCATAGAATAGGTGGTGCATTTACGCACCACTGGGACAAAATGGGTTAATCTGAGTTAACAATAATTTCATTAAAAGTAAAATTAGAAAATTTTCATGATTTTTTTATTAACTTTATTGTAAGGTAGGTTTTTTGCAGCACATTGATGACGAAAAAATAAAATGTGTAATACAAGAAACAAATTTCACGGCATAAAATGTAATTTCGGTTGGGGGCACTCGCGTTTGTTCGACTAATTGAATTAATAAAGTAGAATTAGTCTCAACAACATCATAAGGGATCCTAAACAACACGTACACAATGCAGTTTAAAGACGAACGTATTTGGAGCGTATTTTTAACAATAGAAATACAAATTTTTGTTGCATCTACCAAATTTCTAGAAAAAAAACGTGTAAGTTTATTTAGAAAGACTTCCGATAATAAACAATGTTTAAACGCCCGGATATAATCTAAAGTTACCTTGGAGTCTTTCTTCGATGTAAACAGGTAGTCGTTTTTCATAAAGAAACTATGAACGTTCGTCGCGTAAACTTGATTCATACGGGTCCTGAACAATGTTTTCGAAAAAATGATTGTACTTAAACCATTGGGCTCGTATCTGTGAATTAGCAGTTGGTGATTGTCGTTAGTGTCTTTAATCCAGTAGAAAGATTTAACAAATTCGTGAGCTGGACGGAAAGTTTCACCAAAATCTTCAGTTATCCAAAGCTAAAAAAACACATTTGTCAATCTTCACTTCTCGAATTTTGTTTTTTGTTACAGCAAGCATTCGATAGAAGTTCTTACTTAACCAGGCTTACCTTACTTTGGGTGTCATTCTTGTCTAGGACGACGAAAGTGGAAGGTTGAAGTTCATGGTAGGACAATTGGCTTGGGGTAAACTTAAGTTCTATTCGCTTAAAACTTTTTCCGTAATTCGTGGTGACATAAATGAGATTGTGAAGAATGTCGGTAAACACAAACTGCAAGAACACAATCGACGTGATTAAATCGGAATTACATTTAACCACGTTTAAATAAGTAACAACATAAGCAAACAGTTACATCCAACGATTTTTCAAATAGTAATTATAAACAACAAAATACCCTTCAGTCATTTGCGCTATAAAAATGCAGGTTTAAATAAGAGCAACACATATTCAGTTTGCTTAATAAAATCAGATTTTAAAATAAGCTTGAATTATTTCCTGCGTTAGTTGAGCAACATTTTTAGAGACCCGCAATGGAGGGATTATCTAACAAAATTAAAACTAGAATTGAACTGAGGTGACTTTTACTTGATGAAAATCCATTTATCAAAATAAATAAGAACTAAAAGTTCAGATTTTCACGAAATTATATATTTTTACATGACAATTGTTTCGACAACAGCTGAACTTTTAGTTCTTATTTATTTTGATAAATTAAAACTACTTGGATCCTACTCATTTATTTTAATAAAAGGTATTAACATCGCATATGAAACGACGCGATTCAATTTTATTTACTTTGCGGTTTTTAACAAAAACGCTTCATGTGGTATTTCTTCTACCGCTTACAAAATTCTACTACACCCTCAAAAATCTTATCACATTCCTATGAAATAAGTTGTTTTATTTGCTTCAAAAACTTGCGGTGCAATTAGCGTTTTTGAAATAACGCCTTTTCGCATGCAAGACGACGATACGAATCCCATTTTATGCGAGCGAGGCAATACGTGCATGTTCCAGCAATTTTGTTTATATTTTTTGTCCTGCTTATCCGCTTAAAAATCCTAATCATTGTCACCAAAAACAACTAGACAAAATTTAATCTAAATTGGTATCTGTAAATTTATTGAGCAAAACGTGAAATAAAAGCGTTTCATTTAAAGTTTATAGATAATGTATTTATATTGTTCGTTAACTGTTTTTCGATTACTACTAATGCTATTTGGTATCTGTTGCGAAATCACAAACATATATATAGATAAATCGAATAAATACATTATGTAAATGATCTTGTGCAGGGTATGAAACCTGTGGTACATGAAAGATCAAAAACTGAGATGTAATGGCTATTAAGGCTATTGATATTATAATACTAAAACATTTAGATACTTACGTGCGTATTGTATACTGGATGGTTGTAAAATTTTTCCAAAGTCGCGTAACCCTTGTTGTTGGGCAGTTGAAATTGATCAGTTTTATTTTTATAGGTGTCGCCGTCATCGTAAGATATATAGACGGCGGAGGGGCTAGCTTGCTGCAGGCCCAAGATGCCAGATGATGGATCTCGAGCCAAGCAAATGACAACCTTACTGTGCTCGCCCACCCAATGGACCATCAGCTGTTTGTGGGTGTCATTAAGATAATTTATCTGCAAAATAAAAATATTAAACTAAGCTAAACGTCCGTATTACTTTCCTTTCGCCAAATTTACACAACCACTGAGGTGAACTGTAGTAAAATTTTATTTGCATTTCCAGTTTCAAAAGAAACACTATTCGTCGTTTGTTAACACTTTACTTTCAAGTTGAAATACGAAAAAGAAATACTAATGCACAATATCTGTCCTCAATGCCTAACCAAAAGTAATACAGTAACACAATTATACAGGGTGTTAAAAAACATATGCGGCAACGCTCGCTCCAATATACAAGGTGTGCACAGCTTGTGCGAAAGTAAAGAAAAAAATCATTTTCTTCGGTTTTTTTGAACCAAATTTGTGATCTATGGGTCCAAAACATAAATGTTCATAAAAATTCTTGTTGTCAAACAACAACAACAACGCAAACAACTGAAGGGTTAAAAAAGTTTTAGTTTTAGTGGAAATAAATCAGTTCAGAGGCGTACGTACTATTTGTTAAGATAACACCCGGGACAGCACTGGCCTTTTTTTATCTAGTTAAATCAAAATAATTTCTTTTATAAATGCGTCTTCAAATTTCAACAAAATTGGACAAACAATATTTAACGTATTGTGAAAAGGTCGGTTTTTCATTTATATTCAAGACCCCGGACCTACGTTTATATGAACCTTTTTTTTTATGACGATTCTCAAGCTGAGCGCAAGGTGTCGATTTGAATAAGTATATTCTACACGCACGCACGCAGGACATTATGTATCACATCTCTAGAAATTGATAAAATAAAAACCCATAATTTAATAAAATTCCACAGACTATGAATCACTTCAAACCACAAAACGACTTTACGTCATTTGTTATCATTTTGATGTTGTTTGAGGTTTTAAGGCAAATTATAACCGCAGGTCAATTTAAAAATATGTTTTTGGAGATGCATCAACTTCAATATTACTAATTCAAAAAACAAAAAATTGCCAATATCAAAGTTGTGAAATTACTAACTACGCTGATGATATCAACGTTCTGATTGTAATTGAAGATATTGCCAACCTTAAGCAGGTGGGAGGAGATAATTGTTAGCAAGAGTACGACTAATGTGGCAATCAATGGCAATGTTTACAGAACAGAAACATTACAAGTGCCATAAGTTTTTGGCTATGTTCTTCACTATATAATTTTGGAGTATTGAGCAGGTACGATATGCGTATCAAATTTTAAGTCTCAACCTTTGCTGCATTCTTTATACAAGAATATATATGCTGTTTGTCTTAAATAGTAAGTGCAGCGTACAAGAACCACCGATTATAACATATTCCAGGCATAGACCATGACTGGTTAAAATGCATATCATCAGTGTACTAGGTTTAATAATAGTTTACTGAACATCTTCTCAAAGTGCCTGTCCCCTATGGAAGTTGGCTGTCACATTGGTCCATATTACGTAGACGTAAGATGAGTTGAAGCAGATGGTATTTTTCATTCCGCATATGTTCAAAGTATTTTAGTTTTTTGCGTTTGACATTTGCAAGGAATTCTAGTCTTGCTCCGATGAGATTAAGGACCTTTTCATTTGTCATATGATGCATCCATGAAATTCTGAGTATACAGCGGTAGCACCACATCTCAAAAGCATCTATGCGTTTCCATGAGGCGTCGGTGATGGCCCATGCTTAGGTCCCATAAAGGAGGGTTGAGAATGCTAATTCTAGTGCGAACGGGTTGCAGAGTATATTTCGCATCTTGACAATAGCGATTTAAAAATGTTAAACTATAAAACTAAATAGAACTATACAATGTAGAAGAATATCACAGATTCATTAAAAACATTTAGGAATTATTATTTTTATTATCAAAAACCTAACCACCTAAAACACAATATTAACGCGCCACTACGGTATCCGCGTTGATGATGCTTTGGCCTTGAATCATAAAAGTTCACATCCAAATCAATCTATTCCTTTGTTTGTCGTTTAAAAGTTCTAATAAAACTCCTGCCAAAATCTTGCCTGAGTGGGCGTCCACAACGACGCAGCGCACATTGCATCGCACTTTTGCACTGGCGTAAAAACCAATATGGAGCAAAGGAACAAATCGCATCAAAATAGCTTCATTTACCCAAATTTTGAAACACCATTGCGAATAAATGTGGAATAATTGGTAAGACAAACATCCGATAAAAGCAACATTATTTAAGCATTTATTTATTGAATACCCTAAGAAATTTCTAATGTCCCTGCAAAACTGAGTCAGTGTGTATGTTTATTGATTTTATTTGAGCATTTATCATACAAAATGCCTGATTGAGCATGTACCAACTTGAAAAACGGGAATTACAAAGAATGCCCGATTCATCGGAAAGTCTCTCAGAAAAAAATGGCGTGGTTGTTCGACGCCGTTGCAGCGACACTAAACGTTAAGTACGCAGCTCTTAGTACTTTGCACCATGCTACAGAACCATATAGCTTAGATTATATGGCGGCCCTACTTATGATATGCTACTTCAGTTGATTTCGTATAGACTTTAAACTATTTTCTATCGGGTTTTAATCCGAAAGATCCGATATTCGACAAACTACCGATAAGTAAATTTCACATCAACAAAACTATCAATTCAGAATCCAGATGACAAATTTATTTCTGATAAGTAATTATAGAAATCAAAATATATTTAGTACGGGATGTAGACCACATATTTATTAACGTGTATAATTCAATCCTATGATATTAAAATTACAGTCCGTGATACGTAATGCCTACGTAGGGATACAGATACGTAAAACCAAGCATAATAATACTGATACATGAACATCAGGTAATAAATTAAAAATATGTGGAATTTTCCAGTTACGAATTTCTTCGAACCACAACGCAACCTGTTTCAGTTTCTAATGCCGTTTTACAGTATTGTTACAACTTATTCAATATATACGATAATCCCGAGTTTTCTCCCAAAAAGGAACTGTAACCAAATCAAACGATTAACGTTGAAAGTCACTACGAGGAAAACTGCAGACATCTAATAAAACAACTTAGCAATGACATCACTGGTTGAAAAGCTCAATAGAAGGATAAGAGTAAAAGTAAATTGTTTTTGGAAAATTTCTATATAGGTACAAATACACAACTTAGTGATACATTGAACTTTATTTTTATGTATTCGAAAAGCTTCCTAGTCGGCAATAAACTAAAATATGCTGACAAGTCGACCTCGTGACAGTGTCTCGATAACAACATTAGTCATTTATTTGCTGGTGTAAACTTAACGGAAAATAATGCACAACAGATAACCATTCCAAAAACATATGAATATATAATATGTCATTAGTTAATATTTAACCGACAATTCTTGTATATAACGTCATAGTTATAAGATTTTTATAGGATTTACAAAAAACCTTTCTTAGAATTAACAACATATTTCTAAAAAGTTAATTTTGAAGATAACAACAATCTGAATTACAAATTACATAATGTGATGTTAATCAATGAAAGCCTCTATACAGAATAGTTCACAATGAGTGGCCTATTAGTTCTGGATAGGAAACAAAGGACACCTTTCCAAATTTGCTATAGTGCCATTATGATAAATATTTTAGAATGTCCACCGCGCAAAGATCTTCCCGAGGGATAAATCACACGTGAAAGTATTGATATCTTTGAAATCCTTGCAATAGTACCGTGGTTATAAAATTTTGAGATTTAATCACTTCAATTTGGCTCTAATTGTATTTTTTCATCGACAGAAAATTGATAATAACCGAAATTCCTAACTAAATCGATTTACAATCACCGTTTCTTGTAAGGAAATTACTTAATTAATGCTGAAAAAAAAGAAAAAAATAAGAAAATTAAATTTGAAAAAAAAAACAAAAATATTATATTTATGTTCGTTATGAAAATTTTGGATGGTAATTTGCGACTCGGATCTTCCCAAAACCAATGGCCAGTTTTGAAGTTTAAATGGAATTGTATCACCTTTTGTTAACCTACGGTAATTGATTTTTTTTTGTGAAAATCATTAATAAATCGTTAAGAAATTTTATCCTATTCTTTTTTAAATGCAACATCCTGTAGGTCAATATATAATCATAATGACTTCATTGTAATACATTAGAAAATATCCAACAGGCCAAGTTGAAGTTACACTTGCTCACTCTTAAATACAAGCAAATTATCATTTTCCCGTTTTCTAGAACTGCCCATAACAAATGCGACTACCAGTACAAGCAAATACAAAAACTCCCCAACAACAATGCGGGTATCTTTGAAAGAGGTTTTTGTATATAAAAGTTGATATGTATGAAAATATTGTAGGTCTTTTGGACAGTGTAGTAAAATACAGGAAAAAATGCGACTGAAAAACCCTATATATAATATCCGTATTGTAATAGAGCTTTTACAGACAGCCTTGTCGTAACCGTCGTCCACTTACAGATAGATATGCATACACAATTGCGACAATCGAAGAAAAAATATTTCTAAAATATAGATTATCACAAAAACTATTTTATAATTAGATAAAAATTATAATATATAAAATTATTAACCAACGAAAGCTATAAAAAAAAACAAGTTATTGGACATTTTTCCAGCTGTAGTAATTCATGCCATTTTCATTTCAATGGAAATGAGTAAATAGATAAATTTTCACCGCCTTGGTTAAATAATATTGAGAATAATATTCAAAATCTATTAAAATTCAACTCTTCTCTATATATTTAGTACCTGCCGAAAACAGGATGGCGTTAAAATAAGTTGTTTGGAGCCGTTTATAATCCTCTTAATTTTTGAAAACCTTACCTTAACTGCAATGTTGGAGTCATTAAATGGAGGAGGTGACGTCGATCTTTTCCCTCTAGAAAAAGTTTCAGATCCATGTTCAAAGTTATTTAAGTCGGCACTAAACAAATACGTCTTTTTCAGGGGAGGATCTTTTTTGCCGTAAGTTTCGGCACTTTCAAGAACCCCAAAACAATAGCAAGTCCAAATTAACAAAACAAACATTTTTTTTTTAATCATTGCACACTCTGGAAATATGTTGACGGAAGAATAGAAAATACTAGTAAAAATTATCGAGTTGAATCTTTGTATGGCCAAAATATTTTATAAACACGTATCCTTTGCGACAACAAAACGTTTACTACAAATAATAAAGTTGCTTTGTCAATCTACTTCCACTGTGCTATTTGTCAGTAACAGAACACAATTGGTCAGTTTTCATTAGCATCATTTCGTGTTCTCATGACAGAAAAGCTTAATCCTAATATACTGTGCAAAAAAATTCATTGGCTCAACTTCAGCTTCAACAACATTTTTGTAATTTCTTTGAATATTTCAACAAACAACTAACCAAAACTAATCGAATTAATGGTCTATTAATTCTATTTCTTCTTAATTATCGAACGATCTGTGCAGAGAAGGAAAAACAAAAGGCAATTTTTTGCAAAGTTAGTAAAAGTAAGCTAAAAAAAAATATTACCGAAAGTAACCTACCGCCTGTGATAGGTTAGTCCAGATCTGTTTCCAATTTCAGTCAGCTCTCGTTTGTGTCTAGATTTAATTTTTGAATCAAACAAAATGTCGGAACAAAACGAAACGATGAACTTTATGACGTTTAATTGTCATTAAAATATTTGAGTAAATTTAGATCAATCAATAAGAAAATTAGATTATCATTGCATGTTTTGGTCCTATCCTTACCGGATCTCGTCCATGTGAAATTTATTTGTACACGTCATTTTATGACGCAGACGTTACTCTTTTAAGTCACTTTAAGTAACTCGAGTGTTTAAATAATATGATCTCCAGTATCGTCTTAAAAGTATTTAAGCGGATTGATCCTAGCAGAGTTGGCCACGAGAAGCAAAGAGGAAGAGGAAAAGTTTGTATATCAACCTTATAAAATAATATTTTGTATTTTAAAAAAGTATTTTCATTTGATATAATGGGTGATAGCGACGATGAAAATATGGAAGATAGCTCTTCTGTTAATCTGATGGGATTTCTTTTCGGTAATATCGACGAATCCGGAAAACTTGAAAGCGATGTTCTGGATTGGGAGTCCCAAAAACAATTAGCCGCCCTTGGCAAATTGGCACTGGGATCTTTCTTAAAAGAAATGATTGGTGAAGAACAAATTCAAAATGAAACAGAAGTTGACTTTGATCCAGATGGCGCAGGATCGATGCTGGATAATAATTCAGATGTTAAAAGTCTGTCAGCTGAATTTGATGTAAAATCTCCATCAGCAGAAGACTTCTCTGATATTAATGAACTGGCGGAAGACGAAGTTACACAGCCAATGCAAGAGGACTATTATGCTGATGACGAAAGCCATAAACATGATAAAATTCTTATGCCTCCACCACCACGTCCTTTTAATCAGGCAACAGATAATATAGATTTAGGGAACATTGAGCAGGAAAAGAAAAAATTGGAGACTCCGCTAGCAGCTATGCTTCCTTCCAAATACAGAAATGTTGATGTTACTGAACTGTTCCCAGACTTCCGACATGGAAAAGTGTTGCGTTTCTCTAGATTATTTGGACCTGGAAAACCAACTAGTTTACCAAATATTTGGAAAAATGTCAGGAAGAAAAGAAGGAAACAAAAGCACAAAGAAAGCATGGGGCAACATGATTCTGACTCATCAGAGGAGGATAAACCAAAAAATAAAGGGTGGATGTTTGATTATGCTAGTTCTATATCACCTGATCAAGTAAAAAGTGATGACGAAGAAAAGTTTTTGAAACCAATTGAAGTGCAAAATGAGGAGAATAAGTTAAAAGCAGAAAAGAAAGATGACAATTGGCCTAAGGCTGCCGACTGGAGATTTGGACCAGCACAAATTTGGTATGATATGCTACAAGTACCTGAAACAGGAGATGGATTTGATTATGGTTTCAAAAAACCAATTAGTGAAGAATTGCAGGTCAATAGGATGGAAGAGAAGGTATCTCTTAAGTTAGGGAAAATTCATGAATTAAATGCTAACTATATAATTGCAATAAATAACAACAATTTATAAATTTAGAAAAATATTCAACAGAAATGCTTAATGCTTAACATTTCATTTCAGTTTCAGTTTAAATATGATTTTAATTTGCATTGTATGAAATTGGTTCTCTAGAAGTTTGCAACTTTTATGCCAAATGCCAAGAGGTTAACTGCTGTAGTAAAAATTGTGACAGTATTTCTCAAATCAGTAATTTCCATGTGGTATGAATGCCCAGAATTTTGTATTATTTCTTCAGAGGATTTCACCTGATTTCATATGATTGTGCAGGTGAACAATTTTAATTAGCTATCATAATTTCACAGCTACAAAAACTCACAAATTAAACTTAAACGGTGGCAATATGAGTAAGGAAGGAGCCACATCTATTAAGGCTAATAATCATTGTTATTATATTTCTTACAAAAATTATGTATTAAATTATTTATGCTAATAGATTGAGTAGGTCTGTTGTAAATGTCCCCTCTCATTTTAAGCACAAGCACAAGAATTTCTGTAAATAAAGGCCCATTTTGGAAATCATCTTTATTTAAATTGTTTAACATTTAACATAGAGTGTGGTAAAGTGTATTTTTTCCAAAATTTCAATGAAAGGAGAGTGAGAAAGAGAAATGTTTACTATATAATTTTAACTATTTTTGACCTAAACGCCATCAAAAGGACTGGGATAGGGTTCCAGACTTTAAATTACCAGCAAAAATTTGGCTTTTAGTTAGTGCGCCAAAAGAAAACAATTGAAATTTTAGAAAAATTTCCTGCAATTTAGGAGCATATATCAATCATATCCATACCATTTTTCGTTTTGGTAGAATAATACGAATTTTTATCGATTCAGCACATAATTTTTAGAATGGCTATGTTAAATTATTTGAATGCAGTCGTCGTGAAGTTGAGATTCAAAAAGATTTGCACAAAAAATATCAAATTAAAAAAATTCTATTTTTAACGCTTGAGCAATGCAGGTAAATTAAGATATTTTTTTTACTTAATTTGCCTGCTGGATGAAATTTGTAAAATAAATTAAGCATTTGTTTTACCACTCTGCTTAAAATAAAAAATGAAAATTAAAAAATTTCTATAAAAATGTGACACAGTTTTGGTTATATGTGGTCGGTTTATTAAGGGATATCACCTTATCTCAGAATATGAACAAAATATAAAAAAAAAGTTATTTAGATTCCACTTATACTTTTAAAATATTATATTTTTAAGTATACCGGGTGTTTGTATTGCGGTCGCTTTGTGATTGTATTTCGCACCTCGGTTAATGCTTTTATTTCGTAACTTTCAGAGAGACCTCCTTGATAATTTATTTCTCTTTCCAGTTTATCTTTACTACAAAGAATGTTGACCATGAGGAATCATTTCCAGACGACGCATTTTTAATGGTAACACAACTGCATTGGGAAGATGATGTAGTTTGGGATGGAAATGATATCAAACACAAAGTACTTCAGAAGCTAAATAGCAAGACTAATGCTGCTGGCTGGGTACCAAGTAGTGGCAATCGAACTGCCCAAGCATTTAGTCAACCTGGAAAAGTCGGCACAAACATGAGGATGCCCCCTACTGCTAATCCACCCTTGCCTGGCATAAAACCAAAGGCACAAATTTTGCAAAATAAACCAAAAACGGAACAAGATATTGATGACACTTGGTATTCTATTTTCCCTGTGGAAAATGAAGATTTGGTATATGGTAGGTGGGAAGATGATGTAATATGGGATTCAGAATGCATGATGAATGTACCAAAGCCTTCGATTTTGACTTTGGATCCTAATGATGAGAACATTATCTTAGGAATTCCTGATGACATAGATCCGTCTAAGCAAGTAGCAGGCCAACCTACCCCAGTGAAAGTTAAAATTCCCCATCCGCACGTGAAAAAATCAAAAATTCTCCTCGGCAAAGCTGGGGTTATAAATGTACTTCAAGAAGATACGCCACCTCCTCCTCCAAAATCACCTGACAGGGATCCATTCAATATATCCAACGACATCTATTATCAACCGCGGACTTCTGAATCTACGATGCGTCTAAAGGTGGGAGGAGCAAATTTAATTCAGCATTCTACTCCGGTGGTGGAATTACGCGCACCGTTTATTCAAACTCATATGGGGCCCATGCGTCTAAGAAATTTTCATCGACCGCCAATGAAGCGTTTCTCTCATGGCCCTTTGGCACAGCCTGGACCACACCCAGCATTACCATTAGTAAAACATATTCGTAAGAAAGCCAAGCAACGTGAACAGGAAAGGATGGCATCTGGTGGTGGGGATGTTTTCTTTATGAGAACGCCCGAAGATTTAACAGGTAGAGACGGCGATTTAATTTTGGTCGAATTTTGCGAAGAACATCCTCCTTTAATGAATCAGGTGGGAATGTGTTCAAAAATTAAAAATTATTACAAAAGAAAAGCCGCCAAAGATACGGGACCGCCAGCATATAAATATGGAGAGACTGCGTATGCGCACACGTCACCTTTTCTGGGCATATTACATCCTGGTCAGTCTATCCAGGCAATTGAGAATAATATGTATCGAGCACCCATCTACACTCACGAGGTTAACCCGACAGATTTCTTAATAATACGAACACGCCAGCAGTATTATATAAGAGAGATAGATGCATTGTTTGTGGCGGGCCAAGAGTGTCCCCTTTATGAAGTTCCTGGGCCAAATTCCAAACGGGCAAACAATTTTGTACGCGATTTTCTACAAGTATTTATCTATCGCCTGTTTTGGAGAAGCAGAGACAATCCTCGTCGTATAAAAATGGACGACATCAAAAAGGCCTTTCCGTCTCATTCCGAAAGTAGCATAAGAAAACGTCTTAAGCTTTGCGCAGATTTTAAAAGAACCGGAATGGATTCAAATTGGTGGGTCATTAAACCCGAATTTCGTTTGCCGACCGAAGAAGAAATTAGAGCCATGGTGTCTCCAGAGCAATGTTGCTCCTATTTTAGCATGGTCGCAGCAGAACAACGTTTAAAGGATGCTGGATATGGCGAGAAATTCATTTTAACTTCAGTTGATGACGACGACGAGGACATGCAATCAAAAATGGAGGACGAGGTAAAAGTCGCGCCATGGAACACAACCAGAGCATATATTCAAGCAATGAAGGGCAAGTGTTTATTGCAGCTGACTGGTCCCGCAGACCCAACTGGTTGCGGTGAGGGTTTCAGTTACGTCAGGGTTCCTAATAAACCAACACAGAGCAAAGAGGAACAAGAATCTCAACCTAAAAGAACAGTTACTGGCACTGATGCTGATCTTAGAAGACTATCTCTCAACAACGCGAAGGCGTTATTACGTAAATTTGGAGTTCCCGAAGAGGAAATAAAAAAACTATCACGGTGGGAAGTCATCGACGTTGTTCGGACTTTGTCTACCGAAAAAGCAAAGGCGGGAGAGGAAGGAATGGATAAGTTCTCTCGCGGCAATAGATTCTCAATAGCGGAACACCAGGAGCGTTATAAGGAAGAATGTCAACGAATTTTTGATTTACAAAATAAAGTCTTAGCTAGTGAAGAGGTACTCAGTACAGATGAGGGAGAAAGTTCGGAAGACGAAAGCGACGACGATATAGAGGAAATGGGAAAAAACATTGAAAATATGCTTGCCAACAAAAAAACTAGTTCGCAATTATCACTTGAAAGAGAGGAGCAAGAGAGACAAGAATTAAGAAAAATGATCATGGAAGGAGAAAAGGATAAGTCGAAAGATAAGAAAAAAGATGATGATGATAATCAGGATCAGTCAAATTACGCTCAACAAGGTCGTGTTTTGAAAATAATACGAACTTTTCGGAATCCTGAAGGAAAGGAATTTACTAGAGTCGAATATGTTCGAAAGGCCGCGATAATTGATGCTTATGTTAAAATTAGGACCACAAAAGATGAAAGTTTTATAAGACAATTCGCTACATTAGACGATGCTCAAAAGGAAGAAATGAAGAGGGAAAAGAGGCGAATCCAAGAGCAGTTAAGAAGAATAAAACGGAACCAAGAGAAAGAGAGAATGAGTTTAAATCATCAGCACCATAATCCTATTTTTGCGGCAAATGTGAAAACTGAGACTTTACCTAATCCGAATGATTCTCCACCTATTCCAGTTGCTTCTACGTCAATGAAAAGTTTAAATCAGAGTCCCCCGAAATCAAGGCGAAAGGCAAAAATGAAACCCGATCTAAAGCTAAAGTGTGGCGCCTGTGGTAATGTAGGTCATATGCGAACGAATAAGGCTTGTCCATTATATCAGAATTCTGGTGTAACAACACCTATAAATGTAGCTATGACTGAAGACCAAGAAGAAGAGATAGAAAAACAACTGAACACGGACGACGAAGATTTAGTGAATGTTGATGGCGTGAAAGTGAAGTTATCTGGCAAGTTATTAAAACACGCCGAAGAAATGAAAAGAAGGAGTCTTTTACTTAAGGTACCCAAAGATGCACTAGGTAAAAAGAAACGTCGAGGTGTTTCTGATTTGCATTGTGACTATCTTAAAAGGCATAATAAACCCGCAAATCGAAGAAGAACTGATCCCGTTGTTGTCCTATCAACAATTCTAGAAAATATACTGAATGAAATGAGAGACATGCCTGATGTGCAGCCATTTTTATTCCCCGTCAATCAGAAATTAGTAATAGATTATTACAAAATTATTCAACGGCCAATGGATCTGCAAACAATTAGAGAGAACTTAAGGCAAAAGAAGTATCAAAGTCGCGAAGAATTTCTGGCCGATGTAAATCAGATTGTTGAAAATTCTTCATTATATAACGGACCAAAAAGTAGTTTAACGGTGGCGGCAACCAGAATGCTTAATAAATGTGTAGATAGACTAAAGGAAAAAGAAGACAGGTTAATGCGTCTTGAAAAGGCTATTAATCCATTACTGGACAATGACCAAGTTGCGTTCACTTACCTTTTGGAAAATATTATGAATACGAAATTGAAGGCTTTATCAGAATCGTGGCCTTTTCACAAACCAGTTAATAAAAAAAATGTTAAAGACTATTATAGCATTGTTAAGAGGCCAATGGATTTGGAAACTATTTCTAAAAGAATAATGACTCACAGGTACCACAATCGACATGAATTTTTGGCTGATGTGCAACAAATTTTGGAGAACTGTATTCTTTATAATGGAAAAGATTCCCCTTTTACCGAAAAGGCGGAATTGCTAGTTAAAGCGTGTAGAGCTGCGTTGGAAGAATTTGACGAGCATTTGACACAACTGGAAAGTAAGCTTGCTTTAGCAGAAGAAAAAGCGATACAAGACGATGAAAGTTGGATGGGTGTTGAAGAAGAACCTTACAGCGCAATCCTTGATGCAGAAAGGATGAGCCAAGCTAGTTCTCCAGGTCCATTTTCTTCAGTGAAGTCTCAGGCCGACGACTATGAATATATTGACGTCGAAGGAGATATTCAATTAAGTGACTCTCAAACGCCAAAAAAACCGAGAAAAAAGATTAAATTGGAAGAAGCTGCCACATTGGAACAGGACCTTCAATTCTCTAGTGAAGATGAACTTGATGAAGTACCTTTACATGAATTTGAACCTGACCAAAAAGGGATTCTAATATCTGCAGACATTCCCGTGGAAGTAGCCGATGACGATAGTCAACAGGCTGCCGAGGCGATGGTTCAGTTGGGTACTCTCGGGTATTACCAACAAAATATGCCGCCTGAAGCAGAAGCATTAATATTTAAAGAGGAAAGTATGGATGTTGATCCTAATTATGATCCGTCAGATTTCCTCATGTCGGGTTTGACATTGGTTCGAAAAGTTGAAGACCCAATTCAAGGTCAAGATATTAAAATTCATGACGATTTAGCGGTAAGTGACAGCGAAGATGAAGCAAACACTTTTCAAAGTCATCAAAATCAAAGCGCTGGGCAAGAAGAAGAAGGTGTGGTATGGTTTTAATAAACAATGTATATATAAAAAAATGTAGGTATATAATTTATAGTATTTAATGGTAAACACATGTAATGTTCCGAAATAAAATTATTATATAATCCGGTAAGCCACACTACATAATTTATTAATAAGGCGTTAAATATCTGACTCCACTCCATTGTTGCTGAGTATCAAAGGTAATCCTACAGTTTATGTAATTGGTAAATGGGAAAATTTTATCTGCTGCATAGTGTTGCTATATTTATTCTATTTAAACAGGAAATTATATAGCAAAATTGTGGTTATATAAGACTGCCATGAAAACTCTGACATCACCATTACAAAAAAAGATTCGCAATGATTTTAAAGTGCAGCAATAAAATTCACATTCTATTAGTTTTCCTATTTCACTTTTGAACTTTACATAATGTGTCAAAATGAGATTAATTAATTAATTAATTAGCCAGAGACTTGCCTTGGCAAAAACTTAAGGGTGCACTGTTAGTGTTTAATTGAATTATTGGACCAGCAGTAGCAATATTACATGTTAAAACAACACAAACAGTACTGTCGTCCGATTATTTTGTTTGTAAATCGGCGCAAAGCGTTAATTTTCATAAATTCATCTAATCAATCTAAACAACAAAGTCGAAATCACCAAAGATGGCTGTTAAAAATCTATATATACCTTTGAGATGTTAGATATCGCACAATAAATATCTAAGTGGAAAAAATGTTTAAGAAGCAGTTCCTATAGACAGAACGCTCATCCCTTCAACGCAAGTCTAGTAAACATACAATTATAAAAAGTGCGATTGGAAAACAACATATTACAAAACATATGCATGGTAAAAACATTGTATATTGTATCATAATTTAAAAAACAAAATAAGCAAGCGTATTTTGCTGGAAAAAATTGCATCTGCCATCAAAAAGTTGCGCAGTTAAAAGTTCTTGTCTGCGAAAAATTCATGCAGAAATACATGTAGAAAATTAGTTATACTTTGTCACAGGGCACAGACGGTTCTGTGACGATAATACTTACTTAACACGGCGTTGCCAGTTATGTTCGAATGTCAAAGATTGATGTTGCGTTCTTACAAAAATTAATCAATTAATCAGTTGAGGGGTGAAGCATATGCAAAAGATCCTTCTCTACGAAAATATCATACCTACCTGCGGCGCATCAATTTTTACCGTAGTAGGACCACTATATTATCTATGTTCTAACCTGAGTTGCGAGCAAATTTTGGTTGACCCCATCTACTAAAACGTAAACAGCAGAAATACCGCGAGGTTGTACTCTGTCTCATATGTATGTATTTTTATTATAATAATATAAATACCATGTCTATCCATCTCTATCCACTTAACGGAAACTAACTAAATATTTGCTTATTTCCGCACAATTAAAATGCAGAAAGCCAACAGTACCATTAGACCATGGTCAAACATTTAACGCCTTCTCTTTATCATATATGGACTTCTTTCTATAATCTATGACATAAATCTATAGCTTTGTCTCGGTGGTACCATAAACTATACAATTAATAATTTCGCTGTCGTTAATCTCAAAACAAAAAAAAATCGATTTACGACAAAGGCTCTAGTTTATTTTGACAGCCATTGATAAAATGACCTCAAAGAAATCCTCCTTTGGATGAAAAGATCGGTCCCTGATTATTTTACCATTTGCGAGTATAATACTCGTATTATCATATCCTATTCAGAGCGCGATTCAACCAATTTTGACCCGGTTCGGAGTTCGAAAACCGAAAATAAGATTTACGCTCCTTTGGGCTAAGGCGCTAAGGTCATGCGCCCAAAAAACGAAGAGCGGTCAAAATCGATACTCTAAGATTGACTGACTGACCAAATTCATCTTCACAATCACAATTTTGCCGATTCTGAAAGCTATACGGTGAAATTTTGTTAGCTATTAAAAATAATCAGAGTCAATAATAATAGAATTGTTTATTTGGGTAACGGTAGGTTTGTTATATATCCTTTAATCTTGTAGTTTTTCACAAATGGAAACTAGAAGTACTAATGGCTCTGAGAATGCCAATACCAGCCCAATAAGTTCTAATGGGTTGAATGAATTGGATGGCAAAAATGAGAGAAATAATCTCGATTATGAAGAGGATCTGGACGAAGAGGATATCCCCGGAGATTTTTTCGATGACTTCTTGAAGGATGATTTTATGGCAGGTTTGGATATTGTGGACGAGGAAGGTGAAGAAAGCAAAGAAACAGTAACCCAAGCTTCACAAATTTTGCGAAGATCGTTAAAGAAAAACAGTGCTCCCCGCGAAGTTATCAGAAAAAGGACGAAAAAGATTGACCACGTGAAGAAGTTTAGAGAGTCCCCTCCTGGATTTGGGAAAAGAGTCAGAGTTTATTCTCGAGAAGATGAATTGAGACGACTCAACAAGGAAATTGAAGAGATAAAAAAAATTAAGATCCACAAACCCATCAGACTCAAAACAGCGATAGATGCTGATGATTTTGACATTCGTCGTGATCCAGAGAAAACTAGGCGTGATATAGAAATGGATAAAATTAAATCAGCAAAAGATAAGGAGAAAAGGTTAATTACTGACATTGTGGAAACAGGACTTGTTCCTCCAGGAATGGAATTGGAAGTTGATCTTGAAACAGTCCGTCGACAAGAAAGAATTGAGAAAAATTTGCCACCTGGAGATTTAAGGGACAGGTTAAGACCACGTAAAAGTAGGAGCATTGAAAAGAAGAAAAGTGTCTCTCCAGAAAGGAAGAGGTCTACGCCAAACTCAATTAAAAGAAAGAGTTCCATCCATAAAAACAAATTACAATCTCCAAAAAGAAGAGAAACTAAAAGCCCTCAAAGAAGCTCATTTCATTCAGAAGAGAGGCAGAGAAATTCTGAGCATCATATTCGAAAATCCCCAATGGCCCGTCGGAGCCCCTACAGAAGGAGCCCTGGTGGTAGTCACAGACGCAGCCCTTTATATAGAAGATCACCCTTACATCGAAGATCTAGGAGTAAAAGTCCATATTTAAGAAACTATTCTCCAGCTTATCGCAGAAGGAGAAGAGATCGCAGTTATAGCCCCAAACAAAGGCGTCATCGAAGTCGCTCAAGGACTCCAGTCAAGTTAAGAAGAGAAGAAAGGAGATCCTTCCTTGAAGAATTGGCTGAAAAACTAAATGAAACTAGATCGAAACCGAATATTCCCTCTCCAATTACTTATAATATGATGCCAAATCCTGCACCTGTATTAACAGCTGTGCCTGTACCTGTTCCAGCCCCAAATCAATTTATTCCTCCTTTACATGTAACTCATCCTCAATCGGTTCCTCCTCAGCAATGTGATGTTTATGACCAAAGTTTTTTTATTGGTTCTCAGTCAGCTCCTATCCAGCATAAAGGTTTTCCTCAAAATTCTTTACCTAAAGTTTCTGAGCAAATACAACCAACTGCTGCACCTGCTTCGGATATGGATGTCTCTAAAGTAATTAATACTCTCTTTGCAATGATCAATTAACTATATTTTTAATTCCGTTTATTTCAGTTATTCCAAGACAAGAAGATAAGACTTAGTGATTTCTTGGCAATAACAGCGAAACCTGAAGGTGGGCAATATTTTTTATATTATCTTTTTTTGAAACTTGAAAGTACTAATACTGGTGGTCTGTTTACTAAGGGATCCCAAGAATCTAATGTATTAAAAAGGTATGAATGTTTCTGTACAGGATTTGAACAAGATTCTTATTTCTTACACCAAAAAACACCAAAATTGTTTGACATAGCTTTCGTCTATATATTACGTTCACAACTTTTAAGAAACACCATTAATTAAATTGTTCTTGGGTTGTCCAAAAGTTTGTTTGGGGAATTAACACCATAATTACTTATTTTATAATAATAATAATAATAATAATAATATTAAAGACTTGACATTTGTCCTTAGAAATTTTAAAAAACTTCAAAATTATTCTGTTTAATAATCAGGTATTTCTGCAGTGAATTATTAACAGGTTTTCTTTTGGGATATATTTTGTCATTTTGTACCTTAACAGTTTTTAAGCAGAACATGCTTATTTAAGCATTAATCATGAGTGATGTGTTGGGAAAGAATTTTAACCTAGCACTTATTAAGACTATGAGTTTTGGCATGGTTGTGAATCCTATTGCAGTCACCAATATTTGAGTGTGTCAAAAAAATTACTTTCAATTTCTCAGAAAGTATTCCAAAAATGTATTTAAAAAATTCTTAAGATCTCTGAGATGTGTTTTTTTATTTTGGGAGAATTACAATCTTTCACTAATGTATTGTAGGCAATTATTTCTGCTGTAAATAATTATTGTAAATAATAATTGGACAGCTTAACGGCAGAAATTAAAGCCGCCTGCCTATATATCTATGAATAGGGTTTAAAACCGCCTTATTATTACAAATTTGTTGTTTAATGCTGTTAAAGGAAGAACCTTAATAAATTATATAATGCTATAATTCACTTTTTTCGTAATAAATGAAATGCATTTGTAATTTTTTGTTAGAGTAAATATTTCATTTGTTGTTCATTTTGAGCATTTACTAAATTTTGCTTTGTATAGTGAATGCCACCACCCCAGCAAAATTGCAAGAAAAAATAAAGGGTAAGTAAGTGACAAGAATATAAAGTGCCTGTGATTTAAACCATATTGACATGATATCGCTCTGGATTATAGTCATACAGCGATGCCAAGATGTTATAAGGATGCTTAGTTCCAACAGGAAGTTTGTTGGACCTCTAGTTATACGAAAAACAGATGGTGTTCCATCATTAACAAACAAAAACATATCTCCCCTACTGAGAAAGCCGATTATTCAGCTACCTTTCACTACACCTGGTTTAAAGAAGTCAAATGAGAATGAGTTTACCAAGTTCTGCACCATGCTGCTTCACAGGGTTGGAATTGAGAAGATGCCGGAGTTAAAAGAAGAGAGCAAAATGAAACCAAAGGTGCCCATAGAGACTAAACAAGTAAAACATGTACCCAAAGTACAGCCAGCGCCCTCTATCGTTCCTCAACTTTATTCTCAGACTATGTCAAAAGTTGAACGCAACGCGAGTGGTAGTCAGACGGATCCAGAGTTATCAGCTTGCAAAGAATGTTTACGAAGGAAAGATATTAATTTTGAGAGCACAGGGGTTCAGTGTGGAGCTCCAATGCTGACTTTCTCAGTGAGCACTCAAGTGAATGAGAGTGAATTTTATTCAACTATACCCAAGACTCAATCACTGGCTTCTTTAACGCCTGCTCAACTTCTTGGAAGGCAAATGAGGAATCTTGATTCTGGATCAAATTTCCCATTTCGAAATTTTGATCCTCCATCAAGAGATTTGGATTTTTCAAGAAGAGTAACTGATAACAACTTTGAATCGTTAGAATATCCAGCAAGGGATGTTGATAGAGGGTATAATTTGTCATCTGGAAACAGTCCTTCAAAATCATTTGATTTTCATACCAGACATCTTGGTCCTTCAAAACCACCCTTCTCTCGTTTTAGAAATGACAAGAATGAATCTGGGCCTTATAATAATTCTATGAGTCTCAGCGCAACTCTAAGGGCATCTTTGAATCAGGGAAAAGGAGTACCCTATCAAACACTTAATAAAAAATTTTAATTAAGGCTTTAGGTGTAATTTGCTTTGTTAAAAAAATTGGGAAGAATTTATGATGTAGTCTAAACATTTATAATTAAATACAACAGATGTGACCTACTATTGTGTTTTATTCATTTGTTTAAGGGTCTATGCTCTCTGCTCTTCCACCATCTAAACATTTTGATTATTCCAAGATTATAACTTGCTAAACTGGGGTTTTAGTGAAAATCAGCCACAATGTTCTAACTATAGTATGCCACTAGTCTTAAGCTAATTATTAGTTGCCGTTAAATTGTAAAACTGCCTTTGTAAGTAGGATTGATTTGTGAAACATACTGTTGCATTGTTCATTCAGTTTTTTTTTTGTAAAATTGGAGGTTTGTGTTTTTGGGAAATTATTGTCAACTAGACACAATTATAAGATGTAAATAATTATTTAGAAATAAATTAAAATTGTTAAGTGTTGTATTATAAGGTTGATTTTTCTAAGGCCTCGATATAATTTAAAAGCATATTCCAAAATTGGCTCACTCAACAGATCCGAGCATTAAAATTGAGATAGATAGCTTTAGTTTCCTAGTAAAGTTTAATAAAATAATCAAAACATGTAGCAGTGCTTTTTATTTCAGTATAACCTTTTTTACCTTAGAATTGTGATTCTCAATAAATACATTTTGCAATAAATGGTAATATTTGTTATTATGAAGTCTTACTTAAAGCTTGTGCTACTGAATATAGTTAAGGAAAGTAAGATATCCCACAGTGTTGCAACTGTTCTCAAAATATTTTTTTTTTGCAAAATAGTTACCTGTTACTGATAGGTCAAAAATAATATGAAACTGTTATTATTTTGACTTTGATGTTTTACACTCTCTTCTGTAATATGTTGAAAACCCACGTACTTACTTTGCTTGCAGCATACAATTAAAACTTGAAGTGTAAATGTAAATATCATCATTTGTCCTTATCTTTATTTTTTTCTAATATGGCTATTGCAGTAGTTGCAGATATGCATGTATTCTGCATTCTTTGTGTTTATTTTAACTTTTAAGAATTAGGAATAAGAAACCATGAAAAAAGCTTTTAACACCGATTTTTAAAAATGAAGGCATATCCGGGAAAAATTATGCGTCTTATAATTGCGTTAAGATTTCCTTACTATGCCAATCAATTTCGTTATATCGTGTCTTACGCTTACGAAGTTCTCAAAATATGCGTTTTTTATTAAATATTTTTTGAAAATACCGTAATACTACACCATAACAATAAATTGCAAAATTACTTTCGTACGGTTCTGCATGTAAATGCGCGCGCGAGTTTAAGTTTTCTTGCCCTCTGGTGGCGCCGCACTGCAGCATGTTAATAACGGCGCATGCTCAATATTCTTGATCTCGGATTGTCACGAAAGAAAGTTGTGTTAGCTGTGTCTGCAAAGTGCAGTGCTTCAATTCAAATGTTACTTGCTGTTTATTTATTTGTTTAGGGTGTGCGCCAAATCTAATTTGTTTTTGTGTCCCGTTCCGACGCAAATAACTGCAGTAGTGGGCGATTTCGAATTGCGGTTTTACGGTGGAAATCGTTTGAGTGGCCATGAGTGATCCCAAGTTTCGACACACGTGGATTAATTTGGAATATCTAAAGGTGTTTGCTGCGCTTTTGGCTGTCTGAAACAACAAAAGTGTGCATTCGTGCGGGAGAAATTAAATCGGAGCGTTATAATTTCTAACACCAATCGTTTTCACGCATTGTTATTGTTTTACTCGGTGTTTTTGACCCTTGCATTTTGCACAGCGGATCCGAAATCCGCAGCCGAAGGAGGACGAAGCGAGTTTTAGTTTAAACGTCGGCCGCAGGGTTTTTTTCGAATTTTGTGCGAAAATTTTACGGGCGCGATGACAAAATGCGACAGTGTAGTGCCGCTCTACTGATCGCGGGTTGTCATGCTTGCCGTTGTTGTGACTGTGAAGCGTCGCTCCGTCGGGGCGGAAGTGGTTGTAGAAGCTCCATCGACATCGGTTTAGCTGGCCTTGGGAGCCGACGACTGGAGGTTAGTGGCCTTAGCACGCGGGATTGTTTACCTAGCGAGAGCATGGTGACGCCGGCTGTGTTGTGAAGGGACATTACGCGCGGCGACGTTCGTCGCGTTAGACGGTGGTCCCGCGGGGTGCTACCGTCCATTTTTTTATGGTATCTCCTCCGCCAATGGCGTGGCACAAGCACGACCACCTCATGCTCATGGATAAAACCAAGCCAAAAAGTAAGTACATATTTCCCAAGGTATAGTTGATCATTTTGAGGGTCTATCAGTTAAAACTGATAGTTTCAGATAACTATTTCTAATCACAAACGAAATTTATTGAAACTCTCAGTTCAGTCACCTTAAAAACTGGGTAAGATAATGACAAAGAGAGTTGATGCCCAGTCATCTGTTTCCATGCAGCCCCCAATTTTTTAAATCATTTAAAACACAATTGAGAAGTTTTTTTGTAATTGATAATTGGTAAATGAATATTTCGGTTTATTTCCTTATTTAAACAAAATATATGGAACATAGGTTTTTTCCAATAATTTGTCGCTTAACAAGGTAAAAATTACGATTCCCGATAAAACAAAAGAAAAATGAAATGGGATGTTTTTGTATTGTGTTGGATCAACTCAAAAATTAAAAAAAGAAAAAACCTTATTTTGCATTAACTGTTACTGTGTTACTATTAAACAAAAGCTAAAAATTAATAAAATTTTTGCTTTTTTCCAAGAAAAATAGTCCAGGATTTTTTTGCAATTCCAAGCAAATTGTTTGTATTCTCGGGAAAATGGAGAACGTCGTCGAAATTTAGTTGTTAGTACTTTCTGAGGTGGTTTCAACTCTTATATTAACCACACATAGTTTTTACCTCAGTTTTGGCATATTTCAAACGGCACGCGGTGTTGTCAAGCTAATGAATTTAACTTTTCCCGAAAGTTAATTGTTTCTCGACCAACAGTATTCATGATTAATGACTTGTTGAGTCTCCCCCGTGGTCCAGTTTCTTCGGCTCATTTAATTAAAATATTTACACATAATTGCACCTTGGGACAACAAAACTAATTACGCACCAATAATATTGTAAACAATTGAACACGGATTTACCATTAAATTCTTAAATTTTGCGTGTTTGTTCGTTGTGAATCATCCTAGCTTATTATTATAATTGCCAGCATAGGCGTTTGAACTTTGGAAAATTTTAGAACCGTGCCAAATTTCCTAGAACAAAGGCGAGAAAAGACAAAAAGCATTTGCAAATTTTACTTTGTTAACATGACGGTGACGCGCATTTTCGAGAGATGAAAAAAAGCGACAAGGCTAAAGAATCAGCATTCAAGGTATCGAGAAACTGCGGGAAACGATGTTGTTTGTTCGACCTTGCCGGTGCAAGATGTGAAATTTTCTTTTAAGTTGTATGTTCCTGTAAACCCAGGGCCGGCATGCCCCGCATGCCTATATATCCGGCGAATTTTCTTTTCCGGTTCAGGTTTTGATGGCGGAAGCAGATTTGTGGGGATTCATCGTTCTAGAATATATAGATTTTCGTATAAATTTATGTGCTCAGTCATAAACTTAATACTGTCGGCTGCGGGTGTCATCTAACGAAACGAAAATGTTATGCCCGGGTGCCTCTCGCCATGATCACTCTCGATCGCAAGCACATTAGCAAAAGCGAGTAAAAGGTAGAAGCCGGAAAATTTGTGTTTTTCAAGTCTATATTCTAAATTCCAAATATGAAACAAATCGAGTCAGTAAATTGGAATTTTCGTCACTTTGATTCGCTAACTTTCAACAGTATTTAGATAATTATCTCCTGAACGCAAAACAACTCGAAAATAGTATTATTATTAATTTAAAGAACACTGACTCAGTGGTATTTTTAAAAAAACTCTAAATTAATTGATGTGAGTTTGTTCTCTAAATTGAAAATAATTTATTGAAATTTAAATAAATAAATGTGGCATACCTATTAAATAGGTATTACCTATATACAGGGTGTTTTCTAATTGAATGTCAATTATTAAAAGAAAACTTCATATAAACATACGTCCTAAACGTCTCAACTTTTGGGATACAGTAAAGGTAGGTAAACGTGGTAAAGTTTTCAAAAATAAAATATATTTCTTTAATATCTAATAATACCGCTTTAGATATTTTAATGAAATTTGGTCAGGGGTATTATTTAGTGGACCCCATTTTTTTTAAACACTCCAGTAACGGGCGTACGAATTTTTACATGTCTATTTTTTCATTGATGGTACGCGAATTTCTCTTAAAATACGAATTATTTTTACGATCTGCAATTATTTCTAAAGAATTTTAATTTCTTGATTTTTTTCAATGTACTGTTTTCGCTGAGAAAATAAATTATATTATAATAATATTGTTAAAAATTTAAAAATATGTCTAATAATTTTTTTACATAATTAAATTATTAGTACACAAAAGTGTTTTTCATAGGCTGTTTTATTTTCTTTATTTCAATTAATTATAACGTTATTTTTAAGTAAGTTTGAGCAGGTAGATAGTACCTACTAGAATAATTGCAGATAATAAAAATTGTCTCAAAATTTAAAATACGGTACTACTTTATTAGCATGTAGGTACCTACTTCTCTATTAGTTTTATCTTTAGTAGTTTATCTTTTTTTAAACTGTTTTTCTTTTCTTTTACTTTTTAAGTATAATGTTGCGAGTAGTTGATGTTGATGATCGATTCTACCATTAGGTACCCAAAAAGTATTAATTTTCTGTTTCTTGATCCGGATCTAAGCATTATACTCCTACATTGGTAGGTTAATTCAAAAGTTTGAAGCGCATGGATGGATTTACAGTTTTTGGAAAACGAAATCGACAATCTAATAACTGAAGCGGTTGACGATGATCCTCCTATATTCAGTCACTACGCTGCTATTTTGGGAGAATTTTTAAATAATAGGTATCCCGGGCAGTGGTTTGGAAGAAGGGGACCGCACGTTGTCCAGATTTAAGCCGATTATACATTTTTATGGGGATATTTAAAAAGTAAAGTTTTCCTAATTACCGAACTTATCTGAATCAAGTAACTCAAAAAGCTAATTCAGGCGTCGATCGACCTTTATTTAAAATTGTGCAGGTACAACTTTCCTCACCACGAAAATATTACGGAATTTTTAAAACGTTTCGAAAATTGTAGGAAATTTTTTTTTTAACAGGTGCCACTTAACCCGCCTTCCCTATTTAAATTGTAATGGTTGCCATCTAAGAAATTTTCAAAATAGCCAAAATGTGTTTATTTTTTCTGAAGTACTTTTCGGGAAAACCAAGGTGGAACCTTTTATAACATATATACCCTGTATATAAACCCAGATACTTTGCAATATTTGAATATTAATTTAATTAATATTGTTTATTATCATATTGCTTTAGTAGATGGTGACCACTGCACATAGACCTGAAGGTCAGCACTTCGGCAGCACTGATTTCTTGGTTAAGTCGTTGGTAACTCTGATTGCCGTTTGCAAAGGCTACGGCTGGTAATCCAGCTTCAGCAGCCGAAAATTGCCTGCCATTTGGTCAAGAATTACTTATACTTTTTTCTAATGAAGCCGCGGGAGCTGAATGGCTGCGAGTTGTTTTGTTTTCAGTATAAAATTAAAAATCGAATTGTGCAACCTATATCCCGCGACGCAAATTGTCGACCGCGGCACGTTCAGGGCACAATTTGTTTTATCGTGTGTGGCTAGCTTTAAGAAAAAATCAATAAAACGTATTTGAAACATGCGAATTACTATATTCGAGCCAACAAGAAAGCATGTTTTTGACATGTTTAAATAAAACCATTGGGTTAAGGGTCGTCTTCAGTCGAGCCGATAAAAGGAAATGATCCGTGCACCGCGCAAGGTCCTTTCGTTTTGTCAGCTTCTTCGAGGAAACTTAAAGCGCAAACTATCAAACGGTGTACCATGAACGTCAGTAATGGCGCAACGCATTTGGAATGCGCCACGCAGATCAATATGATCTTGTTCTGCCTCTCCTACGTCGCGTCGCTCCTTCCCCCATGGATCTCCCTCCCTCGCAACACCCTCGCGGTGATATTCCAACCTCGAAGCCGCCGGCACTTTGATTTTTCTTAAGGGCGCGATGGTAGTGGTCAAGGAGTCGACTCCCTCCCCACACTGTAACCCAGAAGTGCTTCTACTCGTATATACAGGGTTGTAGCCCGTTTGTCCATAATGTTTTTCTGCGTTCTGCCAAAAATTATTTAACAAATATTTGATTAGATGACGCCTATATATGTTTTTTTGTTATTTTTCGTTTTTTTTTTTAAATTTCGCGAAATCCTAATTGAAATAGTGCAAAGAGTGCTATGGGCTATGAGGAGGAGGTTGTGAAAAAAGTGAAAAAAAAATTAGTCGAGTTTTACAGGTCGATCGATGATAAGCCTATTTATAATTATTAATCTAGATATACCCACTTATTTTTTTATGAGTGTTGTTAGTTTATACGGAATTTTTTCTGTTTTTTTCTACATTAACGAGAAAGCAAAAAATTGGAAACAAAATTTGATAAAACGATCAGAAACATTGTTTTTATAGCTGTTTTGAAAGTTTATTGATTTTTCAAAATCTATATTTGTTTATTTAACACCTGACGATACTCTGTCACTTTTTAAAAATGGGTTATAAGCGTATTTTTTAATTTTCGATGAAATACAAACATTTTTCACATAATCTTTAAATTAATTTTCAAAATTCGGAAATATTTGTGAAATCTTATGATTGGTTAGTATACAATATGATTAATATATATCCTGTATTTAAAAAAACCGGACTGATTTGGAAAAATGTTGATATTCGTATGCCAAAAGATCGTATTTAAAAAAACCGGACTGATTTAGAAAAATGTTGATATTCGTATGCCAAAGGATCGTGCTAACAAAAACAACTTGACCCAATAATGAGAAAAAAGTAAAACTTTCGTAATGGGAAACAATACAAAATGTTTTACACGATTATGCAATGTTAGATATTTAAGAAAGTTGGGAGCTTGCCCTTGGATTAATTTCCTCTGTTTTTGCCTAAAAAATTATGTTTTCTCAAAAATGAACTTCAGTTACCGGTTATTTTCAATTTAATAATTGTTGTCCGCGACGCAATGAGGAAAAAAATCCCAAACTTCTGGAACGCGGACGAGCTTGCAATTTCTAGCGTGCTTCCGAGAGACGATCGGCAGTCGATTCCAGACATTTAA